TGGAATATACACGCAAGACCTAAGAGTCAACTTAACTAAAGACTTGGACAACTAAGAAGACTTTTAGGACCGAAATCTCGTGTTAACCTAAGATGACAGTTGCCTAGTGACTTCCTAGAATGTGCTAAAAGTTCCAACACCTGCGAGATCCTCGTTTTATCTTTTTACAGGAGTATTTTCAACTAAGAGGTCATATCCAGTACAGGTGAAAGTTGGGAAATGGTACAGAAATAAAAGGGTCTATGAACACCGGATGGAACAAACTGGAGTCTACTAATAGTCTAACGCTAGGTGAGTCTCAGGTCATGAGGGAATTTCAGGTGGGCAGCAAACCAAGCAAAAGAGGAGCCTTGGAAAGGCATTCAAAACCCGTTTTGTGGTATCCACCATATTATGTAGTTGATTGTGATAATTGGTCGGCGAGTTGAGAGCAATGGTGGTAGGTCACTTGTAAAGCAGGAACATTACGAGGGCCTAGATGCTCAGAATGTACGTCTGGTCTGAATTGGTTTAGCTAATTTTGCTATCATAGTGATCTCAACCACTTTCCAGATATCGCTTTCTTCGTCAAATGAACGCTTTTTAATTTCAAATTAACCCTCTTTAATTTTAAATTAAATTTGTCTCGTCAAATAAACTTTTCAATTTCAAATTACCTCTTTACTCCGTCAAATTAACCCTTTTTAATTGGAAATTAACTCTCTTTAATTTTCAATTAACCTTCTTCCGTGTCATATTTCCCTTCAAAATAACTTTTCCCCGTAAAATTAGCTCACTTTGATTTCAAATTAACCATCTTTTCCGTTAAATGAACCCTTCATAATTTGAAATTAACCCTCTTTAATTTTAAATTAACCCTTCTCCCCGTCATATTAACCCTTTTTAATATCAAATTAATACTTTTCATCAAAATAACTCTTTTTGATACCAAATTAATCTCTTTTCTGTCAAAATTAACCCTTCTTAATTTGAAAGTAACCTTTTTAATTTCATGTTAACCTTCTTTTGACAAATTAATTCGTTACTCTGCCATATTAACCTTTTTTTAATTTCAAATGAACTTTTTTTCATCAAATTTACCCTTTTTAATTTTCAAATTAACACTTTTTAACTTTCAAACCTTAAATTTTCAACTTTTAACTTTTAAAATTTTTTAAGCTCAAATTAACCCAACTTAATGTCAAATTAACCTAATTTAATTTTAAACCTTTTTAACTTCAAACTAACCCTTTTTAATTGCAAATCAATTCTTTTTACTTCAAATTAACTCTTTTTAATTTCAAATTGACCCTTTTAAACTTCAAAAAACCCATTCTAATTTCAAATTAACCTTTTTTATATTGATATTAACTCTTTTTTAACTTAAAATTTTTCCTTTTCAATTTCAAATTAGCCCTTTTTAAACTTCAAATTAACTCATTTTAATTTCAAATTGACCTTATTTAATTTTGTTTTTTTAACTTAAAATCGACCCTTTTTAATTTCAACTAAATTTTTGTTACTTCAAATTAACCCTTTTAATTTCAAAATGAATGAAATTTTAAGTGAAATGGGGGGAAAAACTATTGTGGACTCAATATTCCAGCAAACATTTTAGACGCTTTTCGACGATTCTTATAAACAGCGGTTTATTTTTTCTTCAATTTAGCCGCCTCTTCACAAAGCCGTCGTTTTGTTGAGATGGGGCCAATAATCTTGAACCAATCCAATTTAACCCGTTGTTGAAAAATAAAGACAAGCCATGTCAACAGGGCGGCGGCTGGGGTGGGATAATTTATTTTTATTGTTCGGCATTCGGCTTGTACGAGGGGGTTTCCCTTCATACGCGGCCCCATTTTAGCCTTACCACCCCCAAATTAATTGCCAGCAATTCAGACAAATACTTTTTTTGTCTTTTACATTTCATGTTTTTATTTTTAATTTTTTTTTTTTAAGAAAAGCACCGGATATGAAAACATTGCCATGATTGAAAGAAGGGAGACGATGTTAATTTAAGAAGAGTTAGATGTGGACTTTATTTTAAGTATAAAAATGTTGATCCAGTTAGGAAGAGTTGAAATGTGGCCAAGTACGTTTTACATTTCCTTTCCCAAATTTAAAAAAAAATACCTAGTTTACATAAATTTTCCTATGAAAATTATAAACCAGTGTCCAGCTCGATTTTCATTTATAAAATTCGTATCGGCAACTTTTTCCCTCAAATTAAAGTGGTCTGTAAGGGTTTCGACGGGCTTTGAAAATTGAAATCAGAAAGTTCGTCCCGTGGACGCTGTGGAGAGACCTTGATGGTAAACGTCTACACTTTTTATTCATGAGTCATGTGTAAATGTACGACTTACGTCACCCCCAGCGAAACGGAAACGTTCCTTCTCGTTCGGTTTCTCCTTACGAACAAAAAGAAAATTTGGTCCATGAGAAAAATTGGCTCTTACAAAAATGAAAAATTTGGTCCATGAGAAAAATTGGCTCTTACAAAAATCAAAAATTTGGTCCATGAGAAAATTTGGCCCATACGAAAATTTGGCCCATGCGAAAGTTTAGCCAATGCGAAAGTTTAGCCCATGCGAAAATTTAGCCCATACAAAAATTTAGCCCATGCGAAAATTTGGCCCATACGAAAATTTGCCCATGCGAAAGTTTCGAACTTAGCCCTTACAAAAATTTGGTCCATGGGAAAATTTGGTCCACGAGAAAATTTGGCCCATTCGAAAATTTGGCCCATACGAAAATTTGGCCCATGCGAAAGTTTAGCCCATGCGAAAATTTAGCCCATACAAAAATTTGGCCCATGCGAAAATTTGGCCCTTACGAAAATTTGACCCATGCGAAAATTTGCCCATACGAAAATTTGGACCATGAGAAAATTTGGCCCATACGAAAAGTTGGCCCATGGGAAACTTCGACTAGGAAAGATTTTCCTGCTTTTTTCCTACTACTCCTTTACACAAATGAAGGACATCTATCCATCAATTTCTTACTCCAAACCCTGAAGTAACCGATAAAACAAACTTTTTCGCAAAGGGGAAGAAATAAAGTTCAGAATTTCCCATATTTTTTTTTTATTTTGTTTAACAAGTATTATAAATATCATGTTCAAAGATCGGGACTTTTCGGTCGGCCTTGATCCGCCTATCTCATAATCGACGCACGTCCGGCGAAAAAAAAAAAAATATTTTTTCACAATAAAGTTTTTAAAATGCACAAAGAGCTACTATTCTGTCAATGGCCAGACTGAACATTAATAAGACAGTTTATTCTCATTAAATTCTGAACAGTTGAAACTGGATTTCGAGTCGACCTGAACTGCGGTTGGTCGGGTTATAAGTGGGGTGAGGCAATACGCCTTGTGTCAAAATTCCAACACAGAAATGGCGTGAAACGCGACCGAGGGACCGGACATTATCAGGAAATAAAGTCGAATTTTTACCCACTCAATGAAGAATTGGTAATATTAGAATAACAGAAAAACATAAGTAGCTTGTAGCATTTTTCCGTCAAATTAACCTTTTTTTATTTTCATATTAACCCTTTTTAACCTCAAATTAACACTTCATTTCAAATAATCAGTTTTTAATTTCAAATTAAAACTTTTTAACTTTCAATTAACACTTTTTAACTTTAAATGAACACGTTTTGACTTCATTAACACTTTATAACTTTCAAATGAACCTTTTTTACTTTCAAATTAACTCTTTTTAACTTCAAAATAACATTTTTCACTTCAAATTAACAAGTGTTCATTTCAAATTATCCGTTTTTGACTTCAAATTAGCACTTTTTAACTTTCAATTAACACATTCTACGTTCAAATGAATCTTTTTAATTTCAAATTGACTTTTTTTAACTACAAAATAACACTTTGCATTTCAAATTAATCTTTTTAACTTTCAATTAACACTTTTTAACTTTAAATGAACACATTTTAACTTCAAAATGACACTTTTTAACTTTCAAATGAACGCCTTCTAACTTTCAATTAACGCTTTTAACTTTCAAATGAACCCTTTTTTTTACAATTCAAATTAACTCTTTTTGACTTTTGAACCCATTTTAATTTCAAATTAACCCATTAAGCACCTGTTGGCATTCTGTTAATAAGGTTGTCACTAATTTCATAAGGAATTTCACTCCACTGATGTTGCAACGTTGCGCTCAGTTCTTGCATGTCAACTGGCTGCGGATGGCGATCAAAACCCCTTTTTGCAACGCTTCCCACATGTGCTCAATGTGATTTATGGAGACAATGGGGGAAGGACAGATGGGAAACTCCCAGGTTTTCTAAAAATTGATGGACAACTCTTCATCTATGAAGTCTGGCATTGCCATCCATAAATAGAAAATCCCTGCCAATGGGATCCCTGGTTTGAGGGATGTATTCCACGATACTTTCTTTAGCATAACGGACTGCGGTAAGGTTGCCTTCAACAATATGGAGTCCAGTTCGTCCTCCAGTGTGCCCAGACCATTACACCGCCTCCTCCAAAGCCCAAACTGCACTGAAGGGAGCAGGAACTATGGCATTGTAAGCATCCCCTATTTTCGATATCCTCGAAGCCTGCTATCGCAGTACAGGCAGAAATGTGACTGATCAGTACACATAACCGCATTCCAATTGGTGTTCTCTTCTAGGCCCTCGCTGCACCATATTCTCCTGATGTGCTGATGGCGGGCTGTTGCTGCAGGTCGTCCCAAAGGGCATACGATATGAGGCCAACTTCTCACAAACGATTACGAATCGTTTGTATTGATAAAGGCCTTGCCGAAATAGCTTTTACTTCGTTTAGGATCTTGCAGGGACTATGGGACACTATTTCTGTCCTCCCTTAGCGTCGTAATGCGCCGATATCCACTGCCAGTCCTCCTATTCGCACTTCCAGTCTCTCGGAATCAGGAGATAACACTCTGAGTAACGCCAACTGCCTCTGCGATATCTACAACCAGGTGACCTCGATGACTCATTCTCACAATAATATTGCGAACTTCTGGTCCAAGATAATATCTTTCCATGGTTAAAAAGAATTCAACTGGATTAAAACTGAGAAAAGACGTGAAAAGGTGTTTGTTTACAAACTGAGTAATCTTCATCTTAAATAAATCAGTTATTAAAAATGAAGAATGCAAACATTTGTTTGTTTTTGGTTGGTATTTTCTATTTTGTTTTATCAAACTAACGAGAATATATCGGTTAATTTAATTCAAATTAATAGAATAAGGATGTTTCTGACTGTCACTAGGCCTGCTGAAAGGATGGCGGTATCTTCGTATAACACACTGAAGATGGCGGAAAGTCTGAAAGGCCAAAACATGGAGGAAGGATCATCCGTCGCAAACTTCAAAAAGAAATCTCAACAACTTAATAAAAATCTGCATTTTCCAGCTATTCTTTTAAACGACCTTTAAAACAACAATAAAATGAGTTTGAAGTTATCTTTGAACCACGGTGGATCCTTACAAGTAAACATTGTGCCCAGAGGGTGGTACTTCTTGTTAACAAACATGAGCTAAGGAGGGCTTATTTGCTGGTAATTCAATTCCTTCTCTTGTACCACGTGAGTCTTAATAGACGAAAAACTTGAACCATTTCTTTCCCATTCTTGATGGTTTGTAAATAACTGACTGACTATTCTTGATGAAAGTAAAGTCGGGAATTCTAGTTCGTTAATTTTTCAGGTAGCCCGACGTGGAATGTGTGGCTTTGTGTGGTCATTCTTGAGCACGATGCTTTTGCGGTTTACCGAACCTGGCCATTTTTTTTTATCCCGAACAGCCTGTTCTTAAGTGTGCTGAATTATTTCAAAAAATTTCACCCTTCTAAAATGGAAATTCCAACAGACACAACCTTTCAGGCAAATTTCGGCAAGGAGAAGACATAACACACGATGTTGTGCTCGTTTCCAGGGGTGTCTAAACCAAACTTTGAACATGTTTAATTTGGCATGATGTGCCCTTTGATCTATTATATCCCTTATTCTGTACTTATAGCGCACCGGGGGGTCCCAGTTCGTCTTGGAATTAGTAGTTGTATTGCTTCTACGGTTTCACATTATGGTCTGTTCTTACTCTTTGAACTTCAAAGACTCATTGTGAGTAGGAACTATCTTTTTAAAAAGGATCAAAGACATCCTTCCCACTGACACTACCCCAACATAAAGTCCCACTCTGCTGACTGTTACTACAGGGTACTGTACAGTTCATTCACCCATCTTGTCTGGAAAGAATTCATCCATGGTCGTACTATTCTTAATACTGCTGACATCCCTTACCATCTTTGAGCCATGGCTAAAAAACTGGAGGATGCAAGTTGACGAAAATAAATGCCAGCACTCTATGAGCAATCCTTGACAAAGCCTTGAATTCAACAGATATAACAGCTAATTACTTTTCTTACTTTTCATTTAATATTTCCGAGTAATCCTTCCTCTTGTAATCCTGTACCTATGACTGCGTTCTGTATTTAGGGATAAAGACAGAACCTCTTCTACCTCGAACAAGATCTGTTGTACCTTTCTACTATTTCTAGAGTTCATTAGCTAATCAATCAAGTTCCACAGCCAGGCTAGTGGTTCTTTTGTGCAGAAGACTGTCTACTGTTTTACCTCACCTAGCGGCAAAAACCTATGCTTTGAGATTCTCACAGTAGCACAGAATGTGTTCCCTGGTCTCTTCTTGTTTGTTTCTTCTTACAAGTACCAGTGCTTTCTTTGACGACAGTGTGACTTTTTTGACCCACCAGGATTTGGACTCAAAGGCAAGTAGGGTTTGTCTCTAGAGTAACATTGTACGTCCCAAAGTTCTTTCTCCTATGGATAAGTCACCACTAATGCATTGGGGTCTCTTCTGCCTATTTGCAGAATTTGCACCATTTTAGTTGTTGTCAATCTTTCTAGAGTGCCCTCTTAGAATTCAAAGTCTCATTCTGCTTCCTTTGATGTATTCTATTGTTTCTTTCTTTACAAATCAACACAGGAGGTTTTTGGATTGTTTATGCCTGGTGAGTGAATTCTGTTGTTTCATCACTTTTACTGAGGTGTAATAGTTATAGATTGCAAAGTTATTCACTTCTTCATTACCTTCTACTCATATATGTCTTGGGGAGCTACTAGCAAGTGATTCTGTTTTGCACACCTAACTTGTTTGGTTTTACAATTCAGTATCATTCTCGATTGTTTAGGGATGGTTAGGGTCCAGGTAATGGGTAAAGGTCCCAAGTTCGAATCCAGCGGCCCTGCATTCGAACCCAACATACTTACAAATGGGCTTTTTTTCAAAAACACCGATACTCCGAGGGTTGATATAACCTCTGCTGTTGCGAACCCTCATAAAAAAAAAAATCATTCTCGGTCTGATTTTGGGTATCAGTCTTTGTTTTTATATCCTCTGTTTAAATTTGCAAGAATTTTGGCTTGAAAGAAACTCATGTAAAATAAATACATGACCATAGGCTCTGAATAATCATGTTTTGGGCCAAATACCCTGTGCCTTCTTGTTTTCTAGAAAAAACGGTGTATCTACAATGTTTTCCCCTTTTCCCACACCTTTTTGATACTTAAGGAAGTATTTAAATTCAAATTTCCTGTTTATGTCATCCCTAGAAGCCATGAATCTATTTATGATGTTTTTTTGTTTTTTTTAAGTTAAGCATAGTTTTTTTGATGCCATTGTATTTTTGTATGTTTTCTTCTGTTTGTTTAACTTTATCGATCTAGGTATCATCATGATGTACATCCAGAGCAGAATATCTGGTCTACAGGTCCAGTTTTTACCTGCTAGGTTTTTATCTACCTTGACTTTGAGAAATTTTGGCTTCATTTTTCAACTGACTGTTTTTAAGCCTTATTTGTATGCAATCTACGTTCTATATTTTTTTAAATGCAACCATGGTTTGTTGATGCAATGCCAAAACATATATTGGCTGACTATGACGGAGTAAAATCAGCCCGCTGACTAATCTTATCGGAATGTCAGATTTTGTGATTATAAATTAATCAATTTAACAATGTTGATTATTAGTATCTCAGTCTTGTAAACATTTTTCTATCGCCTACCCCTCAAAGCAATTTATACTGATTGACTTGTATATTTTAGCATTAGATATATAAATAAACTGACACAAATATACCTAATCTTAAAATGTTATACAAAGGAATTTTAATTGTCACTAATTAGCAATACAGAAATAAAAGTAAAATCAGGTGGCATTCCAGAAGAGAAAACATTGTATTGGGTTGTCCGGAAAATAATGCAGGATTTTGGTATTAAACAAAAAAAAAAGAAACTAGTTACTTTAAAGCAATGTTCTTTAATCAAAATAATNGTAATCCTGTAAACGTAAACAGAATATTTTATATAGATTTTTTTTAATGAAAACTTAAAATCCTGCATTATTTTCCGGACAACCCAATATTTACTGAGGCCTGTTTTAACAACAAGTAAATTTAAGGGGGTTGGTTAGCAGTTATGACACAAATGGCTTAACAACCTCTTAATTTGCTGATGACATAGTACTAATAGGGAAGAATAAAGAGGAGGTAAATGAAACATCACTTTTTTCTTTTTTAAATCAATAAGCAATTCGCTCAATTCAATACAAATAAAAATCTAGTATATATCATGAGCTATTTTTGAAAATACATCCACTCATGTATGTCAAACCTAATATTTTTGAGGAGGGAGTAAGAGGTAATAAAAATATAAAGAAGACTAAGACAAATTGATGCCAGCATCCGAAACCGAGGCTGGAGAGAACTGTGAATAAGGAATAATAAGAAAGGTTGTGAAAGATGGAAATAAATCACTGCAGGACTGCTCAGTAGCTCTTTCTTTATCCAACGTTCACGGAACAGAATGTCAGCAGTATGTAGTAATGGATAAACCATGATACTACCATGGATTCTTGCTCGGATGGGACGAGAAGAACCATATATTACCCACAAGTTAGTTTAGGACAAGGTAGTAGTCAGTGGGAATGATATCCTTGATGACTGTTCTCTATTAAGGGATAAGGACAGAGCTTCTGCACGTCAACCAAAACAGAATTATCGGGTCAAAACTCACGAGACAGCTTTAGGCTGTTCATCAGGTTCTTATGACCTCAACTAAATTTTAAGATAGATTTGAGGAGAAAGTTTTCATGCTAAATCTTATTTACAACTAATACAAAATTACAGATTGCCTAAATAGAGACAGATGTCATATTTCCAAGCAGTCCTTCCTCCACTATTTCTAAAACAGTTAGCTCTTTTTAGCTCACTAGTCACTTTTAGGCTGTCACTCATGTTCTCATGACTTCAGTCATCAATTTTAAGCAAGTTTTGAAGAGTGAGATTTGAATTAATTACAAAACTACAGATTAACTAAATAGATAATATAGTGAAAAATAGACATCTACTTGGACTGCCAGGAGGCATTGAGGACAACTACTGGATCTGCAGTAAAGTCCAGAGTCATTTAGGTTTTATTAGGCCATAAAAAATTACTCTTGTTTAGGAACAAGGACAGAAGGACAACAAAGAGGCCGATAAATTGCCCAAGGGAAGTTCGATGAGGACACCTATCACTCAAGAACCGTTTGGGACTGTCACGCCTCAGTCACACCAGAACAAAATCATCCTTGTTTGGTTATCAGATTATAAGAGTAGCAACAAGGAGGCCGATAAATTGGCGAAGGGAAGTTCCATGAGAACACCTATTGGTCCTGAACTGAGTGGGACTGCTTCAAGCCCCTGTAAGACCAGAACAAAATTCCTCTTTTTTGGTTACCATGGCATAGAGGACAACGGGGCAACTAAGAGGCTGATAGATTGGCTAAAGAAAGGACCATCACAGGAAACTAACATCAGTTGATTAATCAAGTCTGCTAATTAGTAAAAGCTAGTGCTTTTAGTGCATTCATTCAAAAGTCCAGTCTAAAATAAAATTGCATACTTTTATAGTCAAAATAAAAAACAAGAGTAAATTTTCTGCCTGGTTTTCCAAAGAACTTAGAGATTTAATTGTAAAAAAATAAAATTCTTCATTACAAACTCAAAAGAAACTCAACGCTATCAAATTACAATAATTTTTTTATTGTTAGATCAAAATGTAAGAAACTTAGCTTAATATTGCAATGATTGTATTAAATATGTACAACAAAGCATCTCACACGATATTAAATATTTTTGGAATTATATGAACTCACTTAAGAAAAGTAGTACTCTATAGAAATGATGAATGGTTCAATCCTTTTAAAAAGATAGTTCCTACTCACGGTAAGTTGTTTTCCAACGATCCGGATTTTGAGCTTTTAGCTCATCATCAGGTTGAAGGAGTTCTCTCGAGTTGAACTGTGAGTAGGAACTATCTTTTTAAAAGGATTAAGTACTGATTTAATACTCTACCTGGTATAATAATGCATTTAGACAATGGAAAAGTGATAATATTATGGCTATTTTAACATCTTCGGTCGATTTTTTTCCAGAGTTTATACCACTCATGCTTCAAATTCAGTCAATCCACAGTGTGTATTCAGCTTTAACAAATTTTTGGACATCTCCTCAATCAATATTACTTCAGATCCAACTTTAAAGAAATGAATTGGTCTCAATCACCATAAGTGACCAAGTCCAGAGGTGATTCCTTTTTTATCTTAAAATTTAAGATAAATTCTCTACCAAGGTGAATTTCTGGTATGTTTGAAAATAATGGACGTTGTTCCTTTATATAATTCTGGTGAGCGAACCAATGTTATAGATGTAGATGCGGATGTACGTAGAAAGATATGTGTAGATGTCGGGGTGTAATACACTGCGCCCTCTAAGAGCTAATGTATCCCTTGTTCTCTGCCTAACACACACCGGTGAGTCCTATTTCATCAAGGAACTTGATTAGTAGGCCTGGTTTCAGTGGTTGAATTTCTTCTATGGTTAAATTGTACATCTGAAAACACTTCTTCCTGCGGGCAAGTGTAACACCACAGTTAGTAGGTGTGTTGGTGTCTCCTCTGCAGAATCTACATCTCCCGTCTTGGATTATTCCAATCTTCTTTAAGTGTCCATTTAGCTTGCAGAGTCCTGTTAATAATCCTGTTAGGAATTGCAGGTTTTTCCTGCTTCCTTTGACACTTTCTGTACCTTCTTTCCTTACGAAATTTGTTAGGTGATTCTTGGATTGCCTGTGTCCTATGAGTGAATTCCATTGTTCCTTCATTTTCTTTTTGTCCTTCTGTTTGAGATACTCATTGACAGTGTGGGTTCCTATGCCACAGAAAGGTTCGGATCCTATCAGCAGTGTAGCAGCTCCTTTCCTTGCAAGGGTGTCTGCTTCTACCCCTATGTGTCCTGGGACCCAGTAGAGGCTGACTTTGTTCTACATATCTAATATGTTTATTTTGGTTTTGCAATTCAACACCATCTTTGATCTAATAATATTTGAGTTTAGTGCTTTGATGGCTGCTTGGCTATCTGACATGATAGCTATGTTCTTGTTTTTGTACCCTTTAGTCAAGTTGAATTGAGTGCATCTCTTGATTGCGTGAATCTCAGCTTGAAAGATGCAGGTGTATTTTCCCAGGGGTTTTGAGTATTCGGTTCCAGGACCGAATACTCCTGCCCCTGTACCTTCTTGTGTTCTAGATACATCTGTGTACCAAAAGATGGTGCCATTCTTAAAGGAGGCATTTTCCTCTCGTTCCCATTCTATTTTGATACCAACCAACATTAAAAATTACTATCTAATTTCTATTCAATCATCCATAGGTAAATTATTTGAATCACTTGTCTTGATATAAATTTCCAATTTCTATCAGACCATTGATTTCAGGCGAGCAACATGGCTTTGTCAAGAGCACATACACAAAAGTAATCTTCTCACCTTCCAACTTTATGCAATTAGTACCTTCAGTTCGAGGTCTCACGTGGATACGGTATATACCAATTTCTCCAAGGCCTTTCAGGGCAAACCTGTGTTTATGGTAATTCTGGTATAATGCTTCTCTGGTTTAATAGCTTTTTAAAGAATTGTAGACAAAGAGCCAGAATTAAGTCTGTGCATTCAACTAAATTTGATACTCCTTCAGGAGTTCCTCAAGGGTCGCACTTAGGCCCAATCTTATTCCTCCTTTTCATAAATGATCTTCCTTCCTCCTTGTATCCAGTTAGATCTCTCGTTTGCTGATGACCTAAAACTATTCCTTTCAATTACCAGTATCGCTGATTGTTCCATTCAACAACATTCACCAAACTCTCTGCATCATTGGTGCAAGCAAAATAATATGGCACTAAATTTAGATGAATGCACTATTATTATTTCTTACCAAAAATTTAAAAACTTGCATTTTGATTACAATTTTTACATGTTTTTTTAAGGTTATCCATCACTAAAGATTGATTCTAAATTAACTTTTAACCACCATACTGAAACTACGTGTAAACAACCTTACAAAAATCTAAGATTCCTTTACCGATCGTCTCGTGATTTTACTGTTGTGACTCCTCTGATATACCTGTATCATACCTTTGGTCTGTCCTATCCTTGAATATTCTAACTGTATCTCTCTCCTTTTTTTTTTCCACGTCTTCTCAACATCATCGAAATCAATTCACCAGAGTTGTTAGAATATACCAATTTTAATGTTCCATCAGTCTGCACATGAAATATCCAATTATTCTATCAATCTTAATCTCATACCAATAACATCTGTTTGCTCTGTAGGATGATGGTCCTAATTTACTTCCTGAACAGGTTGACCTGAACCAAATTTCTAAATACAAACTAAAAAAACCCTTCTAACACCTAAATTGTAATTGTTCTTTAATTAATTTCTGTTTATCAGAAGTTAAACCCAACTTCTTTTTTTATATAGTGTTTTCCCTTTATAATTCCTTGTTTTTAAATTCATATTATATAAAGGATTTTTGTAAATTAAGCACATGTGTCCATGTAATAAATAAATAAGCGGAACTACTAAATATAGTCTGTGTTAGGACTAATAGTTAAACTGCTGACTCCAGAGGTATATATTCTCCTAGGGGCAGAAACAAGTCTGTACGGTTGCCAGTAAGAAGAGGAACATGTCCTCTGTTAGTACGTAAGCTAAGTGGAAAAGCCTGGACTTCAAGGATACTGACGAGAGTCTTTGAAAAAGCTCTGCACAATGGAGATGCACTATAGACCACTATTGGTCGCAGTGCACAGTTCATAAAGATAACGACTCCTACTTTAATCTTAATTTCACTAATTTCCGCTTGACCAATTAATATATTACAATTAATTAAGGTTTTTAGTTGAGATAAAAAAGTCAATGGCACGAGCGGGATTCGAACCCACGACCTCAAGGTCACGATAGCTCAAGTGGTAGAGCAGCGGCGTATCAAGCCAAAGATCGTGGGTTCGAATCCCGCTCGTGCCATTGACTTTTTTATCTCAACTAAAAACCTTAATTAATTTTAACCTTAATCCTAATCTTAGCTAATAGAATGCTTAATTGAATTAAATCAAGAACAAAAAGTAGACAAAGCTTTGAATTCAACAGATATAATTGGTAACAAACTACATAGTACAAATTTTGAAATTATTTTTCATTTAACGACATATTTCCCATTGCGGTGATAAGAACGTTGTAGTCGAATGTCTTTGGATCTTTGTTAAAATGTTTGACTATTTGGTATTTATCATCGCTACCGTAGAAATACTGCACTACGTTGACGATGCAGCTGGCTTCGAGGCTGGAAAGTATTTTGTTATCGTATTCCCCCAGCATGAGGACAATGTCTTGAGGTAGTTCGGGGAAGTAAGTCAGACAGAGGCATTCGGGGCAGCTCTCTTTGTGAAGTTTGTACTGGGCCAATGAGGCGAAGTGTAACCCGTTGTCTTCGTACTGCGACATGAAGAATTCGTAGCCTTCCCCCCTGGGAAGAGGGACGACAAATGTCGGACATTCTTTACACTTAGACGCAAACTTGTTATAGAGTTCTTTGGACATTGTGGCGAAAACGACGTCCTCTTTGGACTTGTAGTACTCTTTCCATATATGGTCCACCTCTTCTTTGCTCTTCCCTTTTAACTTATCAACGTTCATTATGCTGTCTAAGGTTTTGTTCTTGTATCCTTTTTTCTCTTTGGCTTTCGACTCTTCCACATTTTTCTGCAAGTTGGGAGGTTTGAGCTTTTCCTTCAATTGCTTTTTACGACCCTCGAATTCTTTTAACTTCTGTTCAAAAACATGAGGATCGGTGACGCGCAACTTTTGGATTTTGGACGCGTATTTTTCGAAAAACGGATTCTTTTCTAAATCGTCTTCAGCTTTGGCCAGGCTGAATGGGCTCGTCATTATCCTCCGTCTGTTTCTTATTAAATTATTGAAACGAAACAATTTCCCACTCTGTGCCATAAGCTCAGTCCTTAAAAAACATTTTAATGAGCTTAATGTTAATATATTAAAAAAAAAAAAAACTTGTCAGAGACAAACACACGTGTATCACCTGCTAAGGGAGCCGACAACCTTTACTGATAACATCAGAGTTTTTTTGAAGTCCAATGCAGTCGACGTCACGAAAGTCCTTTTTTCTACTCCTGTTCGCCAAAATTAGAATAAAATTTAACCAAAAAAATTCGAACAGTTTTAAAAGCTTTTTTTTAACTTCTCAATAAATATGACTTTTTTTAAATATCGTGCTAGAGTTGTTGCTATAGTTTCAAGTCCTTAAAAGTTTATGAAAATTAAGAAAAAAACATCTGTTTAAACATTCTGAAAATGGATTAAGGTGTTTGGCTAATTTCAAATTGTGAATTTAAGAAAAAATTGCATTTTCGTCATTTAATGGTATTTTTATTACCGAATTTAAATTGCAGCTCACCTGCTGAACACCTAAAATTTTATAAGAATTCTATTAGAGTTAAAAGAGTTTAAAATAAACTAGAGAATAAAAAATTAAATATGTCACATTTTCACGTTCGCACTCTCTCTCTCTCTCTCTCTCTCTCTCTCTCTCTCTCTCTCTCTCTCTCTCTCGCCTCCTCTCTCTCAATCTATCTGTCTGTCTATCTATCTACCTATTCTTTCTCTCATTCTCTCACTCTCTTTTCTTTTTCTCTCTCTTTTACTTTGTCTTTCTCTCACTCTCTATCCTTTCTCTATACATGTCCTATGTTGTAACACTTAATAAATAAAAGTATTAAGTCTCTCTCTCTCTCTCTCTCTCTCTCTCTCTCTCTCTCTCTCTCTCTTTCAGTTTTTCATTCCTTTTCTTTTCACCCTCTTACTCTCGCTGTCAATCACTCTCTCCCTGAGAGAGAGGAATACTATTTGAACGTAATGTTTCTCGACAATTTTATCGGGAAGTCTAAATTTTGTTCATGAAACTTTCGCAATTATAGCGTATCACACTTGTATCGAGTTATGGTGAGTACATACCTCGAAAAAAGGTTTTTTGTTCAAATATCAACTGGAAGAAATAATTTTAAAACTAAACTGTGCCAAAATGATGGAATGAAAATTAAAAAATTCATTATATTTTAAATGAGAGAGGGGTCAATTGATAAACTCACCGTTTTAAGTGTTTATGACGTCAAGAAAAACACAGACGAATTCTTTTATCTTTAGAAACGGTTAGAGTGTCTAAGAGTAACTGTATGTCTTTTCCACGATTAAGTTCCGAAGCTCCAAACATAAAACGGACGTTATACTTAATATTAAAGCAGTATTTTTCTTAGTATATATTTTTTTAAAGTGCGTCTTTTTCTGCTTTTTTCTCCCGGATCGAAATATTCATGAAGTTGAATTTACATCGGCATAAACCATAGGAAAGACTGCGGCCGAAAAAAAAATTTTTGAAGCTCTAATGTAAGTAATATAGTCTCGGTTTATTTTAAAATGTTCAAAACCATAGGTGCCAGGATTTGGGATTGGGTCGATACTTAAACCATGCCAAGTTTTTGACTTTTAGAATTAGCCAAACACAACTTGAAAGTTTCGACTGTTTTTTCATACCAGTACCTGTCTTGATGACGGTACGGAAATGACTTTGTTTGAACTTAATTTTCACTATGAGACCCTTATTCAAAGAATTTCAATCTGTTAAAAACTTTTTATAACATAAAAAGTCGTGATTGTTTTATTTTATTTTACTTGCGTCCTTCCCTCTTTTTCATACCCTTCCTTGTCTTATTTGGCCTCTTTGTTGTGTAGTCCTAGTTTAAAAACAAAATTAATCTTGTATTGGGAGAAAAATACCCTTCGGTTCCGACTAAATTATGAAGTATAGGTAAAGTCGTACCCACTCACAATCACAGTTGGCTTTTGTCGGATTTCCAACCGATATAGAACAAATTTCACACCGTTTACTATCTGTTAAAGTTCGAGTCAACGTTACAACACTTTCACTCACTGGGGAGGAACTTCCTCACTGAAGATGTTGTTCAACAAACCTGCGTGCGAAGAACACAATAATCCATGAATCCATCGACTCACTGACCAACACTCAACATCAACCCTTTCACTCCCAGTTGAATGGATTAGTTTTGACTCATAAGTCTTTTGACCTTTTTTTAACAAGGCATCTCTATTTTTCCCCTTGATTATTTTACAACACTATAACCTCTTTCTGACCTCTGATTGGGTTTATATTCTGTAGTGCTGGCTCGCCTACTTCATCCTTATCGCCCATGCCTCATGTCCATACTTGTAGTGGGTTCTTTGGCTGGATTGGCGGCTAAAAGGTGACGACCTCAAGGCTGTAAGGGAGAGGGTGAGGAGCAACCTCGGCAAGTCCTTAATGCTGAGTTACTCGAGCATATTTTTCATACACGAAGATATGCATCCTCTTGTCCCCACTGCTACAATGGCCACCACAAAGTGACTTTTCCGGTGCACCCGGTTCCCTGAACAGTGAATACTGTCATGGCTTTCAACGTGCTCGCAGTCACAGAATGGTACACAGTACTCAACGTCATCCCTTCACTCCCTGTTGAATAGATTAGCTTAGATGCAGAAGTCTTTTGACATTTTTTAATAAGGTGTTTTTATATTCATAAATTCAGTGATGGTGAGTGGCCTAACTAGCCCAACCCGGCAGACGGATGACCTGCATACATGTCATGAGCTTGTTCACAAAGAGTGCTTCTCAAAATTAGTTTCCACATACTTAAGCCTGGTCCAGGATCTTCTTTCGGCAGTTTCCTGCTTTGACAATTGACTATTCGACGAATCGCAATCAATAGGTCTTTGCTGGTTGAGTCTCTAACTGAGTGTAACTGCTTGACTTCTATTGACTATGTGAGCTACTGACTTTTCTTTTCAAATCATCCCCTTTTATACCAGTTTCCCAACCAAGAAAAACTGCTGGGCCCGATAGTCAACTTCCTTCTTGCAAGTGTTAGCCATACAATAACTCGTAATCCTCAGGAGTTTCCATTATACAGCCTCCTGGTCCCATGTCAATCAACTTCCGGCGAAGAGTGTACAACGCCCACCCGGCAGACCTGACCCCAAATTTATGGTGTCCCACAGTTGGATGAACTGTGTCTGCGTTGACCTTTCCAGACTAAATGGCTCCTCGACTTCCATTATTTATTGGACAGACAACTCATTTGGCGCATTTCCAGGTTTGTAGGTAACATCTCTTTACTCACTACTGAGTGGGTGACCTGTCAGATTTATAGCAACGTAGTTATGTTTGGAATTCCTTACAACTAGTTCAAACATATTTTAACAAATATTCTTAACTTATTCTAAGACAGGGATAAACTTACAAGTTTTTTATTTGACTGGATGATTTTCCTGTTAGAATGTTACCATACTAAACAAAAAGTGCTTTGTTCTTTCCATGTAGATCCAATTTTGGCAGGTTACCCTGAAAATTTTGCCGGCGAATCTTCATTACTTTTGTACATATTTATGATTGCTCAAATGAAAATAAAATTGTAACTATTTATTGGTAGGCTGCAAGTTGAAGATTTGACTTGATTGAGGATAAGCCATACCTGTCAGGCACATGGCTTTTAGATCGAAATTCGCACAGGTGCCCGTTTGTTGAAAAGGTTGCTCAGTGAGCCATATTTGATCGAAGAGTGGTCTTGGCTTAGGCTCGTCTCACACTCAAACTGACTAGATCCGACTGTGATTATGGACAACTTAATTATCTAATGCGAGCTCTCACACTGAACATCCGTAGTTTGCATTTTGATTGGCATGCATTTGAAATGATTTTTTAACGAATAAGTTTTGTATGAATTTTAAAACTAATTTCAATGAATTCAAAGAATTACTTTTTTTGTGTCCATGGCCACTCACGAAAAAACCTGATGATCAAAGAGTGTAAGACCTCGCTATCTATGGGACCAGAAATCTGCAAAAAGTGGAAATTCCCTTGAAAATGGGCAAACGATCCAAACACATGTCCACAACCTCGTCTATTGTGCCCATTTTGTTGGTCAGACATATTGCAAGAAGCAAATAGATCCAAAATAGTTTTTTACTGCAAACCGTGTGAAAAGGTCCTGGCCTGCTGTATATGGACTGATAAAAAAAAATCGTGTCCAGGGGAGGATATAATTATGGGACCAACAGGAAGATAACTACACTAATTACATTCGAAATGTGCAAACATTTTTTGTGTACTTTTTCAAAAAGAAATAATTTATATTGAGTTTCAGTTTTGTAAAAAGATTATGTAAGCTTCATTAAATGAAAATTCTATTATTAGATTAGAAGTGAGGCCTTAGGTCGAACACAAAAATCCCAGCTTTGTCGAGTCTCAAAACTAGACAGATGTATACGCATGATTAAGTCTGAAAAATCAGACGTAGTCGGTTCCAATGTGAGAGCAGCTTTAGAAGGAGTGAGTAGACATGACCTGATATAATGAAAGTGCTCAGGCAGGCAAGACAATTGCTTGGTATTATATCATTTATTGAATTGTCTGTATTCATAAATGAAACGGAGGTGTTTCCTCACATACACAAGTGTATATGTGTATATATTAATATAATAATATGTAATTTTTCAATTGAATGATTGTGTGTCCGTAGCCCTCCCCCCCCCAAAAAAAATAACATTTCAAAGATTTTAATGCAAAAAGCTAATTATTATTTTAATGTCAGTAGATGAAAATAAATCAATTCGTCATTGAGTTGGTACATCTGTGAAATGCAATTTCACGCTTTAAAGCAGTTAATTGAAATCCGATTTGATTGAATATTTAGTTTAATTTAATTTTCTTTTTTTTAATACATATATTTATACTATTTTTATATACTTTCCACCCATTTGATTATTTTAGGTATGTGATATTAAAATACACCATTATTATATTTTACCCTGGAACCTGGCCCTCTTAGTAATGGCTTTTGTTCAGTTCGGGAATATTAAATATTTATAGCATTAAAATCCTTACATCTTTATTTTACAATACTCAGTATTAGCTTGTTTTCCTATAGCCAATTTTTTTTTTTTCTTTCTGCATAGGGGTATTGAAACAGTAAGTTTTTATATCTCTGACTCATATTTGCCATTCTAGCGGTTCTGGGTTCAAATTCTGGCACTTTGGACTTTTATTTAAGACTAATTTGATAAAAAAAGGTTTTGTGAAGTGGAACAACCACAAGGATACATGTTGAACCGGCACACGGGCACTACTGGGTCTGTCTTCACTCGCGGGTTTTTTGTTTGAGTTATTCAAACGCGTTTCGGCATTACGCCATCTTCAGTGAAAAACTTTTTCATTTTTTTTTTTATTTTTCACTGAAGATGGCGTAATGCCGAAACGCGTTTGAATAACTCAAACAAAAAACCCGCGAGTGAAGACAGACCCTGTAGTGCCCGTGTGCCGGTTCAGCATGAGTTCGCCAACTCGCAGACCAAACCCCATCATCTACTGTAACCACAAGGATAGTTAGACGTTAAGCCTTCCTGTATTTATCCAAAAACAAAGATAATAGAATAATCGAAGTTAACTTTATTATGTGAGAGTAATAATAATATAATAGTACTATTTACATTAGTTTAGATAATTTTGATCTATCCAGGGTTTTTTTTCCTGTCAGTTGCGCGTTTCACACAATTCTCATAAATGTAAAGCATTTTTCCTCCCCTGTTTATAACCCTGGCTAACCGTGAGATGTGCTGAATGCATCTGACAGACCAAACCAGTGAGTCCACAGTTGCAGGCCATCCAAAATGATCGGAAACCATGATTTAGGTTAATCATTCTGCAGACCTCGAGAAGAATGTCAGTTTAAAATAATATTTGGAATTAATTAATTTCTAAGAAAGAACTGAATTACATGGCTGCAAAAAAAAAGTTCACTACATAATTTTTGTTTTGATATAAAATTAAATTGTATATTATGAATTTATATTTCTGGTATTGATTATTTGGAGATCGTGAGGTGCCGTCTGGTGTGACGTAGGTTTTAGAAAAACATTTTCTTTAACATGCCAATGTTTCGATCTTTATTGAGATCATCTTTAGGGCTCCAAGTGTTTGTTTTCTGTGTAGATGTGTCATTCTTGTGTGTCGTGTGGGCACTCTCAACACGACACACAAGAAAGATCATGTGACTTTGGCATGATAAAGAAAATGTTTTTCTAAAACATACATCACACCAAACTGCACCTCACGACCTCCAAATAATTATTGGCTAATGGTCACTAAACACCACACATTCCTCATATTATATTAATTATAATACTGGCAAGGGTGTGGCTTGTGCTGTGAATCACGAGGGTGAGTTCACATGGCATAACTGTATGCGATTTGGCTCGTGTTTGGGGTGATTTAAAACAATGGTGACTCTGCTTGCCTTTTTGCACCAACTCCCTCAGTGTGGTTATGCTGTTTTTGGCTACTTTTCTATTGACCCTCTCATTTTGCTCTTGTTGGAGAGATACAATGTACTGGAGAATCTTGGCAAAACGGTGGTTGTCTAGGTACCCAGACACATAGGTCTGGAGGTAATGTTGCCCCAGCATAAGGACTTAACCACCGCGATCAAGCCCCCTGATGTTAAAAGGGTGACAACACGATTAAAAGAAATTGGTAGTATCGATGCGCCCAGCAGAAAAGATCTTGTGTATCAATAGCACCATGAAATAGGTGGCCCTTGGATGACCTGACTTGTAGAAGAGCCATCCTCACTTGATTTAGAATAGGCCAAGTGAGGTTCGCACACAGACAGTTACTTTTAGACCAAAGCCTGCGTATTCCTTCCATTAGGCCTTCCATTAGCGCCTTATTAAAGGTTGGTGTACTGCTGGATGCTAATAGAATGGAGAAATTTTGAGGGAATTCGCAAAGCTCCAGGAGTTTGTAGTTATTAACAGCAACCAATCCAACATTTTCAACAAATTCCAAATTTCAACATTTTTGTTTTTTCTGAATTTTTTGTGCAAAATTTTTTCATCAATTCTGCAATGTAAATAAGTTTTCTTACAGCAAATTTAACATTTTCAGGTGGCACAAACCAGATTTTTCTACAGTCAGAATTTCTGCAATTGATAAGCAATTTAGTGGACCTAAGTTGAAAAATAAAAATAACCCAAAACATGAAATTACTTCATTACCATTGAGATTTAGACAAGGGTTTATAGGAATTTTTTGTAGCATGTGGTGATTAGAAACTCCTGAAATTTTCCACACTTATCACTAGTCAAGCGTCATATATGTAATGGAGCCATTGAGCAGTGTTAAAATTTTATTAGGGCAGGTGCTAAATTTGTTTCAGAGAATACACAATTGAAATATTCCTTTTTTTTCTGTTACATTTCATTTCCTAAATAGCTACTATATTGAATCACATTTCTCCCCTGACATCATTATTATCTGTAAACAACTTAGACAATTCTTGTATTATATTAAGCCCTTTGGTTTGATTTGTTCTACACCAATCGTCATTTTATGATTTATAAATTAAAAATTTTAATCCTCAAATAAAAAAGCCATCGGTGTTTTAAAAAAAAACTATCGGGTTGTCCGGAAAATAATGCAGGATTTTAAGTTTTCATTAAAAAAAATCTATATAAAATATTCTGTTTACGTTTACAGGATTACTCATTTGTATGAATGTCAACACTTATTAATCCTCTTCCAAATGATATTGTTTGTTTACCTCTGTAGCATTCCGCTACTTGGAAATAATTCAGTCATCCTTATAATGTCAAAGCGAGAATTTCGTACGATTTTCTTTTACGAGTTTAAACTCGGCCGAAGCGGAGCCCAAACGGCTAGAAACATTAACCAAGTCTGGGGCGAGGGTTGTGTTAATGAGTGCACTGTGCAAAGGTGGTTTAAAAAATTTCGGGAGGGAGATTTCAGCCTTGAAGATGAAGAAGGTCGTGGAAGGCCTTCCTCTCTTAATGATGATGTTCTGCGATCAGTGGTGGAAGAAAACCCCAAAACAACTGTTCGAGAACTTGCAGAGCAACTCAAAGTCAGTAAAACGACCGTCGCTGACCACCTCAAGGCGATTGGAAAAGTGAAAAAACTCGAAAATTGGGTTCCACACTCATTAAACGATCGCCAAAAAATCAGCGCTTTGATGTTTGTGCATCACTTCTTTGTCGAAACAAAAATGACCCATTTCTGGCCAGAATTGTTACATGTGACGAAAAGTGGATTCTCTACGATAACACTAGACGTTCTGGACAGTGGCTCGACAAAGGAGAAGCTCCAATACATTTTCCAAAGCCCCCAACTCATCAAAAAAAGGTAATGGTTACGGTATGGTGGGCTTCATTTGGTTTAATACACTACAGCTTCTTAAATCCTGGCGAAACCATCAATGCTGAATCATACTGTAACCAAATTAATACCATGCATCAGAAATTGGCAGTAATAAAGCCCTCTTTGGTCAATCGGAAAGGGCCCATTTTGTTGCATGACAACGCTCGACCACATGTGTCACGTGTAACGTCACAAAAATTATTGGAGCTTGGCTATGAAACTTTGCCTCACCCACCCTACTCTCCGGACCTCTCGCCTACTGACTACCATTTTTTTAGACACCTGGACCACTACTTACAACATCTCTCTCTCTCTCTCTCTCTGACTACCATTTTTTTAGACACCTGGACCACTACTTACAACACATAATATTCAAAAATCAAACGGAACTGGAAAATGCATTTATTGACTTTATCAATTCTAAAAATTCTGAATTCTACTCAGACGGAATTAATAAGTTACCAACACGTTGGGAGAAATGTATTGAGAGTATGGGAAATTATTTTGATTAAAGAACATTGCTTTAAAGTAACTAGTTTCTTTTTTTTTGTTTAATACCAAAATCCTGCATTATTTTCCGGACAACCCAATATATTGATAAACACTGCATATAGATAAACCTTTAGCAATGTTTCTATGATAATATCAATTACAAATAGCTTTGGCCTACGTTATTATTTTTTATTACATTATCTCCTGTCCTGTCTGTAAATTGTAAAACTCTGTATTACAAACAAATGATTTTTTTTCTTATTAATAATGGCTGTGACCTTATTTGTCATTAAGCCTTGAATTTATACTAGTTAACGGTGCAGCCCGGCCCCATCAGAGCGAAGCCCCCACAAACCCTGGAGCAGTGGCAGCCCTAGGCTTGGAAAGAACGGAACCCCACGGATCTCTCGCGGCTGATGCTTTTAATCTTAATATTGTGCACAGGGCTTTATCGAGGAGGGGTCGGTGTCTAGTCCTCCTTCAAGCTCGCTGGAGATTCCTTGATCTCTTGAGTCCGGGGAGGCACCCCTCAATCCAGCCCAAGGCCCCGCACGGGCATCCCCAGAAGTCAGCCTTGCTGTACCGCCTACACGGGGAACCAGCAAAGGAAACAAGAGTTGAGGGGATGGGATATTAAATTTTATCTATTAGTTGGATGTCTGTTAAGAAATTAAAATTTTTTTTTATTGATGTTGAGTTGTTGCTTAGTATGGATTGGAGGTTTTTGGGGATTTGGTGGAGGGTTCTTGTAGAGGTGTATATAGGACAGTCTATTAGGAAGTGGGATATTGTGATAGTAGTTTTACAGAGTGGACATATAGGTTTAGGGTTTTTTTAAGGAGGAAACGTGAGTCGGGAGTGGCCAATTCGAACCCGGGTTAGGAGGGTTTCTTATTTTTGGGAAGGTCTGGAAGAGGATTCCCATTTCTTAACATCTTTCTTTATTGCGAGGAGCTTGTTTCCAGTGCAGGCACCGCATTCACACTTCCATGCCACCCAGACGAGCCGCCTAAAGTGACAGCAGAGGCACTGAAGGGAACCCCTCTGTGAGGAACCACTTATCAAAATCTTTTTTATCAAATTATTCTCATATAAACTTTCAAAGTACCAGGATTCGTACCCAGAACTGCTAGTATGGTCAATGAGTCAGATGGCCCAATTTAATGTTTTAACACCCCTCTGCAGAAAGACCACAAAAAAAAAAAAAAAAAAAAAAAAAAAAAAAAAAAAAAAAAAAAAAAAAAAAAAAAAAAAAAATGTGGCTATAGTAAAACAAGCTAATATACCGAATATTATACTGAAAAATAAAGATATAAAGATTTTAATGCTATAAATATTTAATATATAGAACTGAACAAAAGATGTTGCTCTGTGTGCCAGGATAAAAAAGCCAAATTTTGTTTTCATTAATTTAATACCACATAACAAAACAGGCCCAAAATATTCAAATGGGGGAAAGTATATAACAAAAGAATACAAAAATTGAAAAAATATTAAATTAAAATAAACATTAAATTGCATCGGATTCAACTTTCTATTCTGTAGTGTAAAATTGAATTTTACATTGTTGCAGCTCAAATGAATCAATTTTATTGTTAAGGTTTTCTTCTAATGTACATGCCAAAATATTTATTTTTTTTATTAAGTAAATTGTAACATAATTCCTGGAATAAAGAAGACCTTAACATATAACTAACAGGGGGAGGGGGGGGTCAATTCACTTTATAATATTTATTTTTAAAATTGTTCACAATTAAAAATAACAAGGGTATGCCAGGATTCGAACTCAGAACTGCTAGAGTGGCAAATGCCAATCCGGAAAACAACAGCTCGACCCTGCTTTGCTTCTAACAATTATGACTTCATTAAATATCACATTTTCTAGATTTATTTCAAAACTTTCACTAGCTCTACTTAATTCTAAGATATCTTTTTAATTAGTATTTTTCAAAGCTTCAAATGTAAAAGTAATTGACGAATCCTAGAAAGTTCATTATAGGTGCACAAGGGATAATCAGCATGATTTAATAAGTTGAAAGTTGTACTGCAAGTTTTTATTTGATCTAAAGATTAAATGAAAAAATTAATTTTATATTTTATTTTAAGAGAGGAAAATGTCAAGCAAATGTAAGCCCTGCGAGTTCATTTCTTCCTCAAATATATTTAGGTGGGTACACCAAATAGTTTTAAAAATTTAAACAGTTATAATTTGAATGAGTTTAAAGGATTTCACTTTAGGGGAAGATGTGAGTCGGAGGGAGGACGTTGCCAACATACTCGTACAATAGTTCAGAAATCCAGATGATATCCTGTGAATGACCTGCATAATATTGGTAAAGATATGCCAAGTTTCATTTGATCAGGGGGGTGGGAAGGGATAATGGAACAATTGTTAATGAGATACTCAAGAGAAACAATGTATCCTTTGTGTGTGTTGCTATATATTCATTTACTTTAATTTTTTTTAAATTATTGTAAACAATGAAAATTTTTGCATAGATTTTTTCATTTATGAGGAAAAAATTCAGTACAAATTTGAACAACTAGATACTAATTGGTGTATATTTCAGGTTCTCCATATTGATTTGATATCAAGTAGGGGATTAACTCTACTTTGCTTGAAAATGCATACTATTAAAGGTATATCAAAATGAGCCGATGCTTCTTTTTCAGCTCATATATATGCATTTTTTTCTTTTATAGGAATGGATTATTACCTACCACCAGTAAGAAATGAAATCGGCCCAACAATTACAGGAACTTCGGAATTTATTAAAGAACTCCAGCAGAGAACATTTAGAAGGTGAATTATTCTATTATTCTACCACAAAACCATTTTACTAATTTATTTTATTTTTTAATGGAAATTTTGTATTGAAGCAAATATATACCATCTAGAATCTCTTTAAATTGAAATTTGGTCATTATTGATCATTTTGGCCCGTCAGATGTTTTGGCATGTTGCCATTTTCAGTGTTGGCTCTTGTACATATTTATCATATATGTATGTATTGGGTTGTCCGGAAAGTCATAGAGATTTTGAAATTATGTTTTTATTTTATCTAATACAAACAAAATTGATGAGAAAGCTAATTAATTCACTTGCACACATTCGTGGTTAGCTGACAGCACAGTTCAAAAGTGGTTTTCATGGATCAGGTTTGGGGTATTCAACTGTAAAGACTGTCCCCAATCTGGTCAAATTTAAACGGTTGATATCAAAAATATTAAAGCTGTTAGCAGAAAATAAACAATAAAGATTGCTAAAAGATTCGATATTGCCAGACCATTTTTGACGATCTTTAAAAAGCTAGGTATTAAACAATTCCTTACTTAACCTAACTCTTTCTTACTTATCCTAACCTAACTCTAACCATTTCTTGCATAATATAACCTTATCATTCTTTGTTGCACCTAACCTAACCATTCCTTATGTAACCTAACCCCAACTGTTCCTTACTAAACTTAATCCTTACAATTCCTTACTTAACCTAACCTAACTACCATTTCTTGAAAACCTAACCTTATCATTCCTTACTTAACCTAAACCTAACCAATCCTTACATAACCTAACCCTAACTCTTCTTACTTAACCTAACCTTATCATTCCTTACATAACCTAACCCTAACTCTTCTTACTTAATCTAACATAACCATAACCATTTCTTATTTAACCTAATCCATCCCAAACGTCTAAGAAAAAATAAATAAATAATTTCAATCAATTAAGGTTTTTAGTTGAGATAAAAAAGTCAGTGTCACGAGTGGGATTCGAACCCACGATCTTCGGCTAGATACGCCGCTGCTCAACCACTTGAGCTATTGTGACCTCGATCCACTCGGACACTAACTTCCTATCTCAACCCTACCTTTTGAATTTTCCCTCCTTTTTGCCATTTTTCAAATGTCGTGTAATCTATTTGATTCTCGGCGACAAATGAAATGGCCACAGAGAGTTTTAGTAAAGGTACATTTGTATTTTATGTAAATTTCCCTATGAACTTTTCGGATAAACCCCTGGAAGGTAGTTGCAAATCCTTGAATTAAAAAAAAAAAAAAAAGTGAAACAACGAGATATATGTATATTTTTATCATAAAAAATGTATATTTTTGTAATAAAAAAGAATAATGTTGCATTATTCTTACTACTTGATAAGTACTTCTTGATACCATGAAGAAAAATATGTTTTAATTTTTTTAACAATACCAAATTTGTTGATCATAACAATTTGTTTATCCTTAGCACTGACGACTTTTTGCTTTTTATGAAAGCAGAAGATTTGAATGAAGACTACTTCAGTCAGTATGGATTTAACCGACCAATTATGATCATTAATAATGACGGCCTGGGTCTTAAAGTGCCAAACACAACCAAGTTTTTGGACATCTGCAACATGTTGAGTATGTAGAAATTGTTGTAATTATTTTACAATTAGCAATATTTACTGTTTTCATTCACAGAACAAGATGTGGCTGAAGTAGAGGTGATTGATGTTGAAAAACAGTGTCAACGTAAGCTCTCACTTTCAGAATTTACAGATTATTTGACAAGTGAGCCAAGAACATCAACATTAAATATGATTAGTCTTGAAGTATCTAAAACAAGGTAACTACTGTTATTACAATATAATCTGTTTTAATTTTACTAACAAACAATATCTCGAATATTTTAGAATTTTGTTGTTTACACTGTGAGTTTTTCATATATGTATTATTTTATTAGTGTTAAGATCTGTAGCAGAATCCTGTTGGCCCAGGTGTAAAAATGAGCATCGAGTATTTCCTCCCCTTAGAATCAATGACATATATGAAAAGAATTTATGTAAGAATGTATATTTCATATTTAACCTAAACGTGAATAGACCTTCATTAGGAATAATGGACAACAACGCATTATTGATAATTCCTAACTTAATACTATGTATAAATTTTGATCTAGAATCTCTCTTCGCACTCACATATTTTCTTTGTCTGATGGAAAAAACATACACTCATGGTTATTTACACTTTTCTGGACTAGTAATGATACTCGTTCAGGCTTGCACACTCCCTAGGCCCAGTGACGAGTTATCTCATCTTCGTTGGTTTTCCTTTTTAGGAGCCCTAGCTGGACACTCATAGCATCAATTGTACCTGATGCATAGCAGGTACCTCAGTAGTGACTGGACACCTTTCCATTCCTAGAATCATTATGTGTCATGACCTATGCTGGTAATCTGTCTGGCAGTTAGGGCCAGTGTGCTTAAAGAATCTGTGCCAGAGAAGAGGACAGGAGCTTCATCCAAAGCTTATGTATGTGTCTGGCATGCAGAGAAAAGTTGCTTGATGTGCCTCAACTAATTGAAGAGTGCAATTCCTTGGTTCTATAGGAATGTCACCCGATATTGTGCTTGAGCACGGCAGCAAGTATCTGAGCGTCCTGTTCCAATTCTTGGAGGAACAGGGTTATTTTATTGTATATTGCTTTGCTATTTGTATGACCTACAGTGTGATTGAGTGTGAATGTATTTATTAGTGTGAAGGTCGATAAAATTGATTACCCTATTGACTCTCAATTAAGTTAATAGGTTAGTTGTAATAATAGGTTTGAAAGAGATGGAGGAATATTGAGTACTATGCCACTCTGAGTGAATGGTATGTAAATAAAAAAGACAACCCATTCACACTCTGAATGAGAGTGAATGGATTTGGGTGTAGTAACTTTTTCCATTGTGGGCTGAAATGACCTAGGTGTCGAACACCCGAGGCAGGTGAATCTCGAGGTCTGCTTGTAATTGTAATATTAATTGTAAATTACAAAAGTTGTAATTGCTGGTGGATTGTGATAAGTGAAAGGGCTCAACTCTGTACTCTCTATGTATGCACAGATTTGAGCATATATAAATCAGTAATCAGTAAACACACAAAAATCTATGAACAGTTTGCATATTGGGTCAGGGATATGTGCCAATTGCAGTGCCCTAAGGTTAATGTTGAAATTCGTTAAAGCTGGGTGCACATTAGGTCGGTGGGGCAGCGCAGCACGAAACCGACCTCAAGAAAAATGTTGAAACAAATGTAACCCCACACACTAGGTCGGTAGGACGCGTGGAGCCGCACTGGAGAAGTTGCCAGACTTCCAGAAGCTGGGCGGCCGCCTTACCGTCCTAGTGTGCGCCGGGGTGGGAGGAAATCGTTGAGTTCAGGTATGTTCGGCTGCCCTCGGAAGCCCTATTTGTGGCAACGTGTTTCTTTGTTTACTCTGCTTTTTGGAACTGTAGCAGCATTGTTTCAAGGTAAGTAAAACAATTTCCATAAAATAATTGTAATAATGAATTTGTTTTAAATAATATAATAGTTTGGTTTGTGTTGTTACTGAAAACATTTTACTAATTGCTGCAGACATTATCTTTATTCAAATAAGGCTGATATCAACGATGAGCAACTTATTATGCTTTTTGAATAGTACAACATCTTTACGATCTCTAGGACCCCAACTACCATGCGATAAAACTCTTGGGAAGAAATAGGGGAAAATGAAGAAATGAAATCATCAGGTAAGAAGACACATTTGTTATCACTATATATATTTACTAATATTAAAATAATACTATCACATCAAATCATACTACCTTCCTTGTCGAACAACACGGGTTTGCCACTCTAGAGATCCATTTGGAGTAGAGAAATAGTCTTTGAATGTTTCTAAGGAATAAGTATCATGTAGAGTACGAAAGTCTGGGTTAATAGAAGGTTCTTCATCCTCCATGACATCCCAAAGCAACGAGGGTTAATCCCATTTCAAGAAATTGTGAAGGCAGCCACCAGAACAACTTTAATTACATGCTCGGATTTTATCTCAAGTCTTCTCTGATATATACGAAAACGTTTAGACAATATGCCAAAAGAAATTATAAATGATGGGGTGAGTGTGGAGTTCAATCCTTTTTAAAAAAGATGGTTCCTACTCACATTAAATGTCCAGAAATTGTGTCCGCATCTAGTTTGAGTCTGAGCCATGTCGAAAATGAGGCCGTGCTCTACGGAGTAAAAAAAGAGTTAACAAAAAGCCACCACGTTGGTGGATGCAGATATTCAAGGATCGTCTAATAAGCATGGGCACGATATTCTTATCACTGAGATTGGAAGACGGAATGGGATTCCGAAATTTTATTTGGATGAGTCCAGTCGACTTTGAATGTCATTTGGAAATGGTTGGACCACACGTTTAAAAAAAAGAGACGAATTTTAGGGTGCTAGTTTCGGCTAGCAATTGTTCTCCGTTTCCTCGCAAGTGGAGACTCATATGCAAGCCTAACTTAATATTTTTGGGCTAACTCAGCCACAGAGTCTGCTTTCTTTCCCCTGTCTTTGTATTCCTCGAAGGTAAGGTCCTACAAACATCGCCTCATTTGTAAATCTTCAACTGTAAAGTGAAATCCACATTTTAATGAAAGTGAAAAAATAAAATAATAAAATAAACAATGCGCAAGAATGGTTGAGAGGTCCAGAGGTTTGATTCATGTCCACACTGACTCAATGTTTAGCAACACTGAGTTAAGAATCCAATTTAAGATGGAATTCAAAAAATACTAAAACACAGTACACCAGATTCAAGCTTCATTGTCGCGCAGTGTTCTGGACACAAGAAAAAGAATCCCAGATGCAGCTCTGCGACAAAGAATCCCAGTGCGTACTAGGCTTTACCGTCGAGGGCACCTAAGCAGTTTGGAAAATTCCATCTAGCTGTGAATTCTTCTTCTATTTTCTGCCAGTGGAGCCATGTATACTTGTGACAGCTTTGCCCAGATGGTATCACAAGTTTCATACACAGTTTTACGCACTGTCTAATCACCTTGTCTATAACTGAATGCAATTGTTCCACCAGTTGCCAAAAATCTGGAAAAAAAAACATTTTATAAAAATCTTAAATGCCATAAAAACTCAATTTTACTAACATAACCTTTTTTCAAGAATTTGGAGGGTAGCTATATATTTTTCCCAGACAAATTATAGAAAAAGCTTGTCACGCGCCAGCCTGGCTACCGTAGGGACAACAACAATGTCCTCTCCTACCTGAGGATCGAGTGGGGCTCAGCCCTCAGATGTGCACAAGACTTGCTTGGAGCTAGAATTGTGCCTACAGGGCCGACTTACAAAGCAAGTATTTCATGTGGCTGTGTGGTCGAATTTGGTTTTATCCTTCAATTTGTTCTTTAATATTGGTGCTGGTTAGAAAAGTAAATTGATAATTTTCATTGTAAATAGTTCCATTTCCATTTGTCTTATTAAATAGGTCTATTATATTTTCAAAAAATTTTAGTTTCTTAATTACTTCCTTAATTTCAGTATTATAGATATATTTTTGATTAATAGTCAGGATAGTCCTGAAAATAGGCTGGGACATCTCACAAGCTTTTACTGAGCAATTCTTTTCAGAATGATGTGCTAAGTGTAATTTTGTAAAGAATACACACTAGATTGTATGAAAGAACGGAGAAAACAAACAGCACATTGTAAATACCTTTGTTCTGTGTTTCAGGGTCTTTCCAAAATCATGTGGAAGTCATTAAGGTAAAGCTTCAGAAAATCCTTTAATGCTAGAAGGACAAAGAGCAGACAAGAAGCGATGAAAAATAATGGCGACTCGAATCTCAAATGCAGTTTTTAAGCCCTTACTTATCTTCAAAAAAATGAGGAACAAATAACTAACGTTCCTTCCCTTTTCGCCTTCATCACCTGCCTCGTCAGTTAAAGAAACATCAAAAACTAGAACACCACTGTTGGCAATACAAGGGGAGGGGATTTAAGAACATGGTGTTCCAAGTGAAAAAGATACACCTCTTTCTTTGGGATCAAATACAACTGTATTACAGAAAGCTGTTCCTGGTACCACATCGGAAATACTATGACATTACTTGGGTATAAAGTTGGTTTCATCCTCTCAAGCTCTGACGAGGGATGATCATATAACAAAATACTTCTAATACTTCCGCCTCATGTACAGATTCAACTTAATTGCTAAATCTTTCAATTGGAGGCTATTAAACAATGTTTACCAACAGCCTCTCCAATTCCGACTTACAATATCCTCCCAGTGATCCCCCATTGATCCATCTGTTTCCCAATCATGTGCTTCAGTACCATACTGCAATCCTTCGTTTCAGACAAACTATCCTGCTCCCCAGTTGTTCATTCGTCAATCTTTTCCCCAACCATCTGCTCCATCATCAAACCCCAATATCATTTCTGTTTAGCAATCACATTTCAACCCTTTATCTACTTATACCACTTTGAATAACCTCAACCCTGATGAGAGTCTTCATTCATAAACCACTCTTCAACAATCAACTACAACAATTCAATCCCCATCCAACTTAACACCAAACAATTGATTTTAAAGAAAACGAATAAAAACAAATTGAGGTGTAGTTGATGCCAATCCAAGATATACAGTTAGCAGGAAGGTAATTAAAAGTTGCAACTTCATTTGCAAAAATTATAAATTGTGATTTTATAAATAAATTGTTAGAGCTATTTGTTACTGCATTATTTATTTGCGAGTTAAACTATGTTAATAAAATATAAACTGTAATTATTTCAAAAATTGTGTATTTGTGTCTTACCTTAGACAAGTTGCGAGCCTTTCGTCACATGATATTGCTTGACGAAATGTCGTGTTTTGTTGCTCGATGTCAGGCTTGATGAGTTCAAGAAGCTTGAAGAATTTCTGAGGAGACATTCTGAAATATTTGAGGAACTTTGTACGGTCCGGTATAAATCGGGGAAGAGATGGTGGTATTCTCCAAACATAACAAGTTTGGTGTTTATTTCGTGACCCATTTTTGTTTTTATTTCGGCCTTTCTTCCTCGTCTTCCAATTCTACGACCACGACCAGAAAAATAATTTCCTCGTCACTATTATCCATTATGTATACAATTATTGTCTCGTGTAAATGCAAAATCAACACTAAACCGCAGCGCTGGTCAGATGGGGTGAGTGGAAGGGGAAAATCCGACCAACACGGCCTAGAGCAGTTCCTGCAAAGTGTGAAGACCTTCACAATTCTGACCCATGACGCCCCACCAACTAGTGTGCGCCCAGCTTAGAAGGGGTCTAAGGTGGCCGAATGGTTAGGGCCTCGGACTCATATTTGCCATGCTAGTAGTTTTTGGTTCGAATCCCAATAGAAACTGTGGCTTTTTAATTAATAATGGAATGACAAATGTATTGTAAAGTTGTCCAAAGGGTAGTTAGATGTTAAGCCCTCCTGTATGGCCGGATTTACTTTACTTCGTTAATAATTTTCTGTAAAATTTCTAAAAATTAATGGTATTTTGCTTCATATGTTCTGAGAAAGAAAATTCGTTAATTATTGTCATTAATAATTTAAAAAAATAGCCTAATAATCAATCCAGTGTATCGCAGTGTAAATAAGAAGATTCCATAAATTTCAGTTTTGCAGTTATTTTCGTTATATTTTCAAGTGTTGACTTTTTAGATTAGGTGATCTGATAGAGCCTCCGACAATTCTGCAAAATATAGACCTTCAGCATAAATACTGGAGTGAACCGAAGCCAGGTTATTTCCCAGCGGAACCATCTAAAGTAGAAAAGTATTGTTTAATAAGCCCGGCCAATTCTTACACAGATTTTCACATTGACTTCAGTGGCACTTCTGTGTGGTATCATATTGTTAAGGTGTTTATTTTACTCTGATATTATTTGCTTTATAATCTATTTCTATTGTGATTATAGTGATATGATTTTTTAGGGTATTAAAGTTTTTTATTTAATTAAGCCAACCTGTGATAATTTTAAGCTTTTCTGGACTTGGATGGAATCACAAAACAGATTAAAAACATTTTTTGCTGATCAGGTTATCTTGATGTTGATTAACTATGTTGTCGTCTTATTTAAATTTGTTATCTAATATTAAATAAATTTAACTTTCTTAGGTTGACGCCTGTTATAAATGCTCATTGCAGCCTGGAACGACGTTGTTTTTACCTACAGGGTGGATTCATGCTGTGCTCACTTTAGAAGATTCTTTAGCCTTCGGAGGCAATTTTCTTCACATTTACAATATGCCTATGCAACTCGAGTATGAATTATTCTGTTATATCACCTTTTAGGTTTTTGTTCTATATAGATTTTTTTTCACAGTATCTACGACATGGAGCAAAAGTTAAAAGTAGATGATAAATACATCTACCCATTTTTTAAAGATTTACACTGGTTTGCAGCCCGAGGTCTTAAAGATGAACTGGCATTCTTTAATTCCAGAAGTAACACACCGACTCCCACTTATTTAATCGAAGGTTTAAAGAGGCTTTTAATGAGCCTTAAACAATGGACTGCAACTTGCACTGTACGTTTATTAAACTACTTTTTTTTTAATTTCTATTATTTATGGTTATGAATTCTTTCAGGAGATACAAATCCGATACCATGCTCCATCTCAGTTGATAAAGGATTTGACTCGAGAAATAAGGGTGGCAGAAAGAAGGCTGTTAACTCTAAGTCCTCCTAAACCTGTAAGAGAATCAACGAGAGTTAAACGGAAGCCTACATTTGAAGATTTCATCCAGTTCAGCGATTTAAATAAAAGGGTACAGAATTATCGATACTGTATTTAATTATTAGTCGAACTTCCCAAAGCAGACACTTCTAATAAATGGACATGGACACTAGTAAATGAGAATATCTCTTATAAGCAAAAGGAAAAAAGGGATTCCATAAATGGCAGATGCCTCTTTTGTGTACTTGCAAACAGTATTTCGAGTATTGTAAAATACATTTGGTGCTTCCCAGTCAGTTCTCAAATTGAGATAAATCGATTTGAATATTAGTGAGAAAACAATTCTTTCTGTCAGATAAAATATCGAAGCCATACCTATGTACCTAATAATTTTCCTACTTGCAGGCTTTCTAATATGCAGATTAGATTAGAAAAGGAGACGGCCTCTTTACAACCTGCACCACGACTTGGTCTATTGTGCATCTTGCCTAGATCTTAGACCTTCCTCTTTAGAAGGATGAGTGTATCCTTCAGGTCTTGGTTTTTCCTCTCCCAGAAGTAGAAATCTAGTCTTCATAAATGCACCAACAGAAGATGTTCCGATTCTTCTTCTTCTTGGCAACTACACAGGCTGTTGTAGCCGCTCCGAGTCTATATGTCTTACTATTATTCTAGTCCTAATTCGTGCTAAATGTTCTGCTGTTAGTTTCTGCGATGGTTATTTGATGAACTTTTTGGCATGCCTCTGTCCTGAGCTACATTCCCTTTGAATGGAGGACTTATTTTTAATAACGACTTGGGACTTTACTACAATGCTGTAATTGCCTTCAGTGCCTCCTGGCAGTCCAAGTAGATGGCTATTCTTCATTATATTAGCTATTTAGTTAATCTGTAGTTTTGTGATTAATTTATATCTTACTCTTTAAAACTCTTAAAATTGTTAAGAGGTCATGAGAACCTGATTGCCAGCCCAAAGCTGACAAGTGAGCTAACAAGTGTAAAGGGGCACAATAGATTTATTTAGGATGAAGTGCAAGAAGCTCGTAAAAGCCTAACGCTGATAAACCCAAACGACTGGTCTTTACTACCGGTGCTGTAATTGCCTCAGTGCTAGCCTGAATAGATGGCTACTCTTCTATTAACAATACCTAGCCTTTTCATTTTTTTGCCATGGTATTCAATAGCCACACTTGAAAGACAGTGGTATATTGCCAGGCTTATATGAATTCTAGTCCTTGTTTTATTTTCATAAATGCCAGCTTCTGACCCATGCTCGGGGAGCCGGGAGCCATTTTTATACCAGGTATGGTCGGCATTATTCCCTTTCTCCCATTCTGCTCTATCAGGTATTTTAATTTGAAATTTTTTTTATCAAGCCTGAATTTAGGGTCATCAACAGACATCCCTAGAACCCTGTCTACCTGAAGCTCCCCCCCCCAAGCTTTAGTTGTTCCTTGTTATGTGAGTAGGTTATTAATGCCTGTACCTGCATGGCAATTTCTCTTTCTCTCTCTCTCTCTCTCTCTCTCTCTCTCTCTCTCTCTCTCTCTCTTTCACTTTCTCTTTCTCTTTTTTTTCTCTGTAATTTTATTTAGTTGATGATTCCATGAAAGTCTTTGGTCATAGATGACTGTCAGATATTTTGCCAATAGAGAAAAGAATTACAACTTAGCACACGGGGCTTTATTTATGCACCTCCTTGTGCCATTTTCCTGGTTATATATATTTTGCAGGGTGGGCGACCAAGACCCGAGGGGTTAAATGCCTGGGTAGACTCGTACCCCATCCCTAAAAGGTCCGGGAGTTGGTCGGCTCACGTGTCTTGCATAAACCTCTTGGACCTATTCACAAACTCCAAGATTTTGGACCATTTAATCTCAGGGAGTGAATTGGTGATGTCCTGTCCTTCAAAGATTTCAAATCTAGACCTAGCATACCTATCACACTCTGCGAGGTAGTGCCTTGCCGTTTCTTCTTTTATTTTAGCATTTCGCAAAAACGGCAAAAGGGATCTGGTAGGATACCCATTACGAAGAGGTGTCTTCTCAGTGGGCAGTGGTCCGTCAGAATACCTATCAGCCTCCTAATTCCTTTCCTTGAGATAGAGAATAGCCATTTCGATTCTGCTGGTTTGATCGCCTTAACAAACTTTCGATTGCCTGTGTTCAGGGGATAAATTCCACTCCATAAGGAATTTTTTCATGCCCCAGTTATTAATACTCTCTTTCGCTGGGCTCATAGAGTGAGGTAATACTTGTGGTCCAACAAAAGCAGTATTAGAACCTTTTTTGGCTAGGCCATCCGCCTTTTCATTGCCATGGTATCCTTTGTGTACTGGTATCCAAATAAGGGTTACCTTGTTCTCAAACCTGAAAGAGATCCTATTGATAAGACCTATAGTTTCCTCCACCAGTCGTGAGGTTGACAAATCTTTTTGTACTGCCCTAAGACTAGCCTGACTGTCAGAAAAAATTCTAATATCTTTTCCCTTAATTTTATTTTCCATAAGTGTTCTACAACACACATTGATGGATTTCCGCCTGAAAAACGGAGGTGTTATTGCCAAGAGGAGAGGAGATGCTGATTCCTAATTTTGGTATGTAGATTCCTGCACCACTCCCTCTACCTTTAATAAGTGATCCATCTGTGTAGCAGTCTATGTTACGATGGTCATCATCCAGACTATAATTATAATCACAAAGGGTGACTACCTGAAAGTGCTTTTTCCCCGAAGGGATTTCCTGGTTAAAGGGATCACGTTGGTTTTATTAGTTTTTATTGACAACCCTTTCTTTTTACGTTAGGACTAGATCCGTAGATTTCCCCATCTAATACGCATATCTAATAAGCAGACAAATTCCCATTCTCGAGTATTGTCTGCTTATGGGAAGAACATGTTGAGCAGTTAAATAAAAATAATGCCCTTTTAAAAAATAATAACATTTTTTATTTACTGATAGGTGATTTTTAATGTTTTATTTATTTATTTTCTATTTTTTATGTTGTGTTTCTATGGAGATTTGACTTATAGTAATAATAATAAAATTAAAAAGGGACGAGTTTTCATCTGAAGAACGTTAAGCTGTTGCTCCACTCAAGACTTACTTGACTCTTTAACACTATTAACTATATTGGCTTAACAGTTCAAATTGTAAATACCCTTTTTTGTTTTGCATATTAATTTAATTTAAATTAAATTGTAAACATTTTATGAACACTACTAATAACTTCAAATTCAACTCTTTTTTTTAAATAAATTTATTTTCAGAAGGTAAAGAAAAAATTAGCAGACAGCAGTCAGCCTTCATATACGACAATGCTTAACGATGATTCACCGTCCAGTTCAACATCAGCTCATCATCCGGAATATTCGCCCGATCGTAAGTGGCAAGTTAAAGGTGGAGGCTTGAAAGTGATTCTTTCAAAGGCGTCTGTTGACCGAAATGACAAGGCCTTGTCGTACACAGTTAGGTCGGTACTGACCTTTGAATATAGTATGTCAATATTCATCTAACCAGCGATACTATTCATTGTAGGCCCCCATCGCCAGAAATGTCAGCACAAAACACGGATTATTTTACTTTCAACGAGAACGATGAAAAACCGCTGGAGCCGTACCATAGCTGTTCATCTATGCATAGCAGTATATTTGATACTAGTAAGTTTTTTTTTTTTTTTTTTTAAGAAATTTTGTATTTTCTTTGATTTTTAAAGTTTATTTGATGAAATAGTAATGGCATACCAAGCAAACCAAATATCAGTTTTTTTTTGTCATATGTATTTTTAAATTTTGTTGTTATGATCATTGGTCACCATCATCTTTTGTAGAACGTATAGAAAGTGCACTTTTTCCGACAAAGCTTAAGCACTTTCATCGGTGCTTCTAAAATATTTTTTCTTGTTGGGAGAATTATCGTACCAAAGTGTCAATACTGCATATGGTCAATACTTCTAATACAGAATACTGGGTACATCAATTCTCCTCTTTCTCTTGACAGTCGGCATGTTTCTGACTTTGCCCATCTTTCTTAGTTGTTAGTAATATAAAGACTATAAGAATAAGCTTGATAAGGCCATTAAAAAAATAAAGAAGAAAAAATTCAAATTAATTCTTTTTTTAAATTAAATTAACCGTTTTAATTTTAAATTAACCCTGTCTAACTTCAAATTAACCTTTTTAATTTTGAATTAACCCTTTTTAACTGAACATTAACGTTTTTTAAATTTTAAATTAACCTTTTTAACGTTTTCTTTTTTTAAATTAAATAATGAAGAGATGGATCCAGATGTGGTCAAAAGAGAAGAAAAACGTTTTAGTTTTTTCTTTCTTGCCAACCTTTCGAAAGATATTCTTTCACATGGCCTGATTTGTTATCAAATATTAAAAATTAACAATTAGTAATGCGTACAAAACAATAAAAAGAGAATTTATAATACAATTGAGAAACAATGAATTGTCATTACAATTAGTAATTTATCATTTATAAAAACCACATCAAACAATCTTCTTTTTTATTTTAAACATAAGAAATGAAAAAGAAAAATTCCCTTAAAGAAACCAAATAACTATTTATTGGTAATAGTTAAAATAGTTAATATAAGTTAATATAAATTTTTTGTATATAAAAATATACAATGCATATTTCATACAATACAATTATATTTCATACTATCTCCAAATTATTTTATCACTTTATAGAAAGGGTTAATTTGAAATTTGAAAAAAGCTTAATTTGAAGTAAAAAAGGTTTAATTTAATAGAGAAAAGCTGTCGCCGAAACTCTAGTCTGTTAGTAGATTTATTTAATTTTGTTATCCTCATTCAAGATTTCGTTCACAGATCTAAGGGCTAGTGGAAGTGGAATGTATAATTCTATGCCTGGAGCAGTGAGAAATGATACACCTCATCATCCATTGAGGTAATGCAATTTTTCCTTTTCTCTTTTTGTACAAAAATAAAGGTAATTTACACGATAAAACGAGAATTTAGTTTTTAAACATTTCTTTTTATTTTCACACAGTAGAATGCCAAGTTATTTTTGTTATTAAAGTCCTTTTATATTGTCTTGATGATTTTTTCAAAATTTCAACTTGGTCTAGGCGTTGAAGTTATTTTGACAATGTTCAATTATTCTAATATGTAAGTATTTATTAAAACATTTTTCCGACCAGAAACACGACAGGTTATCGGTGGTCAAAATGATTATGAAATTGACTCGACAACTCAAGAAGGTCTCGGGTTCAAATCCAAACCACTTCTAAATGGGATTTTATTTTTTCAGCGGAAAAACACCGGGGGTCTGATGTAACCTCAGCAATTGTGAACCCCCGTAAAAAAAAATTATAAAAAACAGAAACAGGAGATATAAGCTTATTTTAATTAAATTAGTATACATTTTGTTTCCAGACCTCATGATCCATCTGCCTACAGGATTCGATTTAAAGCAATCCAAGATGAAACGTCTTCTAAAAAAATGTGGACACGTGTTGTACCTGATACAGATGATGACATGAACCGTAGTATTCACCAAGACGATGATTTCAGTAAGTTAATTATGTCAGTTGATTTGGTTTACCTAGTATATTACATTGAACTTTCCATTAGTGGACACTTCCCAAAATTGGATTTGTCTGCTTGTTAGGAGGGTATATAAGAAAATTATTAGGTACATTAAATGAAGGTAAAAAATCAATTGAAGTCGTCATAAATACAAATTTTCTTTTACTCATATGCATTTGACTTTTAGTGAATGAAATGATGCTGGGGGAAATTAAACAACAACAAAATTATGAGGGTGTCTGGTGTTTAAAGCCCTTTCTTAATTTCCATGCCCAGGAAAGTGTCACAAAATTATTTTTAAGCCTACCACTTAAATCAGTTCTATTAAGAGTTCTAATAATAAACCCATAAAATTGCAAACCAAAGTTGTCTTAAAAGTTATGAGTTATTGGGTTAATAATATAATAAATATATTCCATCCTGAAAGTTTTTTCCTTATTTCACCTCACTGCATATCCTATTACATTGTAAAGTGTTTTTTTTCCTTCTCCGAGATCACTTGTGTCTATAGACTCCCCTTCTTCCACTATGACCTAAAAGTGGAATCGACCTTTTTTTATTTCCACACTTTCTAGGTAGTTCAGCACTTTGCAGAGTTCCTCTTTGCTTATTCCCCTGGGCATGGTGTCGTCTTTCCAAATTGGCTGTACAGTTTTAGTTGTACAGTTTGGCTAACACTTTAGAGTCATATAAATTCCAATGTATCTGCTGCTTCATGGCAAATTCAGCAGGTTTCTGTCTAAGTTTTTCCCAGTTTTTTAAGGTGGTGATTAATTTGGCAATGCTGTTGCTTCTCCTTCAGGAACTACAATAGCTGAGTGCTAGCGTGATAGACTGCTTGTAGACCACATGGTCGTAGGTTCGATTCCCATTGTTGCCCCCTTTTTTTTACAATACCCTTCCCCCATTTGTACAATCTATTGTTGTACCATTTCTACACATCTTCCTTGGCTAATAAGCTAGGTTCATAGTGCCATTAAAAAATAATAATAATACTTCTCAATCCAATTTGTGGTTCTGTTCAAAAATTTGTGAAGGCTGATCCTATTTTTTTTCCATTTTATCACCCTGTTCATTTCATAAGAGTTAAAATTAGGTATTCTCATACCAGCTCTAATTTGAAGTAAAATTACCATTTTGTTAAAGCATGTTTTTAAAATTGAAATTTTTACAGTTCTAATGTTTACATTTCAGTATATCCATCATTAGATTTATCAGATGAAGAGGATAGTTCTTCGACAGGGAAAAAGAGCAAATCTGAAGAGGATAAAGCTTGGAATCCAAAATCAAAAGTCAATTTTGGTACATTTAGAACCGATAGACCAACAAGGGTCGGAAAAACTAAGCTAGCTGTTGAAAAAGGCTTGGAAGCTGCTGCTGCCAAAAAACCATGTACATTTCAAGTAAGCCTTAATATAATTTTAATAACATTTGAGTATAAAAACATTTTTTAAAAATTATAGTTTTGTTGTTTCAATAAGGAATTTATGTTCGAAGGCTATTTGTGAATTAGTGATTTTTAGCAGCAAAATGTGTTCACTGCTAGAATAAGTAATATTTTAAAAATGTAATAAAAAATACTTGAGTTAGTGTAAATAAAACTATCTGTAAAAATAATAGTAATATTACAATGTCTCTTGAGAGAATGGGTCACGTATTGGAAATGTTTGGTGTATTAAAAAGTGAACAATAGCAATCATTTTTCTTTTGGCAAAAAGCACTAAAAAATGTGTATAAGAAATATTTATTATTAAATATATATATATNTTTTTTTGAGGAAAAAATTGTTCTATTTATTATACAACTATTATTTATTACATTTGTAAAAGTCTAAAAAAATAATGCAATAAATCATTTTTAGACATTACAACTGAAAAAAATTATTACAAAAACTACATCCCGTCCAACTGGAGAGCATTCTTTTAATAGCTGGGTTAGAATTTAGAAGTTTTTTTATTTTAAAATTCGACCAACCCCTGTTTTTAATTTTTTTTTTCATTTTAGACACTTCAACAGAAAAAATTAAATATGAAAGCAATTACCCGTCCATCAGGAGGAGAACAATCGTACTCGTCGCCTCCAAAAGAAAAAGGTAAATACTTCTGAGTGCCATATCTGTCCTTAACCTACTTAACCTAATCCTACATAACCCAACCTTTAAGCGGGGAACACACCCGAAGCAATGCTACCCGAAGTCACCCGATGCAAATCCATTGTCCAATTTTCTATAAGACTGTATTACCCCCATGCACATTTGCCCAATACCACACAACACTACCCTACTCTACGTTATGCTATGCAACCACATTCCCCACTGTTCAGATTTTTGCCAATGTCCAATTTTCCATAAGATTTTATTACCTACCGTCATGCACATCTGCCCAATGCCACACAACGTTACCCTACTCTACGTTACGCTATGCAACCACGTTCCCGACTGTTCAGATTTTCATCGAATTGCTACGAGTACAGTCAAAGACAAAAGAACCAGACTCTCATATTTTTATTTCAAACTATATGTATTATTGTCGTTATATTAATTACAATATACTTATTTTAATATAAACCAAATTAAGCAACATCAAAAATTCATCAGTTTTTATGTTTAAAAAAAATTAATTTTAATGGTTTAGCAGAAAATTGATCAAAACACCAGAATACCATTTATTAATAGAATGAATTTAACTAACAATTTATTACATGGTTTTGCTCATTAAATTTAACTAACAATTTATTTCATGGTTTTGCTTATAAAATTTAACTAACAATTTATTACATAGTTTTGCTCATAAAATTACACCATTTTTGTCAAGTAGCATCAGAAGTGGATGCTTTTATTTTTTGTAGTTTATTTCAAACTATGCATATGTAATTTTGTAGTTATATTAATTACAACATGCTTATTTTAATGTAAACCAAATTAAATGAGATCAAAAATTCGTGAGTTTTTATAAAAATTATTTAATTATGATGATTAAGCAGAAAATTTATCAAAACACCAAAATAAGTTCTAACAATTTATTACATGATTTTGCTAAAAAAATAATGCATTAAGAACAAAAGAGGCATTGCAATTTTGATACACACTGTATGACTGTATGTGGCGTGCGCTTGACGTCAAACAGATGAGCACACCCTATCAAAATGAGACAAGACCATTGGGTCAATTGGGTGTGTTCCCTGCTTTAAACAATTCCTAACCCTAACCTTAACCCTCATAACCCAACCATATATCTATTCTCAACCTAACTCCATCCCTAATCCTAACCTTAAGTAATCCACCCATTTAACTATTCCTAACTCAAAGCTGTCCCTAATCCTAACCCTGCGTGACCCAACCATATAACCATTCCCAACCCATAACTATTTCACTATTCCCAACTCTCTCCCCTTAAAGCAAAATCTATGATATGAAAATGATCATGAAACTATAGTTTGTGTATACATCCAAATATGTATTCATGTTTAAAAGAAAAAGTAAAAAATTAATTGTTATTAATCTAACAAGGCAAGGCATATTGGTCTGTGGTCTGTTGTGATCTTTGTCTTCATTTTCCTTTTTAACAGATCTCAACTGCCATAATAAAATGGACCAATCCCCAACAAACAGTTTATTACATTTTTTGTTTTACTTGAAAACATATATAAAATGTTTTACACAATTTAAAAAAAATAATAATAATAATAAATGGACCAATTGCCAAATGGATCTTTTTGAAAACACATAACCAGGTGAATCAGAGACAGGCAAAAGTAGTAAAAACTTAGGTAAGAAAGTCTCGCCTAAACTTGCACATCTTTTGCATCAAGGCCAAACAAAACTCAGTATCGTTATCAGAATACCCGGATTTATCAATTCATTAGCAATTGAAAATATTGTATCAGAAAACAGCCTAAGCAGGTTCTGCCGAGAAGAAGAATAAACCTCAGTTTATATCTGAATAGGAAAATGCTTCTAGTTGCAAAAAAAGCTAAATCTCGTAAATGTACCTGGGGAGCTACTGTCAAGGCAATGAAAGCAAAAAAAAAGCCTTAAGTAGATAGTGAGCTGTAACTACAATATGGAGGAGCAGATAGTCCCAATTTGTTGGACACAAGCTTAGAAGTCACTGTGAACTTAACAGATGCCAAAGCTTAAGTGCTCCTGTGTTTGTAACAGGCTTTTCCTCTCCCACAAGTACGAACCTCAGTCTGCATAAGTCCATAGACCTACAGAGGATATGTTCTTGATCATCCTCCTTGCTGCCTCTCGTTATACCCCTGGTACTTATTTTATTTTCTTCGATGTTTAATAGGGCCTTGATGCAATCACAGACATCACCTCTCGACCAATGAGGTAGGTGTCTTTAGTGCTGCCTGGCTGTCCAAGTTGACTGCTATTCTTTAGAACTTGCCTGACTCATATGCTTCTTGCATTGACATTATTCTTAAAGTTTGGGAGATTTAAAGTAAATTTCACAAAAAGTGAAATAATTTTAAATTTTATTTGAAAAAGCAGAAATCAACAGTATTGACTGTTAATTGAATTGTTTATTTTACAGTGTCAAGACCAAAGAAAGGATTGAACACTCCAAAGCAGCGCCTCGGCAAGATTTTAAAACTTCACAAGTTGAGGCGTTAAAAATAAGGCTCGGTAAATAGTATTCGTCTAAATTTTGCTCATACTCGTTACATCATTGGTAATGAAACTAAATCAGTAAACACTTTGATGGTAAAGCAACCATTTGAAGGTGCTCAACTTATCCTAAATGTTAAAAAAAAATTGTGTTCATTGAAATTTATCAATTAAATGTAATATTGAAACATATTCAATGGTTGCTTGCCACATAAACATTTATTAGAGTTCATAAAAAATAAATAATTTTAAAAAAGGGATAAGCTGAACTTTAACGTTGCTGAATATTTTATTTTATTCTCCGTAATTATTTAGCAACCCAGCTCAATGATAATGTTTATCATTTTGTTCATTTTAAAAGATGTATATATACATGTACTTAAATAATTGTTGTATAGATTAATTGTTTAAATGGGTTGTTGTGTAAATTTTTTTAGCAGTATCCAAAACATAGTTAAAATGCTGTTATTAGTGTGATGTCTGAGTTTCTTAATAACAGTTGTCATTTGACAGAATACACCCTTATATTATTTGTCTTTTTTTTTTTTTTAATATATATATTAGTGAAAGGTTATGAATAAGGAATATTTAACTATAGACACAAAAATTTAGTATTACAAGAAAAGAAAATCTTCTAAGATTTATTAATTGCAAGGAATGGAATAAGTATTTTATAGTTGTTATATGACTAGCCCATTTTAACAAAAATGAAAATTAAATATATTTGGAGTTTAGCATAAATGATCATACTAAATTTTTTTTTCTTTGTATTTTAGCGGTCATTCATGTGACCTAGTTCATTGAGCGTATTAAGTATAAGTGATAATTTTGACTGACCATTTTATGTTAATTATTATTTTGGTTCATATTTACCATCAATACAACCGTAAAAATTTTCAATTGTGCAAATTTGTATTTTATAAAGGGTTTTTCATGTATTGTGTTCACTGTTATATTTATTTGGAATAGAAGTGCATACATTTATTCACTGCGGTTTTGTTTTAGCTGATTTTAATTTTATTTATTTAATGAATCGCTTAATTTAAAAGTTGGACGGATTATCAGAAGAATTTTTTGAGCAAGATATTGCATCACTGTTGTTATTATATATATTTTATTCTAGTTCGTAAAAATATTGGACAAGTTCTTGAAAAAAAAATCTGCATGTATTTCAAGATACCATCATTACCATGGTAATGTGCCCTATCAATCAGTTTATTTATTTATTTTTATTTTATTTTTTTTAGCCTAAGATAAGAAAATAATACACAGGATCGTATTGAATGAGATTAGGTATATAAAAAGTTACAAAACTCAAAAGGCGCTTTCAGTAAAGTAGGGCAAAAAAATTTGGTTTTGAAAAACACAATTAGGCTTCATAATAAGTTCCTTTAATGCTTCTAAATACAATTTTTTTTGTTTTTTATTTCTATTTTATTTACAGAGACCGAGAGAGTTTGTGCCACCGCATGTAATTTGTATGGTTCTAAAACCCTGTCAAGTTAGCTGCGAATCGGTAGTCATTTTAAAGTTATGGCGGTTTTTTTGGAGGGGGGGAAGGAAAGGAAATTCGCTTGGAAGACAAAAATTTTGAATTAAAAATATTTGTTTATATTTTTCTTAAAATTTGTATTCAGTGGGTTTTCAGGGTATATACTAATATCGACTTCGTTTCTAACTATACAATTTTTTAACCTACTTCTACGTCTTCTTCTTTCCACTTTGTCAAAATTGTTTTTGTCAGCTAGCCATACTAAACCATATATATTAAAATACATAATTTGCGACCAAATTCTGCAAGCATATTAATTTCTTATCCTACTTTTTTTTTTTTTTAATAATAATAATCTTGAAATACATGCATAGTAACAGCACAAAAAAAATGTAATTTACTTTTTTCCTTGTCTCCTAAGGCCCATCAGCAAGAACGCTCGGTCACATGTCTAATATTTTTTGACCTATCGTAAAAAATAAAATGCCATTGAAATCCTTTTTACTTTGTCTGTAAGTCAAATTTCAAGCGTGTTATTGAATGTACAGTTCAAAATATTTATTTTTTTATTTTTTTTTATTTTTTTTTTTTGTCGGGATTTAAGATTATGAACAACTACAAAACAAGCACTGTTGCTTTCTAAATATCACTCTTTTTTTTTCTCATTAGTTTGGTTAAAATTTTGCTACTTGTTTTAAATGACAAGAGTTTTCTGTATTGCAAAAAACTGTGAGTTTATAGTTTTGATTTTGTATTTACAATTACACTTTATTGCTTTAGTAGTTCAGTTACAGTTTGATAAAACTAAAAGTATTTGTTGTTATTTTTTATTCTTATTCACCGTATGTGTTCTTCAGGATAAGATTTGTTCACAATAACTTTCATTATAAAACTGCCTTTAAGTGAATCGAATTAGCAATTATAAAAAAAGGAACATTGGGTGTTGCTTTTTTTTCGTTTTTTTTTCACTTGTATGATTTTTAAGTTATAAATTTATACTGTATTGTTATTCGTGTTTTAAGGTAATATTTATTTAATATTATGATATACTGTAAAAAATGTATTAAGATGGTTTAAATTTTTAGGAATGCTTTTTTTAATAGATCATAGATTCCAGTTTAATTTATTAAGACTTTTAATTTAGAACTAGGTTATTTTGTGGCTGTTCAGTTTAAAATAATTAAATGTAATATTTTGTAATAATTGCCATATATGTATCTGTATTCAGGCCAAAAGTTTTATTATAAACATAATTTTTTAACAAGACTTGCATTATACCACTGATAGATGGATATTTTGGCCTGTAATATATTAGCATGTTCAATGCGGGGTTGAATTTCAATTTTCACCAACTTGGATGGTAAATATTTTTTTCTAGGTTAGAGTATATACTTCAGCTCTGCCTAGACAGTCGCATTGAACATGTCGATTTACGAATGTATAATTTTAAGTTTTGCCTTATCAAAGTTAAAAAATAGAAAAGTATCGAATTATGAGCCCTGAAATTTATACTGTTTAACTAGACTACCATTCTCCTTAATAAAAATAAATCTGTACTATTAAAGAGAATGGAAGACTTGTTAAACAGGAAAAAATACGTTTATTTAACACTTTGTTAAAGAAATTGTACAGTATGTTTAAAGATGTAATGATTATAATTGTGTCAACTTTTTAAAACTTAAATAGTGTTAAGTTTTTATGATTATGTGATTAATTTAGATTGTTGTTTTATTTATTCTATTTTTTTTAATATTTGATTTAACAGTTATTGTTTTTTAATTGCTTGAAGCTGGTGGAGATATTTAAATTTCCAGACCTTGCGGCAGCATCAGCACAACAAAAAAACAATCTAGTATTAATAGAAAACTGGTACAAACTAACTTATGTTAAGCGATTGTATATAATTTTAGTCTCGATTAGTTTTCAAAGAGATGATCCATCCTTTTAGTTTGTTTTTTATGCCCAATGTGATTTGTTAAAAGAAGCGAATGCTATACATATACATGTTGTTGTCAACACTGTCACTTTAAATAACTTTAAAATTTTATTACACAGCCTAGAAATTAATTTAAAAAAAACTTTATTTGCAACAATTTTAACTGAGTAAATATCAAAGTCCATAAAATCTATTACAAGGCTCTTAATTTCTGTATAATTTGTTCAATTAAAAAAAAGTTTATGATCCTTCATTCTCCCGTTAATCCTAACCTAAATATAACTTTAACCGTACCTGAAACTAATATTACCTCTCCATGCAAGGAACTAGCATATGCTTTGCATGGTCCAACCTAAAACTAAACATAGTATAAAATGACTTGATCCGTCCCTAATTCTACTAACTTCAACGTTGAAAAACCCCAACCCAGCCTAACAAAACCTAGCCCACCCCTGATTTCCCTGCAAGGAACTGGGATGTGCTATCTTGCATGGTCCAAACTAAAAATAAATATGTAATCAATTAAAAATAAAACCAAAATACAAATAACTAACCTGTCCCTAACTATACCTAACCTGACCTAACCCACATCTAACGTTATCTCAATATGTAATGAACTAACATATTCTATCTTCAATGGTCCAAATAAAAATAATCATATAATAAATAGAAAAATACAAATACTAATCTAGCCTGTCCCTAACTATGCCTAACCTTAGCTATCTCTAACCTATTCTTACCATCCAATATATTGTTGTTGTTTTTTAATTAACACAATGGTCTTATTCAGAAATTAAAAGCCAATAACAACTTCTTCTTAGCTAGTCATGTAAAAACCTTTAAATCATAAGAGAAAAATCTGCAACTGTAAACATATTTTCTTCACCATTGTAAAAAATGAACACAGAAAGGAACTTAAGATTTCCTCTCTGAACCTTCTCATATTATCTAATAGAAAATATATTATTGTTGTTCTAAAATTACTGTTTTAACGTCATTGCAGTTGTGTTCTTTACTGCATGTCCATGTGAAATTTTACATAACTGTTATAATGTATATGATATAGTACTACTTTTAGATAATGTTTGTTTGAAGAAGAAAAATGTATCGGGATTTTTTTTTTTGTTGTATCATATTCTCTACAGATGAAATTTACAGTTTAACCATATACCAAAGTTGTTCATGTAATACGATGTATAGTCATTCCTCTTGTATTGTAGTTGTAATTTTCAAGTATTGTAGTATTTCTTTTCTTTTTTTAATTCACCGGCTCTGGAGAGAAAAAGAAAACGTTGTTATAACATTGTGGTCAATTAAGATGAATTAGGGTTCGATCTCATGTTTTATAATGTGCCATTTTAAAATGGCAGAAATTGTGATAAACATTTGTGTGATTTTTTCTATTTTCATTGAGTTGTATTTTTTTACGAATATAATATATATATATTTTTACAAAAAATTGGTATTGTTTTTCATATTTTTACCCTATTAACAATAATATTTCATAATTTCTCACATTAAAACATAAAAAGGTCACTGTAATAAATAATATTTTGTAATTGTGGATGTTTCAATTAAAACTATAATAATTAATAATTATTGTTTTTGATTATTACATAAATTTTATGAAATTTTCAGTTAAATGGACAAATAGCTTGATACTGTATATTCTCAACTACTTAACTGGAAATTTGATTAATTCTAATAGAAACCAAACAAAAAATAGTGAAGATAAATGGAAATTATAAACCTCAATTATTGCCCATAAATTTCAAGATTCTTCAAGTAGACTCCAGTCATAAATAAAAACTTTGTATAGAAAAATTGTGTTGTCTTAAAACCCTACATTTATTACAGTAATATCAGGCAAAAAATTCATTAAATATATTAGTTTATTAAATGTATGAGGCATTGCTGCCCGTTATATATGGAAAATAAAGTCGACCTTGATGCGAAGGGTGTACTCAATAGTTATGCCAGAATCCTATATTGTACCTAAATGTCAGCCTTGAAAATTTATTTTAAACCTCTTTGAAACATTGGTAACATGACATTTGTATAAACAGTACGTGCTTACTGGATTTGTATAAAAGCGGCTTGTTTCCCTAACCCTAAACCATTCCTAACATAAGCCTAACCATTCCTAACTTTAATCTAGCAACCCTAATCGGGCCCATAACCCTACCTAACAACAGCTAGCCTTACCTAACACAACCCTAATCCATACCAAAGCCTACTTTACTAACCATTCCTATCCCAAGTCTAATCAGCCCCTAATCCTATCTAATGACTAATAGCATTACCTAACCCAACCCTACTCTGTCCCTAACCCTGCTTAACTAACCATTCTTATCACAACTTTAATAAGCCCCTAACCTTACCTAACAACTGCTAGCCTTACCTAACCTAACCATGCTTCGTCCCTAACCCTATTTTACTAACCACTCCTACCCAAACTCTGATCTCCCCTTTAAACATTCATTACATGACCAACAAGTATACTCTAATGTAAAGGAGCCTTCATTGGGGAGGGAATGCCCCAATTTCCCCTTCCCATAAGAATAAAATTTACACTCTACAGTAATATCTTTTCAAAGTTCGATGATCCCATTATTTTTTCTCTTATAGAAAGATCAAGGTAATAATACCTATAGTAAAATGGGTGTGTCTCCTGTGGATACAACAAGGAAAAAACGAATTCACCAGAGAAAAAATAACATTATCGTAACAAAATTAATGTTTTGTCATTACGGTCATGTTCTTTACTGCATGTCTATGTGAAATTTTGCATAAGTTACAATTTAAGATAATGGAAAAAATAGAAATGTCCCTAACCTTATCCAAATATTAAAAACCTGACCTAACCTGACTTGTCCCTTACTCTAACGTATGCACTTCCCATTAACTTGAAATCGATGACATCCCAAAACCTAATGTTAATGGTCATGTCCAAATAGCCGTGTTAATAAAAATTTTAGCTAAAAAACAACCTAAGGCTGAGCAAAAAATGGATTTGTAGTTGGTTAATAAAAGTTGTAAAATTAGAAAATTATGAAAATGCTAAAGAATTTGATGAAAACCAACACAAATCAATTGTATTTAACATCTAACATCCTATATAACATCTAACCATTATTACATTTTGAAGGTAAATATATTATACACAGGGTAATTTGACCATTTTGGTTCGCTTATCTTTGCTGGGTTAGTATCTGCCTTTTGACATCTTCAATGGCGAGTCTGTTGTACAAACGTATAATTGTACAAAATAATGTCACCTTTTGTATTAACAATGTTATTTTACAATAATTAAGGAACATTTCAAAACACATATAAACATTTTATTATTGAAAAATATAATTTTATCATTTTCTTTGTGTTATATTCGGTTTTACAATTTCAGCCTGATATTTATAAACATTTAAATTTCAATCTTTCCTTGCCCTGTGTAGAGTACATCCATACCTCCTCCATCTTATTGACCTGAAACAATAAAATTTAAAAAAACATATTCAAACTTGAAATGAGAGTGACTAATCATTTTATGCTATACATGCCCGACGTATTTAAGCAGAGCATATTAAAATAATAAAAACTAAACTAATACACTAACCTTTAATAACTTCAGGGGAAAGGATGGGTGTTGCATGTTTTTTACCACGTTGGTTGGGTAGAGGGAAATGCAATTTGACTTCTTCTTCTTGGTTCATCCACGCTTCTATTTCCTCAACTCTAAAACCAATGTCAATTATGAAAATTATACATTTAAACTTTTTTTTAATGGCTTTATGTTCTGAGGATATTAGCCAATGACAATATGTTATTATACGTATTCGTTTTTTTGGGGGGAGGGGGAAGGGTAGTGTGAAAAAAAGGCCAGAGGCGACGGTGGGAATTGAACCCACGACCGCTGGATCTACGAGCCGAGAGTCTCTCACGCTAACCACTCGGCTACTGCAGCCCCACATTTAAACTGAAAAGTGTATAAATATAAAATAAATTGAGGAAATATGTGAATAATTATTAAAAGACAGAAGATGCGAAGACTGTGGGAGAATGTTGCACAGCATACTTTAAAATAATTACAGAACTTTTTTTGTGGGTACCAGAAACTAGAGTTCCGCTGAGATCGTGAGATGCGATCTGGTGTGACGTTAGTTTTAGAAAAACATTTTCTTTATCGTGCCAACGCTTCGATCTTTATTGAGATCATTTTCAAGGCCTGGGATTTATAAACATTGTTTATATTATACAAGTACATCTGGATGTGAAAAAAGTGAATTTATATACAATGCTAGAAATTTTAGACTGAATCAAAGTACTTGTACTCACTCAAAGTGTTTGTTTTCTGTGTAGATAACGTGTTTGGTTATCGTGTTGAGAATGCCAGTGAGATATTGATGTTTTATGTTTATATACGTTGGATTTTGAAGGGGTGGGGAAGGAAGTTGGGATCGAAAACATTTTTATAAGAGGAGTCAGCTTCTTTGAGGTGAAAGGAGCCGACAATGTGAAAGAATGGGTAATGGTTCGGCCTGATTATCCTTTCAGGATTATATAGATGGGGATAATTAGGGAAAGGAAAGCTAAATTGTTGAAGAATTAGACTATGTAGAAATGTCTGATGTGAGGGATGTAATGATTGTTTTATATGTTTTATGTGATGTGATGATATATCTCACGATCTCCAAATAACCATCAACTAACGGTCACTAAACACCACACATTTTTACAGCTTATTTTATTCCTGATTCTATTTTTGGGACTCACAACACGTGTGTGAATTGAACCCCCGGTGTACTATTGTTCTTCCATCGAAAAAACTCATTTTCGAAGGGGTTTGGGACCGAATTCAGGGTCGATGAGATCCGATCCCGCCCGACTTTCAAATTATGAGTGTAGCGGCCATTGCTCCTCTTATGCATCAGAAAAAAACGTCCAGAGACTATGGACGACTGTGGATCTGCTAGCTTGGAGTCTGATGCGTTAACATGTTCGTTACAGGCATCATTCTTGGATTGGATTATTCATCCCCACTTGTGTAAGGTTGTCGAGTGTTTGGGGGATATTTTCTAATCGAATCGGTAATTGAGGATACCAAGTCAAAGGAATTTATTTGTTCTATGGGTGGGCATATGTAAATAATGAGTGGGTAAACAATATATGTTGGCTGATTTGCCTAACCTGGCCTTCCTCATATACGGGCAATTTTTTTAGCAAAATTTTAATTAAGGGTCATTTATAAACCTAAATATAATTCAAACTGTAAAAAATCCATATTTCAAGAGTATTTTTACAAATCAGTGTGTACAGTACGAACGTGTTACCCCTTGGCTACATTACAGAACTTATTGTAGCTATTAATAAATTAAACTTACAGTAAATAAGAAATTATAAAAAATAAAACTAACGTTCTTGGTACTTTTGAAAGAAGCTCACAGCCATAATCAGTAATAAGCACATCATCTTCAATTCGTACTCCTCCAAATCTTTTGAATTTATTTACAACATTAAAGTTGATGAATTTTGCCATCTTCTCATCATTTTTGGCCTTTTCCAAGAGCTAAAAAAACACAAATGGTCAAATTCTACATGGCTTTTGAACATTATGAACACAAAATTATTACCACATCAATAAAATAACATCCGGGCTCAATGGTCAAGACCATATTTTTCAACAGGAACCGGTTCATTCTTAAATTTTTCAATGATGCCCTCGTCGGACGAGGAGGAGTGTCATCCAAATAGCCGCCAACATCATGCACATCAATGCCCATTAAATGTCCCAAGCCATGCGGCATAAAAATAGAACCCAATTCCGCCTAGAAATAAACATTTTGGTTCATTAATTTATAACATTTGTGAGATTTTCTGATGAATGATCAAACCACAATTTAAACATTACAATAATTACAGACTTACATCAAGCATTTCTTCAACATCCCCAACTAACAAATTGTGGGCTTTCATTTCTGTAAACATTGCTCGTAATGCATGTAGATGTACCTTTTCCCACTGGACTCCTGCAACCATTTAATATATGGTATATATACATAGCCTCAAAAAATCTGCCAATAATTTTTTTTTTTATTAATACTTCACTTTATTTCAAGTCTCATTAAAAGTTCAATCAATCAGATAAAAAGAGTTTATAAGAATGTGTTTATTACCTGGTCTAGACTCTTCTACAGCTTTGTTTCTCGCGTTTAATACAGCATTGTAAATAACTTTTTGTTCTTCTGTGAATTTACCGTTGACAGGGAAGCTGCATGTAATGTCTGAAGCATAGCCATAATATGAAGCACCCATATCAAACAAACTGCAATGTAAATGAGAAAGGGTGAAAAACAGAAACAACAAAACATAAGCTCTATGTAAAAGAAGTATCTAAAAACATTGAATCATCGATATGTAACCTAACCTGTCCTTAATCCTTACCTAAACATAACCCTAAAACCACTTAACCTAAACATAATCCTAACCCATCCCTAACTTTATCTACAGTTGCAAGTAACTAGCAGTATATACTATCTTGCCTGGTTCAAACTAAAAATAAACATGGCATAAAAATAAAAACAAATCTAAGCATTTAACCTTAACTTAACCCTAACCAAACTTAAACACAACCCTGAAACACCTAACCTATCTCTAACTCTGCCCAACCTAACCTAAACATAATTTTAGCCCATCCCTAACTGTATCTATACATGCAAAGGAATTAGAAGGATATGCTATCTTGCATGGTCTAAACTAAAAATAAACTTAATATAAAAATAAAAAACAAATACAAACACCCTATACAAAAAATTAACCCTAACCATAACCTAACCTAAACATAACTAACCCTACCTAAAATAACCTAATCCATCCCTAATTCTAGCTAACTTCAACATTAAACAACCTTAATTCAACCTAACAACTGTAACCCAACCTAACATCTTTAACTTTACCTCTCCATGCAAGTACCCTAACCTATCGCTAACTGTACCTAACTTAACCTAAGCATAGCCCTACCCTACATGAAATAACAAATTGGTCGCATTACATTAAGTCAGAAAGAGGCTCCTAGTAATCTGAACATTTTTTGCCAAGGCACCTGTAACTTTTAAAGTTTCTTTAAAGGTCAACACTTCAGCTTTTGTCTAAATCACTTACCACATCTCTCCGTCATTGATGATTTTGTCATTTGGAGCACCAGCATGGCCATAATGCAATACAGCAGCATTGGGTCCTGAACCACAGATGCATGTATAAGCTGTTGTGCGGCATCCTCCCGTATAATAGCAATAGTGGAGGAAAATAGATTCAGCCTGGTACTCGAAATGGCCAACCATGGAAGGGAGATTTCGCATGACGTATTTATGCGCTTCGGACGATACCATGCTGGCCTGTCTCAACAGCTCGATTTCATGCTCATTTTTTAAAACACGGCTAAAACATTAAGTATAGTAAAAATAATATATTCTATTAAATCCAAATTAAATACTTACAGTTCGCTCATTGTTGGATACAGCACAGTCAGGTCGGTCGGATATCTAAAAGAAAATAAATCAGGTTAAAATTGGACACTCTTAATAATAATTGTACCCATACTAACTTTTTACTATTTTCAAACTGTGGAGCATCCATTTTTATATCACTATCAGTGTTTGTACCACTCTAAATAACAATTCACGTTAAAAAACATTATTTAATTATTAAAAACTCAGCTAAAAGTTATTACTTACAAGAAGGAATATTTTTTTGGGGTTGCACTTCGTCAATACTGTACTAATCTAAATAAAAATATTATAATAATTATCTACACAGTCTTGTTAGAAAAATCAAAACACTTCACCTCATCTTCATAATAGACTTGATTTACACTGTACAAAGTCTTTACATCTTCTGGTGTTAAAAGCTCCCCCATCCAAATTGCATAAGATTCAGGCAGTCGAGGCATGAATAAGTATGAAGTATTGGTTTTCAAGCAAATAGCGCCCCAATATGAAGGATGACGGACTCCAAAAGCCCAATGAAAAAATGGTTCCTAAAATTGTTTTCAAAAATGTCTTTTAATGCAATCTTTCAATTTTTTTTTAAAGAATATTTTTAAGAAAGGCCAACCTGCTTAAAAGTGTATTCGACATCGGTGTTGTAGACATTGACCGCTTCGCCACCTTTCAAAAGAATGAACCCTTGAGGCTCGACTGACTTCATCTTCTCGTATAGCCTTTCACGGTTGATCCGAAAGGTCTCCATAGATACAGGTGGAGCATTTTTTGTAATTGTGTAATTACCCATCGCCCTAGAACAAAATTAAACCACTCTATAAATCCGATAAAAGTAAATTTTCACAATTTGAGATTAAAATTACATCAGTGTGGAATGTTTGTGTCTTAGGAAAGCAGATGTTTCAAATGAATCGAGGGGTTTACAAGAAATTTGATACTACCATGACAACTAAATCTACAAAACTTTTTATTTGCATATATTATTTATGATTAATGATAAAGAAAAGACCATCATTTTAAAATAATTTGAATACACGATTTTCTGGGTTTATTTTCTAATTGCAGATTATAGTATCAGCAGAAACATATATTTGAGATGATTTTTTCAATGGGCATAAATAATAATAAGACACCTAAAATAGTAAAATGTAATTAATTCTTTCAGAGAACAAATTTCATTTGCGAAAAATCCAATCTATTCACTATTCCCCCACCAAAAAAAATGTCTGACAGGGATGCCTGCTGTGTCCTCTATTATTCTCCTTTTTCAAAGATGGCCTAGTCAGTCAGGGTTAATTCGTTAATCGTTATTTGGATGGACAGTGGAGCTCTTTGTATTGCTGGTCATTTGAAGGGAAGAGGAAGTAAATCAATGGTTTAGCTCGACACTGAGACTCTGTGTAAATATCTTGCTCTGAAAGCTTCCTGGCAAGGAGGGTAAAGCCACAGTGTCTTCGGTAAAAATCCTAAGTAGACAGTGGAGTTTGAATGGGGGATTGATTATGTTGTTTCATTTGCCCGATGAAATGTTTTCCTGCAACTCCTGTGCAGGGCATTGTAAAAATTGGTCTGTAAGATTTTTGCATTACTTAGTACATGCATTGAACAAAGTACATAAAAAAGCTCCTATGAAAACCCGCCCAATGTATCAAAAAATCTCCCAAGGCTTGTTTTTCATAGGGAAAATTATATGGTTTTAGTTACCCCAAAAAGGACAAAAAAGTCTCAGAACCACTCCTCAACACCAAACAATTTAATTTTCCAGAAAGAATGTACACTAGTAAGTACGTGTGTGTGTGTGTGATGATTAGTGACCATTGATTAATGCATTATCAATGATTATGCAGAGATCGTGAGATGCGGTCTGGTGTGATGTAGATTTCAGAAAAACATTTTCTTTATCGTGCCAACGTTTCGATCTTTATTTACTAGTAAGTACATAATAAATTATTTAAAAAAAAAAAAAAACCACCAGTATGCTATATTTTTAATTATTTTTCAGATTCTGATTTGAAAAGAAAAGAAAAATCAACTGCAGGAGTTGAGAGCAAATTTCGCTCAAGAAATTCAAGACAATTCTAGCAAAAATCCACTNTTTTTGCCAACAACCTCTGGCAGAGACAGTTTTTAATACATTTCTCCATACTTTAGATATATGCATTTGTATCTTATCTAATCTATATTTTTTTTTAGTATTTACTATTTTAGATAATGAGATGTATAGACTGGGTAAGTTTAAATAGCGGTAATTTCCCTTTCTGTTTAAATGTACAGTGTTTCCCAAATAAAACAGCCAAAATCATATTGGGACACTGTTGACATATCTTCCTCAACATTTCATTCTGCGATAATCATTTCAATGGATATAAAATGGAAGTTAATAAGGAGAGAAATATTTAATTAAGAAATTGTCATTTCAAGGCCTTCAAGAACAAATGAACATGAGCTAAAATTTACACATTATCTTGCAAATTGACTAGTTACTGTGGATTATAAGTTCTTTTTCTAGGGTTTATAACAAACGATTATTAGGTGTCATTGTCAGAAAAATTGTAAGCTTTTCCAAAAGTTTTATATATTGTATTTTTATTTATTTATTTATTTATAAAAGCATTTTGAGGCAATCTAAGCCTCCTTCTCATTGAATGTAACGCTTCTTTCTTAACAAGGAGAGTGGAGACCCAAGATCAAAATAAAGGGAATAGAAGAGTCAAATGAAATTGATTGGCGAGGATAGTTCATAAATTGGGAAAGTTGGCATGCCAGGAAAGTCGATGGATCAGAAGAGTCTACAGACCAGAAAAGTCCATAGATCAGGAGAGTTGGCAGGCCAGGAAAGTTGATAGATCTGCAAAGTCGACGGACCAGGAGGGTTTTTTTACCTTAGCTTTTGCTATTAGACCATTGCTCTTTTTGTATCCTCCATACAGTCCCTGACCCCAAACCCACCATATCAGCAAAACAGCTGCTCTCGGTGTTACTAAATGTATATTTTTTACTATCTTTTGCCGATCTCTAAGTGGGATGTGTGAGTGTGGGCTCCACCCACAATTCACCAACTATCAGAGGCCCAACATTGCCCAGAGAGGGCTCTCAGGGCCACAAACTGTCCCTGGAGGCAGAGAAGAACACCAGTGGATCTACGGAGAAGGCGGTTAATGTAAGAGACTATTATACTATTGAGAGGATTTAATTACTGTATATGGGTATTGTATATGTAAATAATCTCTTTTTCGTTTGTGTTGTATCTCTAAATTGTTATATTGCATTTATAAATAAACCATAAAATTGCTCTATCAATTTCAAGATTTTTTAAATTGACCCAATATTATAGATACAATTAATGTTTAGCCAATCAATGTAAAGCTTGCTTTATATCAAGTGTCGCAAATTTTTATATCATATTTCAGCCAGATAATGATTAGTCGACAGAAAAAAAATTCAAACATTTGGAGAATCAATAAGCAAATAAACATTTCAACACTGATAATATCACTCCAGATGACATTTGACATCATAAAAAACATTGAAAAGTCATTCATCACAGAAATGACTGACTTGCTTGATTGCCAAAAGAATTTTTTGTATATAAGTTCAGTTTCAGCATCATATTATTTACAGATAAATTTATTTTGTTCGTTTTTTCCCAGAATTACTATAAAATTTAATTTTCAATTAATTAATCTTTAATTAAGATTTTGGTTGAGATAAAAAAGTCAGTACCACAAGCGGGATTCAAACCCACGACCTTCGGCGACTTTTATCGTCACGATAGCTCAAGTGGTTAGAGCAGCGGCATATTGAGCCAAAGGTCGTGGGTTCAAATCCCGCTTGTGACACTGACTTTTTTATCTCAACCAAAACCTTAATTAAAGATTAATTAATTGAAAAGAATTTATTCAGTCAAGCGGACCATGAAACCTAATAAAAATAAAATTTAATATTTAAGTGATAATCAAATAATTACATTCCATCAGCCTTTAACAAAAATATAGGAGTTCAATTTTTATTTGAATTTAAATAATTAAAAGAACCGTTTTATTGGCAGTTAAGTGAACTAGTGAAGTGTTTAGTGGATTTAATTTATATGAACTATTGCACTGTAGGATATCGAAGTTTCTTTTCTCACCATTCATTTGTATTCTGCTTAGTTTATCAATGGTTAGAGACAAAATTTGTATAGTTTAAAAGTTTCTGACCATTTAGATTCAGTTTACAAGATTTCTAAGATAAACTTTAAATTTATTTATGACATATCTTAACATAAATGAGAAAATTTAAGTCAGCAGAATAAAAAATTATATGCTAGCAAAGACCTAGATGTGCCAAGACTACATTATTAATTCAGTGGAATATTTAAAAGAACTATTTTTCTCCTAGAAGTTCAACAAACTCGTAAAGTGTCAATAATGTGTAATTTATATAATTGCACCAGTGTCTCAGCTCTTCTCCTTAATTTGTTTGACCTTTACTTTCAATTCCCCCCCCCCAAATAAAGGCAAAACTTGTCTTAGCATAAGACTTCACTATTCAAAATCTCTATATATAAAACAGTTCTGTGACTGACTGACAGACAATGCACATACCAAACTGCTGGATCTAAAGGGCTGAAATTTCGACAGTGCATTCCTACAGTGACACGGTTAGCCGCTGAGAAAGGATTTTTTTGAAATCCCACTATGGACAATTTTGTACCATGAATAGACTGAAGCAAAATGAATACGAGAAGAATTTGAGAAACAAAACATTTTTTCAGAGTCATACTAACAATGCATCACATTAGAAAGGTACAATGTGGACAAAGCCGTGGGTAAAAGCTAGTATACTTTTTTTAAAAGGTCGAGTAATCAAATATTTATTTTTCAAATGTAAACCTGTCTTAGTATGAGTAGAATAATAACGCAGAAATTGTTAATAAAAAGCAATACTATGTAAGAACTTTATACGCTTAAAACCTGACAGATCACCAACATTTTCAAAAACCTTGAGGACAAAGAAACACAATAATAATAGCTCCTATAAATAAATAAAAAAATAATGGTGTTATTATTATGGGGAAGTTGTACATCACTTACTCATCAAGCTACGGTCACCATAAAATTTGCACCTAGGGCTCTACACCTGAGGACCTCTGACAATGGGACAGGGGGGCTTTGTACCAGAAGCTTGAGAGAATCACATGGTGTATGTTTTGTACAGATGGCATGTGGTCATACCCGATTTCTGCAAGTAGGGTTTTCACCGCCAGACCTCAAGAATTTGCTTTTCCTTTCCTCCATCCATATTTGGAGGACCAACCTAAACTGAAAGGATCAGAAAATGAAAGGAGTCAGGTCACGAGGACAGTAGAGACCCGAATGAAGGGAACAAACGAGTCAAGTTGAATCGATCGATGAGGAGAGTCGGCAGACCAGAAAAACCAATAGTTAAATAAGTTGAAAGACCAGTAAAGTCAACAGATCAGGAGAATAGGAAGACCAGGAAATTTCAGAGATAAAGAGTCGACAGACCAAGTATGTAAAAACATCAGAAGAGTAGATGAATCAGGAGATTTGACAAACATGGAAAGTCTATAAATCAGAAGAGTCGACTGACCAGTAAAGTCAATAAATAGAATGATTTGACAGACAAGGGAAGTAGACAGATCAGGAGAATAGGAAGACCAGGAAGGTGTTGACATGTTTCATCGCAAGCTCCAATTTGTTTTATTTTAAAAACTCATTTAACATAGGAAAACACTCCAACTCTTCCTTCTCAACAGATTCAATCCAAAACTGGATTTTTCTTTTAAAAATGTGAACTTTGTCATTAGCATCGAAAGTTGTTTCTCTTCCCTTGCAAAGAATCATTTTCATGAAAATATCAGATAAATATGACGTTACACATTGCCATTTCTCACCATTGAAAACATTGGCCAGTTTGACATTACAGTCCTCAGCAGAGATGACTTCAGAACGTAATTCCTGTAATTATGAAAGTGCTTTCCCATATGACAGCCACCTCACTTCTGTATGGAGAAGAAGGGAATGATGAAGGCTTCCTACATCGTCACATAGTATTATGAAAGATTGTGACTTCAATGGCTGCGACTTGATATAATTAATAATTTGCACACTCATCCGAAACTTTCTTAAAAGAGGTGTGGAGAATACAATGACTGCTGCAACAATTCTTTTATTGATTTTTTGCTTTAATAATCACTCCGATCATTAGTCATTGCTTATACACCTATTCAGAGACTTGTAGAATTTGAGCTTGAGGTGCTTCATCTGAAGGCTTCAGTAATGTCCTCATCAGAAGGTTGTCCTTTTCTGGCTGTGTAGGTGATGAAGGAACTGCATGCTTCCTCAGAGATCCTGACTTCAGCTACCGATCCATATTGGAGAAAATAACTGATCAATGAGAATTACACACACAGGTAAACACTTTAGAAACTGTTTTTTCTCATCTAACTTCTTTAAACTGTTCCAAATCTCTTGGACCAGGTGGTATTCAACCATTACTTCTATATCACTGTATATATGCTTTAGCACCTGTTCTCTGTAATATATTTAATTATTCTTTGAATCAAGATGCTTTTCCTAACTTCTGGAAAGTTCGACTTGATATTCCTTATTTAAGAGTGGTAACAAAAATATAGTAACTATCGTCCTGTTTTTATTCTTCACTAAACACCGCACCGCTTTAACAAATCTTTTTACTTTTACTACTTTTCTAAACACAACTTGAATGTGGTAATCAGGTAGAATCTAATTTATTCGTATAGAAATACTTAAAGATAATTTAATTTAAAATATACATAATAATTCAAGATTTAACATGTCTGCACACTTGTCTGTGGAATGAAGAAAAAGAAGGATTAAAAATTGTAAGATGTGGAAAGTTGGCTGGATGCATCGTTCTGTCATTAGGAGTATTTTTACTGCAGTTAGTAGAATGGTAGGAAATATTAATAAGTCTAAGTAGCTCAATACTGAAAAATTAATTTGACCAAGTAAAAAAGGACTGCCAATATAGTAGTTAATAATTTTGAAAAGAGTAATTAAATCAGAGCGAAGTTTACATGTCTTTAGGGGAAGGAAATTAAACTACTGTTTAAATTATCTATAGTCAGTAATAGTTACTCCTATTTTATTGGCAAGAATTCTGAGAAATTTAAATTGTACCGATTGAAATTTTAATATAAATAATTTAACTTAAATTTCTGTACTTGTATGTAGGTTGAGATATTTACTGAATATATTTCTCTAACTTTGCACAAAATAATCTCATTATTCCTTATTTAATCAATTTTTTTTTTAAATTGTTTTCTAATATTATTTAGAAATAATACCTCACGACTTCATCAAATTACGAAAGAACATTACTATTATTATTATTGCAATTGCCAGAGAAGTTTGAGCTTGAATCACATTTTTCAAAAAACAACGGCTTTTTATAAATAACATTGGACAAATACAGGGCGTCCCAGAAGCAGCAGTTCCCGGTACTCCAGTATCAACAATGAATTTTCTAGGAAACTGATCGAATTTTCTGTCCGTCTCACATAAAAATAAACGAAGAACAAATAAATACAAATAAAGAAAAAACTTTCGTTTTCAGTACTCATTGTTATTAGTTTTTGTAATTTTATTTATTCATTCTACGTTTGTTTTTGTAATTATTAATTTTTCTGGAAGTTCGTCGTGGACCAGTTTGAGAAGGCACAAGTCGAGAATATCAGTGGAACTTTATACTTATGGAGGAAATTGTTTAAAACAAAAATGGAAAGTTGGACATACGCAATAATCAAATACAGTTCAACTTTCTTCTGGTTGCACCCTTTTCAACCCCAGTTAACATACTGAATAAACTAAACGATCAAAAAACTCAGGATGAAAATGAAAACTTACTCGGTCATTTTTGAAGTTATTTCAGTGTTTTTGACGTGACAACGCCGTTCGAAGAAATGGGACAGAAACGAAAATGATCTACGTTGAATTTGAAATGACTGATTGGAACGCAACGACTCCACCCGTATCAGTAATCGTATCATGACAAGTATCCGAGGTCCGTACCAAGCTTTCGGCGGGTGGGGGTAGACGTCACAAGAAAAACAAAATCGTTCAGAACTTGGCAGTTTTCTCTTTTAAAAAACAACCGTGAGCACCAGTATTTATTATTAAAACAATATTTTTAAAAATCCCGAAAGATTTCAATTGTCTCGTTGAAATTTTCAAGATGTTTTCCGTTGTTTAATTGAAATTTCTGCACATTAAATAGTTGAAGCTCCATAATGGTTTCATTTTTCAACATTGTTGGAGTTTCTATTTTTGTGCTAAAATAGTTTCTAAAATGTCTCATGTTTTGAACAAATGAATTCTGTTAGTGTTGCCCCTTGTTGTTTTCTTTTATCTCAACTGTTTATATCCCAACTGATTATATTTATTAACTGACTTAAGGTTTTAGAAAAGAAAACACTTAATTGGTTGAAACAAAATTTTAGTTGCATAAAAACTGAATTTAGAAAAATCTTTGTTTGAGCGTGTTTTCTCCACTATTTCAAACTCATGATTTTTCCTCCAAAACTCAAAAATTTAGAGAAAAATTGTAAAATCATTTTAATTTCAAATATATGGGCAAATCAAAAATAGCAAAACGATTGTGGCTTTCTTTTCTCCTGTGCTCATGTATATCTCCCACAAAGAGGTAGAGCGGTCTTAAATAGGAAAAAGAACGAAATTGAATTTATTAAGCAGCTTACAGTCTTCACGAGCGAGGGAATGTTGTTGGCATGGTCATAGATCTTGATGGCAATGGATCGCAGGCCCTCTTCTGATGACAAGTTCCTTGGGAACACCAAGTCTTAGATGACAGATGTCAATGACTTCATCTCAACTGACATTGTCATTATCCCTATTGGTCTCTCATACACGCGTCTTACAGGCTCAGAACTGCTTAGGTTGTAAGCCTTAGATGATGGTTCTTAGTACGGTGTGGACTACAGGTCCTTCCTAATAAGGCTGGGTTTACGACCTGGGATGATGTGGATCCCTCGCCCTTGCTTACAAAGCTGTGTACATGACCGCAAATCATGAGCCTTGGCTGGCAGCCCTTGAAGGGGTCGACCCTGGGGCTTCTTTAAGATCTGTGTACATGACCTCACCTCGGGTCCTTGCTTACAAAGTTTGTACTTTACCTCACCTTATGAGCCTTGGATGGTGAATCCTTAGAGGGTGTGGACTGCACATATTTCCTGACAAGGCTGTGTATGCCACCTGGGATGACATTGATCCCTGGTTGTGGATATGACTTTACCTTGTGAACCTTGGGTTCTTGCTTATAAGGTATACCTCACCGTGAGCCTTGGATGAAATGCTATTCACAAAACTATGGAAGAGGGCATAGACATCCAGGCACTAGTTTGCTTGAGGTTTAGTGGGATCAACAGGACTAGTTTAAAATGAATCAGAACCAATTAAAGTAATAAAATTTCCAAAGCCGATACAATAATTGGAAATCAAGCCAGTGAGTAGTATCAGCCATGAGTCCCCATTTGTTGGTACTAAGAATACATTGGACAGTGGAAAGGAAGCCTGTAGGAAGTGCCAGCCATACCAAAATCTTTGACAAAGTTAAAATAATGGACACAGCAAACATTGAAAAAATAGCTGAGTGGAAATATAAAGTAAAATCAGTTAAACCTGGAGCTCTTCTGTGGTATACAGATCAAAAATGAGAAATTGTACAGGCATGAGCATAAAAGGGCCTAACTTTGAGCTCCACATGTCCCTCAGCCCCACGACAACAATTTTTCAAGCCAAACGCTAGCAAAGGGCTAATAATCATTCTTTCAGACAGTCGAGCAGTTCTAAAGGTTCTCCTACAAGATTACTTTAAGTCATCCTTATCGTATACCATTCCAATATGATCCTTTAGCCATTTAATTTCCATTCTGCAGAGTGCAATTTGTCCAAGTTGGTTGAACATTAATGATATTTTATCTGTAACTTAGAATGGTGTTATTTGACAGTATTGACAATTCACTATCCATCCATATCAAAGCTATTCTGGTTTTCTTTCTATTAGTATGTGTTTGTGAATTTAACCATCTCACTACCTCCACTATTGCCATCATCTCTAGGAAAGAATGTATTTAAAAATTAATGAGTGTAGCTAGGTTTGGCAGCTGAAATGACCCAGCTGTTTACATCCACTGGAGTGTCCTTACATCGCTTAACAAAAACTAACTAACTCGTAAACATTAGGACTAATAAAGTAGGTGATGTTAACCTCAATTCTGTGAGCTTATACCAAGCAATCATGGGATTTGAACCCAGAACAACTAGTATGGCTAATACGAGAATCCACAGACGACAAGTATTTAATTTTATCTTTACTTAAAACTTATACAAATCACTTAAGTAATATACAAGAGCTAAAATTTACTTTGTTTAAAATTATCATAATTTTACGCAATCAATCTATCAATTGATCTTTCTTTTCAAAGTCCAATGATAATATAGCTGAAAATTTTTGATTTCCCATTATTGATTAATTGATAATGGAAATCAAAAATTTTAGGAAAGGAAACTTCAAATGTTTCTAAAAGGAGGTGCTCACATAAGTAACTCAAATATAAAAACTATTTGCGTTGATTAAAGTGCAAACAGACAAGCAAAACTTTCACTTTGCTTGTCTGTTTGCACTTTTCCCCCTAATTAATAAAATTGTTTTGCGAATAAAATTACAGCCTTTGCATTGGTAAAATAACTAATATTTACTTTTTTATAGAAGAAATTAACAAAATTTGTAATTNTTTATGTTTGTGTATATTTGTATGTATATAAAAATGTCAACATCATTGATGGGGTTTGAACCCACATTCTTCGGAATGGATTCAAATCCTCAGTCTTCAGAAGGAATGTGAACCCTCGGTCTTCAGAATGGATTCAAACTCTATTTCATGATAAAAATAAATTGACAACAATTCCATCATTATTATCTTAAGTGCTGTATTAAAGGGGGGAAAAGTGCAAACACCCACTCTTAGATTAAGAATCACTGAAAAAAAACATTTATTACAAGATGGCATGAAATAATTAAATTCATTTATAAGTCCATAAAAAAACAAACTCAGTATTTTATGTAATAAATATTTGCTAGACTTTTTAACAAATTAATAAAAGTAAAACAATTCCTGTCATACAGGAGAGCATAACATCCAAATACCTAATTGGGTGTTGCATACAAAGGGTCAGAACCACTTTACAATACTTTTTTCTAAATTATTCTCATATAAAAGTACAAAGGCTGTGTTGGAATTCTTACCCAGAACCACTAGAGTGTATCGAATTGTGCCACTCAGCCACTGCAATCCCCTGAAATAATTATATCAAGAATGTCAGATTTAATAAAACATTGTTGATACTTATGTTATAATGACACTTTATTTCAATATAATTCAAATTATTCACGAGCCATTAATTCCTTTGTCAGCTACGTTACACAAGTTTTTTTATAAAACAATTCAAATGAATGGTGTGATAATTATATTTTATTACACTTTTTTGGAATATCATCTGCAAACTTACATTTAAAAACTCTTTTTTTTACCAATATGAATTTTCTAAATTAATATATATTTAACATGTCTTAAAACAAATAGTTGAAGTCTTGTCAAAACTCAGTCAAGTTACAAGTAATAGAATTTAACAATCATGAATTACCCTGTGATCAGATGTACTGCCAAAGATGTACTCTTTGTTAGCATCTAAGCCACTTAAATTTAACAAAAATACTGCTAATAACAAAGTATTTAAAGACTAGGATAATAAATCATAAGGCTAAAATATTCACATAATTAACTTCGTCATTTTTGTCCATTTTAGTCCGTCAGTTTTGAGTTTTCATCATTTTTAGCATTAGGTTTGTGGTCTAATGTTGAGGATAGGCAGGATCAAAAATGGACTGGTCAATCACCATACAGACCTAAAGAAGAAATCTCAGGCCTCAATTATAAAAGTAATACTCTTAAAAAATTAGTTAATCAAATTTCTTACATGAATTTAGTTAATTTTAAAACCATCTTCTTTTCATTACTTACTGGACCTGTCTACACTCACACTTTGCGCCATCTTCTGTGAGGCAATGTTTCAAAATGCATTTGAGTGACATCAAAACCATCAAGTAGAGACAGACCCAGTGCCGGTTCAACATGTGTACACCGACACACAGACCAACATCAACTCTAATAATAAGACACTTAATTAACATCAATCCACTGAGGAAATTATTTTACTGAATTTTTACTGAATCAATATATGAATTTGCTACCACCTATTCATGGTAATTGACTTATGAAAGAAATTGCACTTTTTGTTATAATAAACAATTAGTATGTAATGAGCTTTACAAAAATTTAAAAATATGAGATCATCTAAAAAAAATCAACATTAAACAATGGTGCTTATTTTTTCCTCTACAAAGTGCCTGTGTTGTGTGCATAACCAAATAATTGTGTTATAGCATAAAATATAATTATGGCAAAATTTTAAAAAGAGAATATCGTCATGATTGAACTTTCATGCCAAAATTTACAGATGTACCCAACGTTCATTTAACAAATTATACATTATAGTGTGACTATATTTTGGGTTGTAAAAATAAGTCTGCAGTGTTTTTCAAATTTTATCCCTCTTGTTTTGAAGAAATGTTTATTTAGTCATTTATTGTTTCAACACTCTGAAAAGGGTTTAGTTAAGAATGTTTCTATTCGTCAGTTTCGTTCGACTTGTATTTTCTCAAGATATTTTGCCAATTTAAAATAGAGTTAAAAATACTGCATTTTTGTCATTTGATGGTTTTTTTTATTACCACAAATGGAAAACAGCAGCTCAGACTTCTAGGAAAATTTGTTATGATGCTGTAGGTATCATTCGTCAGTGGTTTGTTGGTTTGGTTTGTTGGCTGGTCAGTTATTCAAAAGTGGAAATTTTGATTTGGAAAAGTGTTCTGAACTTCATTCAACTGACGATGGTCAAATTCCAAATTTTGTCACAAATACGAGATATCACAGAGAGGCTTAAAATATCTCATACAAGTGTTTCAAAGCATTGGAAAGCTGGATATTTGCCAGAGCGAATGGGTTCCTCACACCATCGACACCATGTAAAAGTAACAAATCTGAAAAATCGCAGTTTTCAATTTTGTTGGTTTTACTGTTACAAGACCTACCTTGAGGCAAAATTTAACAACAACATTGTAAAGGTTATTAATAACACCATTAGTTTCTTACTTTTTTAATGTTTTCCTATCTTCTAATTTGCGATTGTAGTACTAGTATACTTATATCTCGGCAAATTCCTACCTGAGATGGTAGCGAAGTTCCAAACTTACAACTCTGCATGATTGCCTACCTGAGATGGTTAGTAATGTACCAACTTATGCTTCAGCATAGTTGCCTACCTGAGGTGGTAGTAACATCACCAACTTACACCTCAGCATAGTTGCCTACCTGAGGTGGTTAGTAATGTTACCAACTTACGCTTCAGCATAGTTGCCTACCTAAGGTGGTAGTAACATCACCAACTTACACCGCAGCATAGTTGCCTACCTGAGGTGGTTAGTAATGTTACCAACTTATGCTTCAGCATAGTTGCCTACCTGAAGTGGTAGTAATGTTACCAACTTCTGCTTCAGCATAGTTGCCTACCAGAGGTGGTTAGTAATGTTACCAACTTAAGCTTCAGCATAGTTGCCTACCAGAGGTGGTAATAATGTTACCAATTTAAACCTCAGCATACTTGCCTACCTAAAGTGGTAACGAAATTACCAACTTACCGTTACGCATAGTTGCCTTCCTTCAGTGTAGTAACGTTACCAACTTACACCTCAGCATAGTTCATTGCAAACTAGTGAATCTACAGGAAAATTGTACGTTCATTACTTTGCCTTCACTTTTTTGTCACATTACAAATCTTCATATGCAGTTAGGTAATAAACATTGTAAACTAATTTTATTAGTTAATTAAAAATTATATCAATGACAGTAGGCAACATTGATGAATTTTATAAGATCTAATTAAATTAAAATTTAAAAACCTTATAAAATTATGGTTCCATGAGTTTTTGTTCTTGTGAAATGTATAGAACGACACATTCATCACTTTAACATGGTGCCAACAACATGTTGACAGAAGAATTTATTAGATCGCATCTCCAATTGTGATTTTGTCCTAAAGCGACCCATTTTTTAAAAGATTGATAACTGGGGATGAAAAGTCCTTTACAACAATGTTTAGAGAGGAAGATCCTGGGTAAAAAGCAGCGACTGTTAATAAATCCAAAAGCCAGATTAAATAACAAGAAGATTGACCGGTGAGATCAAAAAGGGGTTTTATTATGACCCTCTTCTGTTAGACAAAATTATTAATTCTAATGTATAGTGCACACAATTGGACCATTTAAAATTACCCACTGACCAAACAACAACCAGCATTGGCTAATTGGAGATAGACTCCAGAAATTGTCAGAAATGCCTGGGATGTGCTACCCAACCTGTATTCCTAGCTCTACATAATTCTCAGCGGGAAAAAATTTTGTTCACTCAAGCACTGCAGAAAACACATCGAGTACATCGGTCAAAAACCTGTGAAGTTCTGGGAGTAATCACAAAATTACATGGAAGGTGGCTGGTAGTGGAACCAAATGATTCATATATTGTTGATTAAATTTTTTTACAAGTAGCTGAACGTATTAACCGCCTCATGATCTCGAAATAATCATTAACTAACAGTCACTAAACACTACACATACACATATTCACCAAGTTTACCATTAAAACAATTTAAGACCCCAATAAAATTTAAATTGTAGTGTAAATTAAATGTTAATTTAGTACTGAAAATGTTTTTGAAAAACCCATAAAGAATGTAATTAGAAAGAAAATAAAGACTTTCTTCAGTGGAATTGTAATTTTCAGTACGCATACAAACGTTGTTTCTCACATTCTTTATTTTAATTTGGTGTTGTTTTGTTCAGTTTATTCGTAAAAATTCTTCTCATTATAGGTCTATGTATTCAATTTTGAACTGTCAATTACCATTCTAGTTACTAATTTCATAATAAAGATACTTGTTTCACTTAAGACGTCATACAAGATCTTTTTAATATTATAATTTTCAATAAATAAAATTGGAACAAGAAAAACATCAAATCCCCATATTTAATGACATGCAGATTCTTAAATTTAAAAAAAATCAAATATATGAAATTTTATAATACTATCCTTAAATATTATACTGAGTACAAATCAAAACTAAATCTCAGAATTCATCTATACCCTGGGGACTGTGTATAAAGCTTTTCTATTATCACAGCAAAAAATTTTCAAGTACTCGAAATCCAATTTGTGTTCTCGATTCATTCACAAAGTGAACATAGTAATAGGAAAAGCATTGGTGAAACATAAAATAGGTTTTGGGATATCTAGCAGAAGGTAGTACTCCCAAAAAAGAAAATACTGCCCAGAGCTTGTTTTAATCAGGGGTGTAAATCTGTAATGTGAAAACGGTTTGAGAGATCATAGAATCCCAAGTCAACAATAAAAGAGAAATTCTTCTAAAAAAAAGTTACATTTTCTCATGAATTAATCAAATGTCAACTTCAGTAATACTATTAAAAATTCCGTTATTATTTAATGCACACTTACAAAAATGGCTTCGGAATTGAGTAATTTACTTTTCCCAAGTTCACAAATAAATGAACATCGCCAATATTTAATTCATTTTTTAAGACTTTTTATTTGTCTTGCTTAAATGAAATCAAATATTTCGCAGCACAGCGAATTCTTATGTTCAAAATTTGGCGATTCAAAAGTCTTAGAAAGTGAAAAATTAACAGTCAAATTTTAATAATCATTTTCAACATGTATCACATTTGGTTAGTACTAAATAAATTCGATACTAAACTCTCAAAAAACTGGTTTTTCTGAACAAAAGAAAAATGTATAGAATTTTCATAAGATTCAGTCCCTTTTTAATGTTAAATTTACTAATCTATATATGTTTAACGGTCATAATTGACCATATTAATTACTTCAATTAATTGTTTTTTTTTAATCTAAGGTCTTGGTTGAGATGAAAAAGTTAGTGTCAGAGCAGGATTCGAACCCATGAACTTTGGCCTGAACACCTGAGATTCTGCTCGTGACACTAACTTTTTCATCTCATCTGAGACCTTAGATGAAAAGAATAATTAATTGAGTTAAATTTACTTTATATTAATCCATGACTGAATATTTATAAGAATGCCATAAGGGCTATATTATGCTCAACAAGCTAGTTGCCTATGTTTTGAACATTTTAAATTAGAACTTGGTATTTGAGCATGCATTTTTCAAATTAATATATTAGTATAATTTCTTAATTAATTGCCTTTAGTCCAAAAGCATGCAAGAACAGGCTTATCTTTGATTTATAATGGACAAATAGAAAACTCCATTCCAAATTCTACACCTCTTGTTCAACGAAATAGCAAATAGAGCTTCAAAGCCTTCGGTAAAGGCAAGAGGTGGATTTTCTTCTTGCTGACGCATTGGAGTATGACGTCTCTGCAAGCGCTTTGCAGAGAACCAACTGAAAATAAGAAAACACAAAGATATACTAAACAATACTACTATTTTTTATCTTATTAAATAAACAGATGTAATAAATAAATAGTAAGTTTCAATAGGAGAATGAGATCTAAATCCCTATTGGTACAACTTATAAGTAATATGGCAGGTCAGAAAAGTCACAGTACAAAGATTCCAACCAAAACATCTGTTTTTCAACATCTAAATATTTATTTCTGAAAGCAGGATAACCCATAACATAACTCCAACCCTACCCTAATCCACCTAACCATTCCTTACCTTACTTAGCCTAAACACAATCCATCCTAATCTCAAAATTCATAGGGGAAAGATTTGAAATCAAAATTTCTATGCTTTTTTAGTGTACAAATGTATATTTAGAGTGCAAAAAATAATACGAATTTGAAAACCCATCGTACAATCGGCAATTTCATGTTTGTTTATTGATATTTCTTTCGAGGCCAAACATTTAAGCTGGTTTAAATTAAGTTATTTGACTTTTCTTAATATTTGGATAACTGGATTAAAACACAACGTCCATTTTCGGTTGTAATTAATATTCTTTTAACATGGATATTTTTTGTGCTGTGCTAGAGTTGGGGTTAGGAGATAGGTTATGTTAGGTAGGGTTAGGGTTAGGGTTAGAGTTAGGTTAAGTAAGGTTTGTGTTAGTATTGCATTATGTTACTTATCCATGATTCAATGTTTTTCTGTGAAGCGAAGAAAACATGCAATTGCAAAGCAATGTTTTCCTAGGCCAAACGTTCAAGATTTTTTAAATTAAATAATTTTACTCTTTTTTTAAATACAATATTTGGATAACTAGATTAAAACACAATATCTATTTTCGATTTTAATTAATGCCTTTTTAACATTTTGTACTGTGTTAGAGTTAGGGTTATAGAATAGGTTAGGTCAGATAGGGTTGAGATTGGGGTTGGGTTATGTAGGGTTCGAGTTAGGGTTGGGGGGAAAAGATACATGTACAAAGAAATCCTTTCCTAGGACAAATGTATTTCATATTTTAGATTAAATAATTTGACTTTTTTAAAATATTTGGAACGCTAGATTAAAATACAATATCTATTTTCGATTGTATTTTTTTAAAAACATGAATACGTTTATGTGCTGTGTTAAGGCTGGAGTAGAGGTTAGGTTAGGTACAGTTAAGGTTGGGGTTAGGTTATGTAGGGTTGCCCTACAAAGTAAGGGTTGAGTTACGTTACTTATCCATAATTCAATGTTTTTCAGTGAGAAAATATGAGGGAGCGAAGTCTAGGCCAGTTTTTTTTTAAATTAAATAATTGTTTAAATATTTCGTTAGCTAAATTATAATACGTCCATTTTCGGTTGAAATTAATGTTTTCGGAATTTGTTAGAATTAGGATTTGGTTGCAAGTTAGGTTAGGTAGAGTTAGAGTAAGTAGGGTTTATGGGTAAGGTTATGTTACTTATCCATTTAGTTTTTTCGTGGTTTTTCTGTGAAGCAGAAAAAATATGCGAAGCAACCCTTTTCGAGGCCAAATGTTTAAGTTGTTTTAATTTAAATAATTTTACTGTGTAGTAGTTGTTCTGTTTTAGATAGCTAGATTAAATCACAACACCCGTTTTCAGTTGTAAATAATATTCTTTTAATATGGATACGCTTTGAACTGTGTCAGGGTTAGGTTAGATTTGGAATGATTAAGTTAGGTAGGGTGAGGGTTAGGGTCAGGTTAGGTTACTTTATCATTATTTATTTTTTCGTTAAGCGGGGAAAATATGAGAGTGCGAAGTGCAAGTTTTGGGCGCTTTTAGTAATAACGTCTAGCTGTTGCCCAATTCTTCCAAGTAGGACCCTGATTGTACTGGGCCGTTAATTCTCGCTGTATTAAAGTAACATATTTTAACTTGTAAAATAATGGAAAGTAATGTGCGAAAGGTTGTTGGATCATTGAGGGCACAGGGTCGGTAGTAGATACAGACCTCCATAGAGCTGGACGATCTTGACCTGTTTAGTCGTGCCGTAAATGTCAACGACGGCATACAGAGGTCCCTCCTTGTACGGTATGAAGCTATAGCAGGGGCCCTGGACCTCTCCGTTGATAATAAAGTGCATTTCAGCATAATCACCATCCAGATAGTTGGATTTGATAGGGCTGAAAAAGACACCGATCCTACTGCCTACATCCGTCGGGGAGACGTCTTGGTACTTGTCGGGCTTGAGGATACTCTTCGAGATGGTACCCCGCGACGTGTGGACCGTATCGTCGCCCGTATAAAATTTCGAATCAACGCTGGCAGCAGCTGCCAACTGGGGCGACTCGGTTGTCGTATTAGGCAGAGGAAGCGTCTCGAACTCGTACTCGTTGTTCTTCGTGATGGCGTATATCCAGGAGGTGCTCATGTTGGTCAGGTCCGGGAGGGCGTACCTCGGGAGATAGCCTCTATTCCTGGATATCATCTGAGGGTTCAACTGAGTGAGGCCCAGTCTCATGTACCCGCTCCAACAGCTTTCATTCCTTTCTATCTCGACGAGGAATATCTCACCGGGCAAAAGAGGTTTGTCACTGAAAGTCAAAGCGTTCGCAAAGCTCGTCTTTCTCAAAGCGACCGTGTTGTTCTCTTTCAGAACAATGTTCTCACCGTGATAGGAGTGGAATCTGGTCAGTATCTGCTTCCCACTACTTCCTTTCCTCATTTTTAAACAAAAAATTCAAATTGTTTCTATTCGACCGAAAACCAGATGCACCTCACCTAATGACCTTAACCTAAGTAAGGATAGATATTTAAAAAATAAAAGGCTTAATCCGACTGATTATTACAGAAAGAATTGTATCAACATCAAGCCGACTGAAAGGACGGCGGAACGAGACGAATCGTCAAGCAGCGACAACCGACTGAACGTCTTCCTCATCTAGGGTCCACCCCTTTCACGCCGGCGACTGCGAATTTTCCCTTTTCCCTTCCCTTTCTCCCTGCGGCCAATATCCATCCAGTCGAACATTAATCTTTAAATGGTCGTTTTCTTTTTCTTTTTTTTATTACCTCTTACAATACCTTTCAACATGCAAGTTTCTGAAACGAAAATCAAAATTTCAATTTTCCTGACATCTCAACCATAGACTTTATATACTTTACAACATATTCATTAAACAACTTGGGGTTAAAAGCTCTCCTGTTCTAAATTTCTTCTTCTTGAAAGTTCTCTGTAATGCAAAAAAAAAAAAAAAGTATGGAATTATATGGAATCCCTGACATTTCAGGGATTGTCAGTGACACAAGACCTGACCATGGCATAGGTCTCTGGGCATTCGGGACATAGAGGCAATGAGAAAGTTGTCCAAAAAAAGGAGCCAATGTGTATTCTCTAAGTCCCGAACAGAGTAAAAAAGGATACATCCAAAAATGGATCCTTAATGAGTCCACAACCTGTTGGAACAATACCCAAGGCACGAGGCACGCGAAGAGATTCATGGAAGGGCCATCTGTAAATATTACAAAGGAACTACTTGAGGGTAGCCCCAACAGAACTAGGATGTGTTGGACTCCTTACAGGGCACTGCCGCCTAAGAAGGCACATGCACCGGATAGGATTACTCGCAGAAGAAACACCGTGCGGATACTGACATGAAGAAGAAGAGGCGGCAGAACACGTTTTATGTTTCTGAGAGTCTATTTAGGTGTAGATTTTTGCAACCAGGAGAGGAAAAACCGTAAACAAGATTCTACACTAAGGAGCCGCAGTCAAGGCTATAGAGGTTGATTAACAACCTGAAGCTAGCCAGTGATTTATAAAACTAAAAGAGAACAATAGATGTTCAGGTCGATGTGCAGAAGGCCTTGTGGCCACCTCTTTTATTTCTATCCTATCGCACTGTGAACACCTACAAGAATTAAAAATTATTAATAGTCTATGTTATAGTAAGTAATTGGACAAAAATCAACAGATATACCGAAGAGGATATACTCCTTTAAGACTCGACGAAGGCGTTTTCTTTCCAGTTAAGCTACATGGATAGTAACAATGAGGTTGTTAGGGAAGAAGACAAGGAACGAGGAAAAGATGGGTTTAGTAGCAGGAGGGAGATGTCCAAACACAGAGTGAGGTAATCATTATTCATTCATGGCGAAATGCTGAAGACCGTTTGACAGATCGAGACCAAAGAGGATAGGTAGATGAACAAAACCAAATGTCAGATTTGTCCGCCTAGTCTCGCTGTTTTCCTTTGTCAGACCTGATTAGCCAGGAAATAAGACAAGATTTGCCTATTCTCGCAAATCTTTGCAAAATTTTGCTCGGTCAGACCTGGTTGATCAGCATATAACCAGAGGTCAGCCTTGCGTTGCTCTTTTCCTCTGTCAGACCTGGTCGGTTGGGAAATATTCAGAGGTGCGCCCATTCTCGCTGTTTTGCTCTGTCAGACCTGGTTGATCAGCATTTAACCAGAGGTCAGCCTTGCGTCGCTCTTTTCCTCTGTCAGATCGGGTCGGTCGGGAAATAATCAGAGGTCCGCCCATTCTCGCTGTTCTGCTCTGTCAGATCTGGTTCCTGGTTGTTCAGGAAATAACCAGAGGTCCGCCTCGTCTAGCTGTTTTACTCTATCAGACCTGGTTGGTCTGGGTATAAGGAGAAATCTACCCATCCTCGCTGTTTTACTCTGTCAGAGCTGATTAGTCAAGAAACACCAGAGGGAGTCTGACACAACTACTGATGATGGCAAAAAGTCTTAACGTGTCCGACAGATTAACCCAACAAAGGATAGGCAGACCAAAACAATCGGTAACGTCCAAATTAAATAATTCTGTCTTCTACACCTGAATTATTTTCGTAAATGGGCCGGCCTGTATATTTGTCGTGGAACGTACCCGGTTGTTTTAATTTCGAAAAAAAAAATAATAATAATAAGCTGACGCCTAGGATTAAATTGAAAAAAGGGAAATGCGCGTTTCCCCGTCTCTCGACCACCCGACAATCGAAGACAAGACTGGGCTTCGGCGTTGGGCCAAATCTCGATTCTCGGGCCCGTTTGATCGCCCCATCGGCTCTTTTCGTCGATTTCCTCGTGTTTTAATTAAATTTCTCTAATTCCGTTTAAGAGGTCAGTTTTCAATGCGTTGGGAATATCTGCATTTTTTCTCGGTCCATTTGTAACGTTTTAAGTCATATTAATGGGAACCTCATGGCTAATTCTCCTTCATTGTTGGACGATGAGAACATAACAATTAAAACAAAATCAATCGAAAAAACTATTTTGCCTTTAGTGCAGCAGGTATAAGTTTTTGTTTTTGTCTTGTTTTGTTCGTAAAACCACTGACCCTTTTGTCTTTTTAATTATAATCTTTTATTTTGTGTTGAATTAATAATAACCGTAGGGGTTTTTGTTTATTCTAAGCGTTCGTAACAAAACTAACGTTTTCCTACTTGACATATGTAAAACCTTGTTTATTTCGCTTTAACACCAAAGTATCAACATTGCCTCTAGCTAGTTTTGATCCAAAAACCAAATTGTTTTTGTTTACTCGGAATTGAGGTTGGTTACCTTCTGGTTGGTTGGTTAACCATCGCTTAGGCACGTACGTGCTGCTTTCTCCCCCAGAGCGCCTACACTCAAAACTCCTACCATCTTTATCAATGTATTGATTAGTCTTAAAGGGCATGCCTATTCCAGTATAAGTACGGAACTCGACTCAAACTTTTTCTCTTATTTGCCGATGTATGTGAGAGAGACAAATAAACACGTGCACTTCTCTGTCGACTGGGAAAGTTGTTAAAAAAATAATAATAAAAACGTTTCCTGATGATGAATCAAATAGAAATTGAATCGGCATAGTCTATCGGTGATTATATATAAAAATGTCAACACTCACTGATAAACAGGTAGGTAGACGTTGCCTATTTTAAGTAGTGAACAAGTTATGACAATTTACTTTTGATTTACACCAAGTTCAGACTTTCATAGAGTCAAAATTGTGAGAATTTGCTCAACTTTTCCATTTAGATATTCAGGCTGTTCGTGACAATTCCATTATAAACGACAATTTATTTTGTACTAGGCATTGCCTTAAAAAAAATCCTAGTTTCAAGTTTGTCCATTTTTTTGGAAGGAAATTCCAGATTTCATGCTAGAAGTTTGAAAATAAAACATCACATTTGTCTCCTGTCAGTTTGATCTCAACGGAAAATAAGACATTCAAAAGTTCTCATGCACTTAGAAAAAAGCGAGGTTTATGCCATGAAGGGTCCAAGAATGAAAGTTTCACTCCTTACTCAAATTTTCAATAGATTCTTTAAAATCTCCATTGCAGAAGGCTGATCTTGACTAATCAGAAAAAAATTATATAACGAGATTTTCTATTTATTATCCCAAATTTTGTGTCTACTTCCTTTTTATATTTCTTAGCCCGGAGCCTGTAAGAGGCTTCAATTTAAACGAATTTTATCAATTTGGACCAGAAGACAGATATTGATTTAAAAGAAACAAGACTTTTTCCTGAACTTTCTAACTTGCTGATTTCAGCCAGTAGAAGAATCTTGCAATATCGACAGGCCTGGTATGAAATTGTAAAAATCCATGGGAAGGTATGGTGCTTGGAGTTGAAATTTGAGCACACTTATGACTTCTGTTCAAAGGTCTATAGGCTCAGAGCCTGTACCAGTTGTCAGATTAAACTAATTAAATCAAATTGTGCCTGAAGACGAAGAGATGTAGATTTGAAAGAAGCAAGTCATTCTGTCTTGCCTAGACTGTCTAACATGCTGCTTTCTCCCAGCATAAGCAATCTTAGAATTTCAACAGGGCATTAAAGGCACAGGTGCATTATTTTCAACTGCAAATATTTTGTGAAGTGTGGGGTTCAGCCAAACATTTCAATAACCTTTGCAAACTACCCAATATTTAATTCTGAGACAAATGCTTGGTGCTCCATTTTAATTGTCCATCAAAGGTATCCTTACAGATCTAAATATTCCTTTTGAGCAAGATGTAATCCACACCCGTTACCACACGTTTGATAAAACCCTTCCAACCTTCATAAATCATCAAACCCAGAAGCTCTTATCCTGGCCCTGCAGTCAGTAAAAATGAATGGCAGGCATACCTTAACGGTTGAAGAAACAACAAAAGCTCTGTTGAAAAGCTGTTTTAAGATGTCAGAAATTAACAACACTCAACACTAATTGAAAATTCCAACAATCAAAACTGTATAAAAAGGTATTGTGATAGACAACTTGTCAATGTTTATGACTGCTGATCAGTTGTAGTCCTAATAAATTGGGTCAGAAGGCAAGACAGACGCAGATTCAAAGGAAACGAGACTGTTTTGCCTAGACTAATTTGCTGCTTTAACCAAGCAGAAAAGTCTTAAAATATCGACAGGGCTGGTACCTGCGTTTTAAATGAATCCTAACAAATTGGGTAAGAAGACAGACAGATGCAGTCTAAAAAGAAACAAAACTATTTTGCCTGGAATCTTGCTCTTTCCACCCAGTAGAAACAGCCCTACAGTATTGATAGGCCTGATATCAAATTTATTCTGATCTGTAGAAAAATGTGCTGAATCGACCAACTACAGGTGTGGAAGAGTAAGAAATTGCCACAGGTTCATTGTTTTCAACTGCAAAGTAAAGCCCCATAGTAGTTCCAATTATTAAGGTATGCTAATGGAGTTGTGCACACTTATTGTTGATCCAGGATTTGTGGACCCAGAGCCTTTACTAGACGTCACTTTAAACTAATCCTGATCTGACATTGGGTCAGAAGACAGACAGATACATATTTAAAAGAAACGTGATTATTTTGCTTAGGCTGTCTCACTTGCTGCTTCCATCCAGTAGAAAAAGCTTAGAATATCGACAGGGCCGGAATGAAAGTCAGGTTTCAACTGCAAAGTCCAAAAATCAAAACTAAATAGAAAAGTATGGTGCCTGAAATGGCAATTTGAGAACAAATATGACTGCTGCTACAGGGTTTCTAAGCCCAGATTGCCACAGGTTCATTATTTCCAACTGAAAAGTACAAAACAACATAGTACTTGCATTACTAGAGTATGATCCTGGAGTTTTAATCACACTTATAACTGCTGATCCAGAATCTGTAGGCCCAGAGCCTTTAGTAGGTGTCACTTTAAACTAATCATAAGAAATTGGGTCAGAATACATACAGATGCAGATATAAAACAAACCAGATTTATAGTAGATGTCTTAGAATACTGACAGGGCTGGTATGAAAAACCAGTGCCGTCTGTAGAAACATATGCTCAATAAACTGTAGAAACAAAAGGCCACAGGCACATTAATTTCAATTGCAATTGGTACTATGTATGTACTATGAAATTTTGAGTAGGGTATTATCCTTCAGCGGCATTGTGATGACAAAATATATAAACTTTCAATACAAAATACCTTACTCAACGGAATTGTTCCAATCACCCCCAATAAACTTTTATGTTGTAACGCTTAAATTTGGCTATCATTGTTCTCATATCCTCAGACCATTAGTACAATCAGGCCTTAATTTCATCAAACAAAGTCCTTTAATGGTCTATTGTCGAGTAAATCTTCTTAAACGTACTTATTAGAAATCAAAAGAGAATTGCTTCTGTAAATACTAATTGCTTTTTGTAAGAGGCTTTCTATATGGTATTGCTTTTGAAATTACCAGTCTTAGAACGAATTCAACCTTCACAAGAGTTGATTTTCACTAGCTTCCACATTTGGCCTGATTACTAATATAATAATGGTCAATTTTTAATTGTTTCTGGGCGCTTTTTTGTTCAATGATTGATGAGTTATTTCTTTAGTGTTCCATACAATTTCAAGTTCGTTAATCACTAATGTCGAGGATTGTTCCGCTGTTCTTTTTATTCTTTTGCCACATCCATGCGATTAGTCCAGAATTTTTGCTATATGTCTTTCTCTTTTTTTGGTAAAACTCCAATAAATGCCTTGTCTCACCCTACTTACATCCCAGACTGGCCACTCAAAATGGCGGGTACAAGCCAAAATCATGAGGTAATCAAACTACAAGACTCACCACATATCCTTTCAGGGAAATGGTGAATGATGGAGTGAGTGCGGTGTTCAATCCTTTTTTAAAAAAGATAGTTCCTACTCACAGTAAGTTGTTTTCCAACGATCCAGATTTCGAGCCCTTAGGTCATCGTCAGGTTGAAGGATTTCTACAACCACCATGAATTGCAAAAGTGAACCCGCCAACGCGACGTTCCAATGAGAAGCTGGTTTTTTGGTGAAAAACGGGAATTAGAACACAAGTAAATATTATATTGGTAAATACTGTAAGAAATTAATTATAAATTAGTGATTAAAGATAAAAGATAAAAAATAAGAATAATACCTTCATATTATTAAATTATTACAAAAATAATAAATTTAATTATTTGGACATTTAATATTATTTATGTACATATTTAAAATGGGAGGTAGAACAAAATCTGTTATATTATTAATGCATTTATCACCATGTTAAATTTTACATTTTTTAATTTCAAATTTCTCAAACCAATCTAGTTCTCACACTTTGTTGAAACTATGTAACACTCGTGTATTTAAATTTGAATTGAAATTATGTTTTGTTTCTTTTAGATGGTCCTTAAATTGCGAAAATTTGTTCGATTTAGGCAAGTGTTCTTTTATTCTTGTTTTTGTTTCTCTACTGCTTTGTCCTATATATTTAATATCACAATCATTACCGGTAAACCCCGCTATTTGCCAAGTTGTCAACCTTGTCTTTAGGTTTTGAGATTGATTCATTTATGGTGGGTTGGCTGAGTCCCAAAATATTTCTAGATACCCATTGTTTTTTGCTAAGGACCTAAAATTGTCCATAATGAACAACCTAATAGAAATAGATGTATATAGAAAACCCACAACTACACACACTATGATACCAGCGGATTCTTCTCACCCATGGTCCCAAAAGGCTGCTGGTTTCATTTGGCTCATAGACCCGTATGTTAAAACTTCCATTAACACCTGCTAACTATAGAAAAGAATTATAAACTATTAAAACCTTAGCAAAAAAACAATGGGTATCTAGCAATATTTATTGATAGGTTGCTAGTTAAAAGAATAAAAAAATTAACTTTAAAAGAATCAACAATAGGTCTCAGCCACAACAAAACAACTTACTGTGAGTACCGCACTCACTCCATCAATCACCATTTCCTTGAAAGGATAGATGGTGAGTCTTGTAGTTTGATTACCTCATGATTTTGGCTTGTACCCGCCATTTTGAGTGGCCAGTCAGGGATGTAAGAAGGGTGAGACAAGGCATTTATTGGAGTTTTACCAAAAAAAGAGAAAGACATGTAGCGAAAATTCTGGACTAATCGCATGGATGTGGCAAAAGAATAAAAAGAACAGCAGAACAATCCTTGACATCAGTGATTAATGAACTTGAAATGGTATGGAACACTAAAGAAATAACTCACCAATCATTGAACAAAAAAGCGCCCAGAAACAATTAAAAATTGACCATTAGCATATTAGAAATCAGACCAAATGTGGAAGATAGTGAAAATCAACTCTTGTGAAGGTCGAATTGGTTCTAAGACTGGTAATTTCTTTTTTAAAAAAGGATTATCCTTTCAGGGTCCAGTCAGTTTTTATCTTCTATTATTCCTTTAGTTATGGCCTCTGAAAACTCGAAGTTTTATAAATTGAAATCTGACCTTTTAATTTTTAAATCCTTTTTTGTTCTTGACCTTTTCTTGTCTGGCCAACAAAACCAAAATTTAAAAAATAGAATTCTTGTTGTATATCTTTTGTATAATCGTTCACCTTAGATGTTCTCTCTGTCAGATGCGTTTCATAATTTTGCCATCGTCACTCTTTGGTCAGAGTTGTAAGCAGAGTGAGGACAAGATTTGCTCGTTTTTCAAATTTATCTGCAGGAAAAATTCAAATTAATGAAAGGTGTCTATGCTTGCCTCGACCTACATACATCCCCGACTGGCCACGTAAACTGGCAAAATGATGAAATGCGTCTAACCGACAAAACCAGTGAGTGCAGACCATCATCAGAGGCGATCAAACTACAAGATCTCACCACCTAATTCCTTCACGGTCCAGATAGTTTTTTTAAGTTCTTTTCTTGTCTGGCCAATACAACCAGTATTTAAAAAAAATCTTAAAAAGAAAAATTGTATTCTCACTGAATATCTTCCTTTTTGATTATTAGCCTTAGATCATACTTGTTTCCCTTTTTGATCATTCATTCTGTCAGATGTGTTTCATAATTTTGCAATCTTCATTCTTTGGTCAGGTTGAGATATGATCGTTAGGTGGCCACAGGAAAAATTCAAATAAATTAAAGGAGTCAGTGTCTTGCCCCACATTACTTGTTGTTGTGTTTGTTTTTTGTTCTGAATTTTCTTGCTGGCTTATATTTTTTCATAATTAAGTCATTTGAGCTTTTCCATTAGCCGATGGGAAATTAAAATCGGCTTTTATGAACCCTGAAATGTCATAGATTTAACAAAAAATTATTTATATAATTTATTCTTATAGTATTCCATTGTAAAGAAGAAAAATATTGAAGAAGTACTGATGATAAAATAAAAGTACTCGGTATCGAAGATAAGCATCTTTTATCTTGGTTGTCAGGACATTACTTAAATACAAATTGTCGAGACACAATCGTACCTTCATCAATCTTCTATTTGATTTACTGTTCTACAACATGCACATCCGTTTCTATTCTCTCTAACCTCAATTCACAAAGGAAAACCCATCTGTTGTTTTGTATATTGAAAAATTCTCTTAAACAAAACAACAAATACAAATTGAAATAGGTCCTATTATATAGGCATGCTTAAAAACGTTGAAGTTTGAATTTATTCCGAATAAATTCACCACTTGGCATTTACATGTAAAAAGTATCTTTTTAAAACTCGATTATTATCTTAAAAAATCCAAAAAGAATTTTTTTATTACACTAGCTCGTCTTTCATCAATTTTACAATAATCCGCAGTATTTAACTTGATTTAAGCCTTTTGATCCTGCTCTATTCTCAATTTGAAGTGAGCCACTACTTTTAAATGCGGTAGCTCTTCATGGAATTGCCTAAACTTAGTGTAGATTACCTCACCCTGATGGCCAAGTTGTAGTTTAGAATTTTGGATGAACCTTGGTAATTTGATCCTTACCGATCAACTTGGTTTGCCTATCATCACTTGGTTGGTCTGTCAGATGTGTTTTAGCATATCACTGTCTTTAGGGTGTCTGCTATTCATCACCCTGCAGACTACCAGAAGAAACCTCTACCCATTGATTATAATAGAATTGGCCTAACTACTTGCACAGGTATCTTTGGCTTTAGACCCAATTTTCTTTTTTAGCATAGGGGATAACATAGCAAGCCTGGTGTAAGTTTGATTTTTGCTGATGTGGAGATTCCACGTTAGCCAATATTTAACTCCTTGGTCTTTTGGGTTCCACAGAATATCTGCTTTACACGTACGTAGTCGTTCAGGTTTTTTCAGAAGTTCAAACCTTCAGACTGGTTGAAAAGCTGTTATGCTTTCAGAATGGCAGCCTTTTTGTTATGTAGAAAGGACCTAAGTATGTTGTATAAGTTCTGCAAGAGGTTGACCTTCTTTAATTTTTACACTCCACTGAGCCATGCTTCCTTGAAGGCTTGTGCCAGGTTGTTTATGCTTCGAGTTATTTCTTGTTGATGTGAGGTTCCAGGCCAATCTGCAGACAAGGTAAATTTGGGTCTGTCATTCTCTTGAGAGTAAATATTTTAGCTACTCAAATACATATCCATCATCCCGAGATCATCTTGTACTCTTGATGTTTTTATCTGCAAATATAGTTGTGTCATCTGTATATGCAGCATTTAACGGAGGGAGGGTCGTTGGGGGTTGAATCTGTGCGGTGTGTTAACTGTTACCATTCAGAGTGGATGTCTTTTTGTCATGTAGAAAAGACCTATATGGTAAAGTAATGCTTGGAAGCGAGGGTTTTGTATTCCACAAGTCCTGCAGCCTTCTCTTAATAAATAGTACTTCATTGACTGCCATTGCTTCTTTTTCTCGTAACTTCTTGGATCCTAGGTTATCCTTCACCCATTATAATCAAATTCGAAGTTATTATTGGTGGAAGTTTCTTCCTCTTCATTGCATAGCCTAGAAATGGGGTCCTCATTGAATGTATGAAAAATTTGAAGGTGTTTTCTCAGAACACCAGTGCCAGTGAACATAACAACTACCAGTGAATTGAACCCTGTCAAACTGTAGCAATATGTGCCGATTTTAGTGAGGGCTCTTTAACCATGAGTTTACTGTGTCTCACTTCTGAAGTTTTTATTCTTCTTTTGTTTCTTGTGGTCCCATTCTGAGATGAATCAATACTGCGAGAAGTTGACCATCTTTTTATCATGTCTGATGTGCCAGGTCCAGGAAGGCTTATATTATATTATAGTTGTATGTTGTTTGGTTTTAAATCCTTGCACTATTTTTCAGCTGGTAGATTTGGCGAGTAAAAAATGATTAAAATAATATAGAAAAGCTCATTGGTTTGTGTGAATTTGCGCGGCTTGAAAGATTTAAGTTTCTTGGTAGTTTTTGATCATTTTGGTCTGCCTCCCTTCACATCTTCATTTGATGCTGTAACGATAAAACCTACATGTTCATTGGCCCATTTAAGGAAAAAAATTCACATTTTAAGATTTAATACTTGTATTAGAAAACTGAAAATTTTCTTTTTCAGATATCAAATTTGGTATCACACAGGGAGCGCAGTATTTGTTCTGAACGCTCTTTGCGAGTCATAGCCAGAGTGGGCCAAGGTGTAAATGTTGCTGTTGACAGATTCGTGACAGTTGGAGAAAGTATTGCGAGCGACATCCCTGAACTGAGAGATGACATGTTCAGAGCATGCAACGATGCAAGAGCAGCAGGTATGTTTAAAAATTTTCCCACACAGCAGAAAAGTCTAATAATGAGTGTAATAAGTTTAATAAATTATAAATTTTCCAAGCTTTTTTCTTTCAAGCCTCATCTTCCTGGCATGCCTTGAAAATTTCAATTTTTTTTGCATTAGGCAGCGCCATAGAAAAGCTGTGCGAATCGGCAGGAGAAGACTGCATGCGTGACAGGGCGGCAGTGGCTCGCGCGGCAAAATCATTACTGGCTTCTGTAACCAGGGTGTTATTGCTTGCTGATGTTGTCGTAGTCAAACAATTGCTTCTTGCCAAAGATAAGGTAGATGAAATTATAGTTTTTATTTTTCAATTATTATAATTTTGAGTGTATATTGAACAGAATTGATGTCTGGTCTGCCTATCCTCGCTGAACTACTTGAGTCAGATAGTTTGGTGTATGTTGGATTTCTTTTTATAATTCTTCGATCGGCTTTATTTATTAGGTAGTCACAGAAAACTTAGCAATGCGCATAAAAATTCACCTAGGTGGCAAATCAATAAAGTAATTGAATTAAACTCTATTTATCTCCGTTAAAAACAAAAGTTCAAATGAACTGCTGACTTTAATATAGAAAGGACTCCTAATCGCCCCTTAACACGATTAAAAAAAAATATTTAAAAAATAATAATAAAAACATGCTAGAAAGGCATGGACAAATTGACTTGACTATTGGGCAGAAAGATTATAGAAAAGGAGCCAACTAAAAATGGCATTAAGCCAAACATGTCAGTATTACACAAGACCAATAGCGAGAATAGGTAGAAGAGAAATATAATTTTTTCTGTATTTTCAATAGAGATTTTGAATTATTCAACGCTTTAAACCGTTCTAATTATGGCGTGTAATAAATTCAATATCTAATAAACTTGCTCTGGGTCACTGATACACCACTCGCAGGGTTTCGATTATACTCAAGTATGTTTCAACTTGGCGCCGTCTTCACAGAAGGAAGACAATCACAGTTCGTCACTGAAGATGGCGTAAAGCTGAAATGTCTTTGAGTAATATCAAAAAACGTCAATTAGATGGTTCAACACATATTCATCTATTCACTGACCAACACCCATTATGTACATTCATATAACTTTATTTTGTAGTAGTAGAATAGATATAAATTTTTCCCTCAAATTAACTGTTTTTCACCCTAAATTAATTGTTTTTAATTTCAGATTACTTTTTTTACTTCAAATTAATTTTTTTAACCTCAAATTAACCCATTTTTGTTTCAAATTAAACCTTTCTTTAAAAAAATATTGTGATAAAAAAAATTATACAGGACTTTGCTTATATTTCATACCGTCCAAGTTTCTTTTAATGCTTTAAAGAAAGGAAGGTTTGAAGTTAAAAAGGGTTAATTTGAAGTTAAAAAGGAGAATTTAAAGTTTTAAAGGAGTAATTTAAAAGGGTTCATTTAAAGTTAAAAAAGTTAATTCATACAAGGTGAAACATAATTTCTTGTGATAGGTCATAAGAAGCCTTGGTAGACTAGAAGGAGTTTCCAATTTTACCGAATTTGTCAAAGCGTTTTCCCAGTTTGGCCAAGAAATGGTCGAACTCGCTCACTTGACAGGAGATAGACAAAACGATATGAAGGACGAACGAAGGCGAGCACAAATGATGGCCGCAAGGCAGGTTTTGGAAAGGTCGACACTATTGCTCCTAACTAGTTCTAAGGTGACGGCAAATTAATTTAACAAATGAGACAACGTTTTAAGAATAAAAAATAATTGTCAACTTGCAGACGTGCTTAAGGCACCCGGATAGTTCGGCGTGCAGGGAGAATAGAGATACAGTCTTCTGCCAAATGAGGCGTGCGATGGACTTGATACATTTTGTCGTAAAAGACGGTGTTTTTGAAGGGGAGATCACAGAAGATTGGGACGCTGGAAAAACCGTGCTGTCTGCTATTAGGCAGTTTGAAAATTTGGTCGAGATGACAAGACTAACATATGTCACAATACAAACGAAGGAATCGCTTTCAAGTGCTATCGACACTATAATCGAGAGGACTCAAGATTTCACAGATTCGGCTTATACTAGTCATGAACACCGTGAAAATATTCTTCTGCTATGTGATAGAGTAAGAATTCAACTAAGCACACTATTAAGAGTTGGTGTAAGTTTGGTAAGTATAATAAAACAAAATAAATAAAAAAAAAAATACTTAACAATTAGCTTACTTTAGGGTTTTTTCTTCTTCTCAGGAGGAAACTGAAGGGTATTCTCCGACTGAAGAATTAGAATGTGCAATTCAAAACTGCCTGTCAGCATCAAAGGACCTACATAATCAATTGATCTGCACGACAAGAGAGCAGACGTTGGATTTACCAAATATTACTAAAAGCGGGGCACAATTAGTGAACTTCATAACCAATTCAGCGTTGGCGTGCGATGAGATTCGAACACAGCACAGCTCGCAATGTTTCTCCCAACACATTGAACATATTGTCGAGGTTTGACATGTTTATATTTAAAACAAAAATTCCTGTTTAATATTTATTTGGTAATTTCAGATGTGCAAATTATTGAGGCATATCGCGTCAACTGAAACGTTACAAGTTTCTGCTCGTTATACTGAAATCAACATACGAATATACGGCCCACAGATTGCACTCGCTGCAACAACTTTAACGCAGCATCCTACAAGCAAGATTGCAAAAGAGAATCTAGAAGGTAACGATCCTTACTCACTATGAACATATAAGGTGACTTAGTGAGATTTATAGGAAAAAAATATTTTCAGAGAGAGTATTTATAAGAAAAATCATATTGACTATTCCGGAATTTTTATAGGGATTTTGATTTTTTGTATAATGCGTTAATGTATGATGCAATAGTGAAGTTCTCTCATCTTTTTGTGTATGTCTTTAACAGATTATAAAAAATTATAATTTATTCTTATTATGAATGATCTGCCTATAAAGATGTGGAATAAAATGTAGGTTGCTGAAAAATGCTTGTCAAAAGATAGTGGTTAAAAAATGCACCTTTATGACCTTTCAATGTTTACATGGCGTCTTTTGGTTTGAAAACGGTCATATAATCCATTGAAGAGTTTTCCTTTAACTTTCTTTTGTATGACCAAAATGACAATCTGTCGTTTTTACCTAAAGTTGATTTTGTATCATCTTGTTCTGCTTAACCCTAATTTTTTTAAAAACCATTAAGGACAACTTACATTGAAAGAGGAGGTGAAGAAACACCATTTTATATATGCAAAGATGTTTTTTTTTTGTTTTTTACTGAATAAAGATGTAGAAATAAATCCCTATGAAGTTTCCGGACCAGCCGTTCTATCATAATTCTTGTAATTCAAATATATAGTGATTGAAAAATGTTTACTTTTCAATATAGCAAAATGGATGGGTCACACCCAGCTTCCAAAGGCCGCTTCCCTTTCTCAATTCTGCAACAGTAGCCGTAGTTAACTGTGAAAACTAAATTTGATTTAAAAAAAAAAATAACGAGTTATTACGACGTTTCACCCTAGTACAGTAAAGATTTAACTCAACAATATCGTTTGTATTGGGTCGCATTCATTACATCAGATTGTGCCTGTGGAATTGTGGAACGTACTAACAATAGAACGGGTGAGTGTTCAGAATTCAGAGCGAACGGCATGGCTGGGCCTTATTCTGCTCATTTTTTCCGTTTAGTAGGTTGCATAAACTTGAAATCGCTTCATTTGCTGTTTTGAGTTTTCAATTTTTGTTTTTTAAATACATATCAGCATAAATATTGTAGGCATATTTTGATATATTATGAATCAAAATTATCGCTGCTCGCTGGCTATTTGGCTGTAGGAAGGCTGAAAAGTAAAATAATGCATTTGGTACACAGACAGTGGAATGTCGTTGAAATTGTGGATATATCAATACTCTGCTGCAAATGTTACGCAGTGATGAAACGAAGAAAATATATACACATAATCACAAAATATTTTTCTTTGTCCACTTTTTATATACTATATGAACAAGTCTCAGATTAGATACATTTCGAATAGAATACAATAAACATTATTTTAATTACTACTTACAAGTAACAGGTTTTTGATGGAGAAACAAACAATATATGAGTTAAGAATTACAAATCACAAAGAGTTTCATGAATAAAACAATTTTTTATTTAATTAAACCCATAGTATTAAGAGCATAAAAATCTCAGCATTTTTAGTATCCCTTGTAACCTAATCTTTAACGTGAATGAAATACTCACCATAAAGTTGCATTCTCATATTTTCTCTACTTAACAGAAAAAAATTGAACCATGGATATGCTACCACTAACCTTACCTTCACAGGAAAAAAAACTGACTCAGAGATATGTAACCTATCCTACTTAACCTAACTATTCCTAAACCTAGTTTCATTCACATAAAAACAGTGAACTATAGATAAGTAACCAAATCCTAACCCAACATGACCATCCCTTCCTAACCCTATCTTCACAGAAAAATAATTAATCATGTAATATATTAACCTAACCATTACTAACCTAAACCCTAACCCTATCTAACCAAACCATTCCAAGCTTTAACTCTAATCCTACTTTCATGAAAAACCATTGAATCCAACATTAGTCCTAACCTAACCATTCCTTATCTTAACCCTACCTTACTAACCATCACCAACCCTACCTTCATGGAAAACCAATGAATTGTGGATATGTAACCAGCCTGTCATAACCCTAACCCATCCTTGCTTAACATAACCTACTCTAACCATTCATAACCTAGACCCCCAACCCTATCTAACTTAACCATTCCAAAAGTTAACCCTAATCCAACCTAATATGAACTTCTTGGTAACGCAAAATCAATGATAAAGTTGGTATGGTAAAATGTGGTATAAAAAATTGTATATCTAGCCCAAAATTTTATCCATATTAATTGAACATTTAACCCATAGAAAGACTTATTTGGTAGCTACTATGATTTTAATAAAGTTAACAAAATTAGACATTAATTTGTCTAAAGTTTAATAATTTTGATTAAATCATTTATTTTTCTTTTTTTTAAATTGTAGTGTCTGTCCTTGGCTAAAAAAAGTTCAAAATTGTCATGGTTGACTCAACTCACAATAATCGTGAAAGCTAATCAATCATATTTATCAGAAAAAGTGGACATACGACATTTTAAAGTTTAGCATGAGCCAGAAACAATTTCTGTAGAAATAAATAGTAATATTTAATTGTCTATTTAATACAATTTATTTTTTTAAATTTTTTTATTTTATTTATTCACTTTTTAAATGAGGATTTGCAACAGCAGAAGTCATATCAACCCTCGGGTGCCAGTGTTTTTGAAAGAAAGCCTATTTGTAAGTATATCAGGTTTGAATCCATCATTCAGCAGCAATGCTGGATTTGAACCCAGGACCTTTAATTTACACTGATGATTGCCATGTCAACGCCTTAACCGTTATGACCCCCCCCCCTATACAATATTTTATCCAGTGTGTACTGGAGGTTTGCCCTTAAAAACTCTTTCACGGCCCTAAAAGATCTAAAGTAGAATTGTCCCTTCTTTATATCCATACTTATACTCTTCACTCTTGGGGTTCCTCTTTGCTTTCCCAAATGGCTGTACTGTTCCACGTAAGTTCCAATGTTTCTGCTGATTCATGACACAGTCGGCAGTTTCTTTTGCAGTTTATCTCTGTTTACTGCTCAATGGAGACATGACCTAGAATATCAAGAAGACTCGGGAAAAAGAATTACAGCAATGTCAGTCAACTTTTTAAGAGAATCTAGGAATAATGCAATAAGTCAGAAGGCTGCAGTGCTTAGGGAATAAAAAAAAAAACCTTGTTTCCTAAAATTCCCTCATCATCATCAACATCCAATTGTTGGGTGTCATGGAGAAGGGATTATTATTGGCCATAACAATACTTTTTTAATATTTTCATTTAAAATGCTCTGAGCTGTTTGTGATTTGACCCACAACTACTAGTTTGGCTAATCACTCGGCAACTGCTGTCCCATTATATTCTTTGGATAGCAACAGTTGTGCTTTACTTTAGAAATTCGTTTTCAAAACAACTTGAATATTGGAAAATAAAGTGGAGAGAACATTTTGGAATTGATGAAAAGGATTTTTTTTAGGAAGCTTTTTTTGTGCATTAACTCTACACCACAGCCACTGATCAAAATATGCCAACTTAATATGTAAAATACTTTGAATTTCTAGGTCTGTTAATTCTAATGTTACTCCTAACAATAGCAGTTTAAAAAAATACACACAAGAAAACAGAAGTTATTAAACAGGTTTTATGTTAACTTTGTAAATAATGACACAAATTAAACAAATCTCTTGCTTTATAGTTGACAGAAAATTAGTAGCATATTAGCGTTTAGTTATTTACCTCATCTGTTATTATTATAACCATTTAATTTTCAACAGTTCTTTTTTGATCAGTTGTTTTTGATGCTTTTGATAACATAAAAATATAAAATCTGCATTTCCGTTTTTATACCAAGCAACCAGAAAAGTCCGTGTTGGTTTAAAGGGTGTAATAATTGTCACAATTAAAATTAGTTTAGAAATATTTTATTTGAGGAAATAATCTTCATTGGCATCTTTCTAACAACTCCAACCAATTACTCGCCCAGTTATGCACTTCATATAGAAGTTTGGTTCCCGGGACTTAAAAAATAAATTCATCTCGTTTTATACTGTTGACGATTATCGAACTCTTGATTGTTCACATGATTATCCATTTCTAAGAAAAGGTGAAAGTCAAAAGGGGCCAGGTCAGGGGGGGTGCTGAGGGTGTGGTAAGACATCCCAACCAAGCTTATTATCACATCCTTTATCATTCTGGCTGTATGAGGTCTTGAATAGCACAGTCCTAGTGAATTTTTTTTTCTGTTTATGAGAGCAGGTGGTTTCTAAACCATAGAGCACAATGCCTGCCATATTCCACCAAACACATAGCCTTTTGTTCGAGTGGAATATTAGGTTTTCATGTTGATGGGACAGGATCATTTGGTGATGGTATGATCTGGTGTAGTACCGGATTCATTTTTTGTTGCATGTGACAAACCAGTCCAAAAGAATGCTTAAACGTTGAAGTTTGTTACCAATGGTCAATTTATAAAGAACATCCAAGTATTTTCAAGCCGTATGCTAGAGAGAATGGTTTTGTTGCTTATGTTGAACCCTCTGGCAAGCTCGTGTTTGACTTGAGTCAAGTTCGATAGCTTTCCTCAATTTGTCATCATTCAAAACAGAATGTCTACCAGACCATGGATCGTCTTCAATCCCTTCCTTATTAGAAGCCAACTTTTTGAACCGATTATGGGCAATTCACTTATTATTTCATCACCAAAAGCAATGCAAATTTTACAAGCCTCGGCTGCCCTTTTTAAGGGGGCTTAACTTAAAGGCCACTTAAATTCATACAATGAGCACGCATGAATTATGGGGTTTGAAGCCATGAGAAAGAAAATATTTTACAATTTACAGTGAACTGTTCTAGATACTTTTTCTTTACAAACTGTCGCATTATCCTATTGGTATTATTACATGATGTAAACACTTAATCCTCTTATGCAAATAGAAATAACAAATGAAAAACCGCACGAACATTTCTGGTTACCTGGTAGTATGTCTTTTATGAAACATTGTATTGTATTAAATATAAAATGCCTGTATATGTTGATTGTAATGTGGACCGACCTGAAGATCGATACACTTAATAAATGCTCATTTTAACTATCATATCGAAAAAAATTTATAATTTTAAAAAGAAAAAAGTTTCACTTCTATCCTTCTTAATAATTATACCATTTTATAGAGGTCTTACTTAAAATCCAGGCATGTAGTTTGACTCAAGCCATATTCATACAACAAAATCTGTATTATTTCACAACTATAATATAAGAATATAATTTGAGAAAAGGCGATTTACAAGTTGTGCTCCGCATTTAGTGAAATAGATAAGATAATTTGTAATTTGATGAATTCTCAAGTTCATGTTAAAATTGATCTGTACCTTCTTTTTTCTTTTTTTTCAAGTGTTCACAGATATGTGGCATTCTTTAATGAGTGATGTTACAACCATCTGTAAAGATATAATGGAAGCAGGGCAAATACCAGAGAAACAGATGTATATGTCCCTTCCTCGGCCTGGTGTAGGTTTTCTTCATATTTTGAGAATTGTTTTTATAGTTTGGCATACACTTATTTGAAAATAAATGTGTGTGCAAAATCTAAAACTTTTCTTTTTTCTTTTGTTTTTAGAAAACTTAGAAGAGTTTCAAACTCTTTTTTCTTAATTTTTATTATTTCATTTCTAATGCACCACATACATTTTTTTCTTTTTACTTTTACAAGAATAGTAAATTTGGCAACTACTTTTAAGCATGGCTTGATTACTTTGTATGCAATTGTTCATTAAAAAAATGTAATGAGCATAAATATCAGGTTGATGCTAAATTATGTGATTTTCAAGATTGCTTACAACATTACAAAATTAAGTTTTAATTTTGCACTATTGTTATTCTATTTTCGTAGTCATTGTCCTAAAATAGCATATTATAAATTGCATGGTTTCTTTTCACTCAATGTACTTATTTTTTAAAACTTAAAATAATTAAAACTAATAGGCATGGACGATGAATTAAGTAAAAATAAAAGCTAAGAAGCATTAAAAAATTGTTTTTATTGGTTTGGTATAATTATTAACAGGTTATTTTCAAAGAGAGACATTTGTTTAATCAAAATTCTATTCTTTTTCCTCTCTTATTTAAAGGTATTAATAATTTTGCTCATGTTTGTATTGGGTGTTAAAGTAAGTACCGTTTTTCCATAATTTGATCTTATCCTTCTCAGGTTTTTTTTTCAATCAATTTTTATTTAGCCATTTAATTAAATTTACCATTAAAAAATTCTAGATTTAATTTATGATTTGATATATTATTTTAGGAAGGGAATTGTATCACAACTGGGGGACATTTATTGATCTTCCTCAAGGCTAAGATATAATGTTGATATTTGTACATTATGTATCGATAATAATGTAAATAGTATTCGGCCCTATGCCTATTGTTACTATTAACAGATCTGCTGTGTTTTAAAAGTTGTCAATTTTTAACATTCAGATATAGAAATAATTTTATTCAACCTCGGGGTTGAGTGATCAAACTCTCGATTTTAAAATTTTTTTATCAATCAGAAAAAATGTGTCGTCAGGTTTTTTCTCAGTTAGAAAAATATCATCATTATGACGATTCAATTTTTTTCAATTTTTATTGCTTTTCATATTTTGTAGAGAGTGAAAAAAGTCCATGGAAAATTCATTTAAAATTCGTGCTTCACACATGAATATTTTATATGCTTCATGTAAAAAACATTGACTCATGGATCTGTAGCCTAATTATTCCTAACCTAACACAACTCATCCCTAATCATTCCTAACCCAACACGTCCCTAACCCTAAATTGATTCTACCTAACCTACTCGTCCCTAATTTAACTCATACTTAACTTGCCTAACCTAGCCTATGATAACTATAACAATTCTACCTAACACTCCTTACCTTACCTGAATCCCACCTAAACTAATTATTTCTGGCCCAACTGGTCCCTAACCTAATCTGTACTTAACTCAATCCTTTTTTAAAAAAAAGATAGTTCCTACTCACAGTAAGTCAATTCAAGGTAGCACTTACTGTTAGTAGGAACTATCTTTTTTTTTTTTTATAGGATCAAATACCGCACTCACTCCATCATTCATCATTTCTGTACTTAACTCTATCAAACCTACCTTTCCCAAACCCTAACTTTAATCATTCCTAATTTAACTCATACCTAACTTAACCATAGCCTAACCCTACCTAATCTTAAGTGCTACCTAACCTAATCCATTTCTAACTCTATATAAACTTACCATTTCAAACCTAACCTGTTTCGATCTTTACCTGATCCCTACCTAACTTACGCATAAATTGTTTATCCAGTCAACCAAAGATTAATTTATATTTTTTAATCAATAAAATACTCATAACAGGCATCTTTCATGAAGTTTATTAAATTTAGATGTTATAAAAGTTACAAAAAAATGTAAAATAACCTGACTTATAATTTTACCGGACCACCACTGTTAATAAGTTTATAATTGTATAAAGTTGTAAGGAGTGTTAATGCCTGTTTTATTTTTTATTGATAACAATTTTGATCGATCAAATCATAAACACACTTTTAAAACATGAATATTCTTACATTCAACTATAAATTTTGTAAATTAAAATATCTTCAGTGTACAACATTCCTTATGTATCAACCTGATAAAATTACCATTCTTTTTGCCTGTTAAATTTGATACAATATATTTTCTTTTTCTTATGATTGCTTTATAAATACTATCGTTGAAGTAACATGACAACTGAAAAGTTCATAGAATTTATAGTAATTAGCATTTTTTATTTTACAAACAATTTTGCTTTAACAACACAATTGTTATATGCTCTATGTTAGTTTTTCTCTTTTTTCTTTACAGAAACATGGAACAACGAGCAAACCTTTAAAAGCGGTGCGCCTGGATGTTGATGTAGGTATACATTATACGTTGGATAAAATGAAAAAAAAAATGTGTAATTAGTACAAATTAATTGTAAATATTGGTCATATTGTGTGAACAGTGTAACGTATGATGTACGAAATTACAGGAACAAGAGAAGATTGCAAAACCTGGTTTGGAAATGAAACTTGCCAGTTCAGAGGTAGACGCAGAAACGGAAAGGTGGCAAGATGCTCCGAATGGAACCATAGACGAAAACAACGATATCGTGAAAAGGGCTAAAAACATGTCACGTATGGCTGTCAGCATGTACCAATTTACAAAAGGAAGTGGTTCCCTCAAAACAACACAAGATTTGTTCACGCAAGCTGAATACTTCGCTGAAGAAGCCAATAGACTGTATAAAATAGTGCGACAGTTTTCCTATCAGGTTGTTCTTTTGTAAAAAAAAAATCCTATTTTCCAAAGTTCTCAAAATAACGATATTTTATTAGGTACCAGCTGGAGCGCATAAAAAGGAATTGTTAGAACAATTGGATCGCGTTCCGACCCATGTTCAGCAGCTGCAGTTTACGGTTAAAAACCCAACTGTCGGTAAAGCGGCCACTTTCACAAAAGTTGACACAGTTATTCATGAAACAAAAAATCTGATGAGTGTCATATCGAAAGTAGTCACTACATGCTTTGTATGCGCCACCAAAGTAAGTGAACTATTTTTTCTATTTACAATTACAATTCAGTTAATTATTCGCCAAATTATCCAATTTATTTCCTAACAAAACCAATTTATACATATGAATGTACAGATTAAAATGCAAAAAGTGATAATTTTAAGTATCACACTTTCTGTCCAACAGACAGTTTTAAACAGACGACTCAAATTTGTTTTTGTGAAATAAAAGTGTCATTAAAAATCCTCATATTTGATAATTGATTTTTCTTTTACAATCTAATTGCTAATCCCTTTGGAAGGGATAAACTTGTGATAAAAAAATGCAATGGAATTTTAAAAAATTGAAATCTGATCAAATTAATATAAATTGAATTGTATTTTGTGACGACAGTGTCAAGCAGTTCCCCAGTTACGAATGCCAATGTATATGCCGTATACTCCGATACCTTTTGATGTAATTGGGAGACCTTTACTACCTTTCTACCGGGCAAGGACATTGCCTCGATAACAGTATATGGTAAACTATTTTTGGAAGTGGGTGTGTTGGTGTGGAATTAAACTAACCCTATAAGTTTGTGTCGACGGACAATTAAAAAAAGATTAGCAATAATAATAAACCGAATATTTTTACTCTTTAACATAAATTTTGAAAATTATCTAACAGTTTCATTTGAGTTGTGGGTAAATCCATTTTTGTCATGGTTAATGTGTCGTGTTATATTACTAATGTTTATTTGCCTAGCTAATGTTGTCATGTTTCAATACTGAATATAAGTGTTATTTTGTTACTTGTATTTATAGATTTGTTTTTAAAAAACATTCACTTGCATTAAATTATACATAATTATGTTTGTCAAAATATGCAAGCTTGCATCTTTAACCGTGCAATATTGAGTGTATTAGGTGTGGAAGGTTTATATATTGAATTCTTTTTTAAAGTGGACAATTTTCTTAATTAAATTGATAACTTGCACATTGAGGCATATTAAATGGGACACCGTGTGTAACTAAACCTGCAAGACTTTAATCCTGCAGAAGTGTTAGTCAGTTTTACAGTATTAGTTTTTTTAAAGTTTTTTTTTTTATTGTCAACTATTCAGTTAAGTAAATGGTTAATTTATGGAATAATTGATGCTATATTAATTGATGGTGGGTGCAAAGGAAATTATCTTGTCTGCAACCAGGTCCTTTCAGGAACACGGAACACTGCACTACAAACTATCATCATTGCCTCAAGAAACTTTCAGCTTGTTGCTAAAGCAATGGAAATTTCACTGGGAAGCGAAGGTAATAGAAGGATTGCAATCTGCAATCTGTGTGATATGAATCCCAAATTGTAGGGGCATCAGTGGCCACAATGGTTTAGGCTTTTTTTTTTTTTTTTTTTTTTTTTTTTTAATAACAGCACTCTGAGGGTTGATATGACCTCTGCAGTTCGAACCCTTGTTAAAAAATAAATAAATAAATAAAAAACAATCCACAATATCTAAGACAACTGGCATAACGCAGTCAAAAATCAAATAGGTCCTGAAGCGAACTTGTTTTCATCTTACACCACCACATATGTAACCTAACCTAAAAATAACCCTTCCTAACTTAACCATTTCTTGCTTAACCTGCCCCTAACCTTAACCAGAACCATACCTAATCTTACCCAAATCATTCCTAACCTAACCTTGTCCCTAACCTTAACCAGGACCATACCTAATCTTACCCAAATCATTCCTAACCTAACCTCGTCCCTAACCTTAACCAGAACCATACCTAATCTTACCCAAATCATTCCTAACCTAACCTCGTCCCTAACCCTACATAACATAGCCATTCCTAACCACATCCCTAACCATTTATTACCTAATCCTATCCATGTGTCCCTCCCCACTTACGCAGAATCAATGATGCAAAAATATTAACTTTAAAAAAACTGTGCATCCAGCAAAAAAAAAAAAAAAAAACAGTAATTGTTTTCTAAATAAATAATTAACTATGAAAAATGTTAATGTAAAAAAACAATATCATGAGGAAGGAAACCCTCAAATACCCATTTCTAGTCCATTTTTGCATATAAATAAATTCTGTCAACAGGTTTGATTTTATATTTACAAACACTGCTTAATGTTACTATTAAAAAAAGGCTTATTTTTATAATTATCAAGATGTACAATTAACTATTTATAAATAAAATAAAAGTTTTTTTTAATTTGTCTCTGTAAAGATCATAGTTACTACTACACTAGTAGTTTTTACATCTAATTTAATGTATAATGAATATTTGTTTCAGTACACGCTAGACTTACAAGGGGTTGGTTGGAATGGTTCTGGTGGTGGAAGTGGTCGAGAAGAGGGAGGCTCACGAGCAGGCGGAGACCAAAGCAAAGGTGGTTCCAGTTCCAGCTCTGATCCAGGCATGTGACAGTTTGGGATGGGCCGAAGGGCCAAAGGCGATCCCAGACGTACCAGAGTATCTTTCCTCCTATTTTAGTTCAATTTTGGCAAAATACAAACAATTTAATTGGAAATTCATTATTTGAAGTTTAAAATTTTCACTCCACTAGATGAATTACTTTGTTTTGCGTAATGTTGAAGACTTAAATAGATGGTTACCATATCTATAAACTGGCCGATTAAATAAAATTTGAAAATATGAAAATTTAATTTTATCGGTCATAGTGGGCCCAGTTCTTCAGACATTTGATTCTTATTATTTTGTTTGTGCTTTTTTTTTTACTTAGTAAGTAATATTAAAATAAAAATAATCTAAGGTAACATTATAATAAATAATTAATTAACGTTTTCCTCAATCATACTGTTGCTTAAAAACAAAACAAAAACTTTAAAAACTTTATTTTAATGCATATTTTCAGTGTTAGTCACTACTTTCAAATTAATTCATTTAGTCATTCTTTTTTATTGATTTATTTTTAAATAAAGAATATCTAAGCTGAATATTTTAGTCTGAAAAACATTTGCTCAATAAAAATTAGGTCTACATTGTTTTGGTCATATTTGATGTACTATTTTTTTTTTCTTTGTATATATATAAGTCATCTTACTCCTAGTACTTTTATATTTGTTTGGACAGTTTACAAATATCAGTGATATAATATCTGAATCATTTTACTTACTAGTGTAAAATGAGTTTAAAGAAAACACCCCACCATGCTCTTAACAAATAAATTAATAAATAGTACAAAAAAATTAAGTAGATTTTTATATTTGAAAAAGAAAAAAACGGTACTATAAAGATTACTAATAGTTAAAGATTCTAACTAGCAAATCTGTTTATGGTCGCCGAGTAAATTTAATAATTTAACATTTTGTTCGTGAATTTTATCATGATGTCCATTAGACCAAGATACTTTAAAAACTGTGATTCCATAATTATATTGTGTTTAGGGCTTTTTTTTTTGGGGGGGGGGGTCTGTTATCTTGGTTAGATTTATCGGTGCCAAAGAAATATGTGACAATTGGTCTGTTTTTTTTTTAACCAATCAAAACAGTTAGTTTTTTTTTCTAGTTTTAAATATTGTTAACTCTCAATGCCGCGGGAATATTTTGATAGTTTAGGATCAGCCTGCGTAAAAGATCATCACGACATGCTCTTCTTCTTTCTTAGCCATTACCACTATTAGACAGATCATTAGTCCACTTTCTTAAAAGTGAGTTTACCACTTGAGTTCAGTGGCCCAGGCGTATTTTTCAAAATTTGCCTTTTGCATATTTCGGAAAAAGATAAATAAAAAGAAGGGCTAATTGCACAGATGATTTCTTGTTACATTATATCTTAATTGATGAGTTTGGAACATTAATTTTTTCATCTCTTGTTAACAAGCGTTTGGATGTTTCAAGAAGATAGAGCTGCTGCGATAACTTTCAGCAAGACCCATGATATTAAGGGTTGGATGTACCTATTGTCCAATTTGGCTAACCGTCTAACATATATGATTTTGAACATTTTCCTGAACACAATATTGTCGAATTGGTGCTCTCATTTTGACAATTTTTTTCCAACTGATGTTAAAAAATGGCTGGAATAAAATAATATAATGTACTGAGAAGCAGTATATTCTAAATGTCGTGAAGTTTTTTTTTTTTTAAGAGAGAAAAACTCTTGAACAATTTACATATATACAGCGCTTGTTTCTGTTTGTCTTGAAATGATGTGTTATCTATTATCGTTCTCTTCTTTATTTTAACATATTAATTTATTTGTACAAAATCCATCTTAAATGTTAAGGATTTCTGATTCTTACAGTAGAAAAAAACCACAGTCGTAAATTGTAAAAATTTACGTTGTAAAAATTCAAGTATTTAAAAACGATACTGAAGGCCTATGTGTATTTATTTTAATAATTATATATATTTATATGAACTCGGGTAATATACATATGTATATGACTATGTCTGCAAACACTCCTTCTTATTCATATCTGTATATATAATTATTATTATACATTCACACAACGTAATATAAATAATGAAATGATATTTTTATAAAGTGTAGATAAAATTTGAAAATTTAATAGATTATTGACAAAAGACTAAACATACGGCTGAGACGATGCCTAAAAAATCCTAAATTAAATCATTATAAAACTTAATTGAAGTAACACTAATTCATCCAACAAATACACTCCGCATTTAAATTTAATCGCAATATCAATACAAAATCAAATTTCAATTTTTTATTAACAGAATTTTTTTCAATATAATAAGAAATATCGCCCCCTCTGGCTTTAATGACCACTTCCACATTTTTCGGTGTACTTTATTGTGGATTGATATATAGATTCATCATGGATTAAAGGACTCATCAACACAAGCAAATGGACAGAGTCAAATAAAGATAAATTACTACCTGGACTAGCAAAAGTTTAAAAAACCGACTGAAAGAAATATAGAAACCCCCAAAAAACTTAAATTTTTCAGTTTCAATCCACAATGTCTCTCGTTGGACAATATAAGGTCAAAAATAAAAAAATATTGAGCCTTATAGGTGCGATGTTTTTATTGAAGAGTGCAGTCTTATAAAAATTAGAGATTTTTTCAAACAAATCACGTTTTCAATATTTATTTAATGTGTTAAATTTTCATGGACTATAGCAAAAGACATATAACAATTAAAAACTAATTCAAAATGCATACATTTTTATTTGTTAAACTGTCATACAGTATTGCGATCGTTATTGCTGTTTCTTTATATGTATAGTCTTAAATTACAATTGAATAACGATAGATGATATCGCAGGAATAAACGTAAATTTATATATTTACTGGCAGTGAAAGAGTGGCAAAATTTAAACGGAAGCTGTTTTATTCAGGAAAATCGTCTGCTTGAGTTAAGATGTTTAACATCAAGAAATCTTGGGTTTTTTTTTTTTTTTTGCTTTCTGGTTCCAAAAATACTCTTCAGAAGAAAAAAAATGCAAAATATTATTTTGCTGTTGTATAAAAAAGTCATTCTAGAAACTAGTTTTTAATAAATTAAGACATGTTTTGGTTTATTTGCTAGCTAAAAAAACTCCGTATTTTGTGCTAAATTAAAAATATCCATCTGCTTGATGGTAATTTTCCTTACATATTTAAGTAGCCGATTAGATTCTTTAAAACTAATTGAAATTAAAACTAATAGTAATCATATTTTGGATAGTTCAAAACGTAAATTTGATGATTTTACAAAATAAGTAAAATGATTTCACCAATTGAGTGTTTTACTCAAATTTCCTTGTCTTTACCGAGGCTGTTATCTATCTTTACTGACAATAAAAAACCAGAAAGGTACTAAAGTATAATTTTAAAATTACTCAAATGGTAAATTACTAGTATTGTAACATTTGAAATGTATAGTTCTGCCTAAACCTTACTGTGATTGGCATGTTTTTAATTATTTGGTCTCTTAGTGATGTATTACCTACGTAAATAATTAAAAAGTGCCTAATTAATTCATTTCAAGATGTTTGGCTTAAATGCGCTAAAAGTTATAAAAAAATTTAAAAAAAAAGAAAAAAAAGATATAAATGCAAACACCAAAATGACGAGTAATTTCAACAGTAGTAATTTTGCTTTGTATGTTAAGGCTTGTTTGTATAAAAAATTTAAACGGATTTGTGTAATTTAGGGAAGTTTTTCAAGAAAACAAAAATTCTTTCAATGTTAAAAAATTAACTTATATATTAGTAATAACCCTTAAATTATAAACCCCAGTTTGATCGTTATTTCTTCCGAATGTGTAGTTCACATTAAACAAAATTATTAAAACATTTGATATAAAGTCTTAATTGTTAATTGTTATTGGATATTTTATAAATGTTAATATTAGGTGTATTGTCTGTTTATAAAAATATGAGTATTTTCTGAATGTTTAAGGGAAAAAGTAGGCTAAAATGCATTTTGTAAAAAATGTTGGGTACTAGTTTATTGTAAAATAAAAGTAATTTTTGAATAATTTTATAAACTGAGAAAACTGATGCCCCCGGCTACTAATTAAGGTGTTGGATACCTCTTATTTTCTACCTCAAGTGAAAAAAAATCTTTGCCGAGTATGAAGAATCTAAATATTGCATCTTTTTACATTCCACAGAAGAGTTGATAGTTTTCGTATTTAAAATTCTAAAAAACGCATTACATACAAAATCGCTTATTGACTATCAGATTAAAGACATTAATTTATATGTTTAAATGCGATCCAAGACCGCATGGATTTTTTTTTTTTTTAATTATGTAATTGTATCAACAAAGTTTTCTTCTTTATTTTACATCTTGTAAGCCGATAAATAGTAACCATTTGTTCATTATTTCAATTTCTTTATTGTTAATGAATTTTTTCTTACTTAAATACTGTAAAATAACAAATTGTTGTAATCTAAGTAAAATTATAATTTTTATAACAATTCAAAGTTATTTTGGTATAGGAAATAAAGCGTACATCAGAATTTACAATACAAATACTGTAGAGGCAAAAATTATTTGCAAGCCATGTAATTTGGTGATTAAATCAAATAATAAACAATAAAATTTCTTGGGAAAAAGTATTTATACACTTGTTTGTTTACTTTTTTTTATTATGTTTAATATATTTTCAAAAGTCTTTATCTTATATTTACCGACTATAAATTACCTGGAGATGTCTTGAGATGATTTCTCCCTGATATTTCTTATTCTCAGGTCTAAATTGAAGTCTGGTGACTGTTCGATATATGGACTCTGTCCAGATCGTTAGAGCAAATGCATTAGATATCCGCTAAAACCCAGGCTTATTCTCTGGACCCTTATACCTCTAGGACTTACTATCGCTCTGAACCTGAGCCCTTTTGTGAGCCATGTAGAAGCTAGATAATGCCCAGCGATCGAACTCGCTTCCTATGCTGGATCTTCGAGGGGCCAGATTGGTGTTCCCAGCTTCCAGTCAGGACTTGAGTGAAGGGCATTTGTGCAGCTGTTTGCATCTGTGGTGCAGAAAAATAAAAAACTACAATAAGTATAGCATCAATAATGTGCAGTGCCACATTTCCTCACTCGTTTAAGCCAGCCACCCATTTTGCCACATAATTGTTTCACATATCTTTTTTTATGGCTCTGTAGCTTGCAGGAACGACAATTGCCTCGGTGTTTGCCGTGGGCTCACCAGTCTCAAGTAGCCATTGTACGCATGCTTGTATGTAATTGCTGCACCTTAATGCAAATGTTCTACTGTTTTGTCCTGACCGCAATCACACAGGAAAGTATTTTTTAGCCTAACCCTTTGTAGTCTCACAGTAGTCTCTGCAGAAGTTGGGTTGTGTAGTCATCAACCTCCACAGTGTACCAGCCTTTCGTTGAGGTGTTATACACCCACTGAACTGCCTTCTCCATGGCTCATGCCCATTTATTTCGTATAAGTCTTGCGTGCAGGTACAACGGTAGTCGCCTATCAAATATCTGCAGGGTATCGGTGGACACAGTTGTATACGCCCGTGTGATACCTAGTAAGGCTGCTTGCCAGGCACACTTGAGCGCCCACGCCTGCCTCTTACACCCTTATTTTTTTTATACTATGAAGAATTATCAGGTTGAGCTTATTTGGATGTCCCTTTATGATGGCTCTTTTCGGTTATACCTCACAATGTTACAGTCGAGGAATTCAGTCTGACATCACAATCTTATGTTGCTTGCGAAGCAGCCCTTTTATTTATTTTTTTACACTGTTCTTAACAACCAAGAAGATCTTCAAATACTGATAAAATTAGAAATTTATAATAAACAATTAAAACATCAAACATTAGGGGACCGTGGTGGCTGAGAGGTTAGGCCATCCGACTCGTATTTGCCACACTAGCAGTTGTAAAGTGGTTTGACCCCCTCGTCCATGTCATCTAAGCCCTCCTGGACAACAGTAATTATTTTACTTACTTACAATTAAAACCCCTAAAAAAATACAAATTACATGCAAACAAATAGTAAAAAATACTCTTTTTCCAAGCGTTTTAATTAATCCTGAAATTGTTCTTAAGTTAATAATCAATTAAATGTTTTTATTAACAAATATATATTATTTGTTGCAAATACTTATTACCGCTTATTATTATAATTAGTTCTATGCTAATTGTCTTTGCTGTCTGTTGAATCCATTTTTTTAGTAATTTTAAGTGCCAATGTTTAGTGTAAACAAGATTTTATATTTGTTTTGTTTTTATCATGTTCACATAAGCTTCCATGGATTATAGGAATATTAATAAGACAATCCTTATTGTAAACTGCATTTTAATACCAAAAATTGTATATTTATTGTTATTTTGTATTAAAAAAAATTCTAGCGTATAATTCTGAAATTACATCTTAAAAATAACATTAATAATTCTAATGTATTGAGACAAGGGTGAAGATGAAAGGCATGGTGCCATTCAGAATCAATCACTCATACATAATTACATTGATTGTTTTTTAATTTTACAAAAATATCACATTTAGAAAAGTTAATTTGTAATTATAAATTTTGTTTGAATATTTAAAGCTTGATGCCTTTTTTTTTATTCACCCTTGTACTTTGTACTTTTTTCTATTGACTATTCTAACATACAATCAGTATTTTTTCTGAAATCTAGTTGTATTGGGGGGGGGGAACCAACAGACAAAACAGAAGAGGGACTGAAACGCATCTTTTGAGAGGATTTTGTAAAAATTAATTAAAAATTACCTCAAATTTGTTTGATCTTTGATCGCTGAAGGAAATGTAAAACTCTTCGAAACTAGGGCTTTAGTTTGAAATCAAAAAACTAAAAAAAATTCGATATCCAACGGTAAAAGATAAGTGTAAGCCTTGATCAATTAACAGCAGGGTTTATTGATGTTCAGAATTAGCTGTATCACTCGTTAAAACAATTCACATTAGATAATTTATCAATGTTTGTAATGTAGTTTTATGGAACTAGGAAGAAAAATATCATATATATTTGTCCATTTCAATTTTTGTAGGATGTTTTACCTTGAAAGACAAAAATTATAATAGGTATCGCTAATTAAAATTTAAAAAAAAATACTCGAATGTTTTGCACCAATCAAATCCTGTTTCATTATTCATTTATATTTTATTCAAGAAAAAATAGTTTGTGAAGTCTGATTTTCTCTTTCTGTTTAATTTGGTTTTAGGATTTTTGTATTATATACACATTTACATGCTCACATCAAATATTTTAAACTGTATAACATTTAAATTATGCCTATATAAGTTAAGTGTTTGATTTGGAACCTTTCCAATTTAAAGTAATTTCTAATGTTTAAGCAGAGAAGAGTTAAATAAAAATATTTTCTCAGGTCTTTTGCTTATTTATTTCTTTCAATTCCCATCCGATTTGTATACAGGTATGAGCATTTTCAAGGTTAATGGTTAAAATGAGTCCCTTTACAACTTTGGGCACGACCAATATTGGTCTATTTCACTAATACAAAGCAGCTAAGGCTTATTATTATTACCAGACTCCAATGCATTGTTAAAGGTCTCCTGTTGTAGACTTTTTTATTTATTTATTTATTTTTTTTTATTGTAGGGATACCAGGATCTGGAGTTCTCCCTGAGCGTTGCAGCTCTATACAGCTTATTGTACTCCTTCCTGTCTCCATTTTTGGGAGCTCACAACACCTGTGTGTAATGAGCCCCATGTGCCAGTGTTCTTCCATCGAAGAGCTCATTTTCAAAGGGGGTTGAGACCAAATTCAGGGTTGCTGAGATTCGATCCTGCCCCAGACCTTCCAATGACGAGTGCCGTGTTCATTTTCATTATGGCTATCGGTCCCCTTAGGCATCAACTAGGTGAGATTCTGACGGCTTAACTCGGCTACCGTGGTCCCTTGCTGTTAGTTTCTGTGATCGTTCTTTCCTTTTTTGTGCTACATTCTTATTAAACAGGGCACTTATTTTGAAAACATTGTCTGATGGCTACAGTTTTGGCAATTTCAGAGGTTTCGTGGCCAATAGGTGTCCTCGTGGAACTTTCCTTGGTCAATCTATCAGCCACTTAGTTGCCCCTCTTCCCTTCAAACCTGGTAGCAAACATGGGTGATTTTGTTTTCCCCGATATCTGACAGGACCTGAATGCAAACTCAAACGGCTCTGGGCTTTACCACTGATGCCCCCAATGCCACCCGCTGAGTAGATTCTTGTGTTTCAATTTCCTTGGCCCATTGTTCAAAAGCTATAGTCTGCATGAAAGATGGCATATTCCCAAGGCTTGTATGAATTCAGGTCCTAGGTTTCCATTAATAAGAGCTCGTGACTCACTCAGTTTTGAAACTATATACCAGATATAGTCTGATTTAGTATTTCTGTTCGTCTGCTCTGGGTATTTTAATTTTACATTTTTTTTTGTCAAATTTAAATTTAGGGTGCTTCGCAAAAACAGGCATCCCCCACAGTACCTGTCTGCCTGAAAGTAGTTTGGTGTTCATATATTTTTGATTAAATTTGTTCACAAGCACATCAAATTTTCATGGAATTTGCCTTCAAAATTGCTACATTTTAGTTAAAATTAAGAAGCTGATTTTGTTTTCCCCGATATCTGACAGGGCCTTAATGCAAATTCAAACGGCTTTTGGACATAATTTAGCCAATGTGACCAAAGGCCACATGGTAATGAGAAATCTGATAAATTGACAAAGAAGCAACATATTTGTGCAATCCAAAAAACAATCTGCTACCATTTACAGATTTGTTTCAAATATTGGGTAAAAAATCCAGATAAAATATTTGGACAAGGGGTGAAATTACCACAGATCTGTTCTTCATATCGTATCTACACAGGAGGGACTACCTAAATTGTGCTGTGGAGTGAAGAAAAACCTAAGGGACATAATAACTGATTGTCTAAAATATAAGCCTAATGAACAAAAATTTGCAGTCGGAAGTACCTACTCAACTACATTACAGAGCTATAATATCGTCCAGAATCTTAATGTCCTCAAGCTCCTTTGCAATTTTCAATGATTGTGATGGAAATCTAGAAAGTGGCGATTTTATGTCCTCTGAGTACCAGGCCATTCTCGTTGTTACAATTACTTTACCTGGATTTTCTTTAAATCACAGGTTTTCTCAATGGAGCTTTGCATTCGATTAGGCGTTTCTTTCTCATCATTGCATAATCAACAAAAGGGCTCATCATTGAAAATACCGATGTAGATGTTTTTTGTGTCAGTGATGGTACAGTTATTCTGAGTTTAGACTTTAGCCCTCTCTAATTGTAGTAACGATGTTCTATTAACATAGGTTTTCTATGTCTACCATCTCTAGAGTTTATACACTTATCCTTGTCTTTTTTGGATAGATTCTGAAACGGTGGATTCTGTTTGTTTTTGTCACCCTAAGTATAAGTTCAGAGCCTGTATATGGTCTTCCAGATCCTCCTCTTGCCAGTTATTCTTTTTATTACCCAAAACGAATGTGTGTCCTGGAACCAATGATTAGGTTGTTGCATTTCCCAGGTTTTGGATGTTAATTTTGATGTGAATTTTTTACTGCTTACTAGGATTTTTTGTTTTGGTGTAACCTGTGTAAGATTTTCTAAGGCACAAATGTATATGGCATTTATATCAGCTTGAAAGACAGAGGTCTACTTCTATAATGAGTTCTATTGCTTGTATAGAAAAGGCCTGATCCCTAATTTGTTTTGCACCTTCCAAATATTCTTTTGTTGGTAATACCCAGATTATCCCTGAAAGTGGTTTATTGCCCAATAATCTTTAATTTATTTCCATAGGTAACAGCCCCTTATTCATACTTGGTGTTAGAGCCATCTGTATACCTGATATGATCAGCATTACAGGTACTGGTATCTCCCAGTCTGCTCCATCTATTTGATTTGAAAGTGATCAAATTTTAATTTTTGGATTGTAGACATGCATCCCCACACTTTAGCCAGTTAAATGTGTCATTTCTGGAGGACTTTCAGGGTTGCCCGATATTCAGCCAAATCCCTTTCACAGTAAAGAAAAAAAATTGTATACAGGTTAAATATTTTCCCTAAAAATAAACTATTCCTTAGGCTTAATAAATGATAAAAGTAATACTTGAAATAGTTAAAATTCCAGTAGTACAAAGACCATTTAGAACATGTTTATTTAACAGTATTATAAACAATTTCAATATAAAACAATAAAAGTTGAACTAATGCAAGTTTGTAACATCATCCGTTTCAATGATATTTTTATTATCATAGTATTTAAAAATCACACGTAAATCATGCCTCTTAAAATTTCTTCTTTTCCACTGAATATTTGACTATGTATCACATTCTCTTGGAACTTTGGATATCTGAAAAAGGTACAAAAATAAAATTTAATTTTGCGTTCTAACTTGTAGAAAACCAAGTGAACAATACCGTTCTGTAGTAGGCACAGATTTCCTTAAATAAATTTTTTAAAACCAAAGGTTGATTTCTTCTTTCCTAAAGAATAAATGTTTTATTTATTTATTATTATTATTTTGTAAAAACAATTATATTGTCTTACTCCATTTATTAATACTGTAGGAACAAAAGCTAAAGGCGGCGATAGGTCATTTTTGGTTCTATCGCCAAAATACTTCAATAATCTCCTTCCTTCTTTGCCTTCTGCACATCTTGAAATGGTTGTAAAATTAACTCCGTACGTTTCGCAACACTAAAACCAAAGATTTAAACCCATTATTAGTTTATTGTTTATTTTACTAATTATAATTTACTGACCTGCAACGCTATTCCAGCGGGATCGATATTATTAGAAATCATGCACTGGACAACTTCAAGGGCAGTCCCTTGGTCCTTCACATGCTTAATTACGCATGAGTGATAAATATTTCCCTGGCATTCAATCTCTCCATGCTGACAAGTGAATTTATAATCGTTATTAACTTCTGTCGTCTGAAAAAATATATTATGATCAAATAAAATCCTTTGAATATAACTTTATGACTTACAGTCGCTTTTCCATAAGGGACAAGGTCAGTTTTGACCAAAGATGGCAGCCTTTTGAAAGTAGGTGCTAATTGGTCCACGACAAAATATTGTGAATCAGGACACAGGCTTTCATAATAAACTGACACCTTTACTTGTGGAATATCGCCAAATGGCTGCGACTGAGGAAGAGGTCCCAGTTTAACACCTTTCTGTTCCTGTACAAATTAAAAACAAATTTCAGTTACAAATGTTGTTTTAAAAATATTTTCTAGGTTCAATTTATTTCTCCTAAAGGGAAAAAATGAAGAGGTAGTTCTGACTGATGCGTAAAAATAACTACTTAGGTTTAATATCTAATATTTATAAAATCAAGAAATAGCTGTTATCTTTGAATGTGGTATAAGTCCATTTAACAAGTTAGTCATTTGGTAAATTTAGTTAAGATATAGACACATTCTCTCCATATTTATAATCATACTTTTGCTAGAGTACGATTTTTTTCAGATAAAGTAAAAAAAAAAAATGGCTATAAAATGTAATCGTAAAAATCTTTTCTTTTTTGTTTTAAAAAAAAGTGTTAAAATAAGTTGTAAAATTGTAAAATAAAAAATAAAATGTTAAAAATAAGTCCACTCCTAATAATTACAATTAAAACAATGCCTTATTGCAATTATTATTGATTATTATGGCTTCAGTGTGCATTGCACTTTAGAAAATATTACTTAGCTAGTTCTAGTTTCCTAAAAACAACATTGTTAACAAGAAAACATTATTATTATCTGATGAAGTGGTGAGAAATAATTTCACTGATTTTTTTCAGTGTTCTCTCGCAAGTTCTACTGTTTGGTTTGCATCTCTTTATTTAAATTTAACTGTGAGCTTTATTTAAATATAACTGTTATTAACCAAGAAAATCATAATTTAAGATAAATAATATTTCATACTGTTGTTACAATGAGTTCACATACCTATAAAAGAGACGATAATATGTCCATTTCGTCTGATAGTGATGTTGGTAAATAAGGGTAATAAAATTTTTCGCAGAAATATTTGAGTATTGTTTTATTGTAGAAATAAGACCCATGAATATTAGAAAAAAAAAAAAAAACGAATTTATGAATTGGACGAGGAAAGCAGTTTGAGCAATATTAATTCAAGATTATTACAAACAGTAATTCAGATATCGTGAGATGCGGTCGGGTGTGTCTCACGATATCTGAATAACTATCGATTAACGGTCACTAACTTCTACACATTGTTACAAACTAAGAAGAGGATTAGAATTTTGGAATTAACTGATTCTACAAGTGGCAAAGAAGACGCTACTAATTTTTGATTACATTATGAAAATAACGATCAGAAAATTACAAAAATCAAAAGAAATAAAAACGAAAAATATACAAAAACTGGAAATATTATTCCTGCAAAGAAATTGAATGAGTTTACTGCCATATATACCACCTATTTACCAAGAATACTAACTGTGAAGGGTAAATAAGTTTAAAATATAAGTTTGTTTATGTTTAGTTATCTTAATGAATTTTACGCTTGTTTACTCATATTGCCTTTTTAATATAACTGAAATGAATAAAAAAATCCATTTCAGTGAAGTTAATGTCCATACAAATATGGACATAAATTTCCTCTTGTTTTTATGTCCTATAATATGTTATTTTTGAAAGTGGTATAAGTCCATTTAAAGTAAAAAATCTTTGATTTTTTAAAATAATTTCAATAATTATTATCCCAAAAGAAACTTTAAAAGGTGTATACTGTTAAAAATATCACTCGAATTGATTAATGTTTGCTAATATTTTTAAATTAATACAAATGCAGAACCTTAAATATCTCGATAAATGAAAAAATATACTTATACCACTTTCAAATATAACAGCTTAATTATTTTTCTTTTAGACAGACCAGGACAGCAAGGATTGGCAAACTAATAAAATCAGTAACAACCAAATTACAGGTTCATCACCCTGTAAAAAATAGTAGGAAATCTCACAAAATAATAAACCTTTAAGGAAATTTAGTATAAAATACAAGCGCTAACAGTACTGTCGATGGGTGGCCCTTGGAGGATCTGACTCGTAGAAGAAGGATCATCCTCACTCGATTAACAAAAGGCCATGCGACACACAGACATTTGCTTTTGGGCCAAAGCCTATGTTTGTCCGGCATGCAGAGAAAGGTTGCTTGATGGGGTCCAAATGTCTTTGTCTAAAACATTCAGCGTTTGACTATTGTACTGGTGGGTCTGATCTTTTCTACATACAACAAGAGTACAAAATCAATATCTATGATGTAAAATTTCTCCATATGGTCTGCGGTGTGATAAACCTGTAATTTTGTCACTAAAATCATTTTGGTCTGCCTTTCATTGGTTGGTTGTTATGTCTGTTGTGTTTCGGCATTTCGCCATCTTCAGTGGGTTTGTATTTTCCTCCCTCTTTTTATTTCGTGACTAACCAGGTCTGACATAGCAAAACAGTGAGCCTAGGAAGGCCAAAATAATTTTAAACAATTAAGTTAGTCCATCAGCCAGCAGACCTCAAGATGAAATTTGAAAATTCGTTTTGTTGTGTGATTTCTTCGTGCAGTCTGGGTCTGCCTATGCTCGCTGGGTTTGTCTCTCAGACGATTTTCATCATTTTGCCATCTTCGGTGGGTTTGTCTTGACCTCATTCTACTTATTTCTGGACCAACCAGGTCTGATGGAATACGGTGAGACTAGGCAGACTAAAACTATTGTAAATGATCAGGTTACAAGTCCATCAGCAGATAGACCTTAAGATGAAATTTGAAAATTTGTTTTGTTGTGAGATTTCTCCATGCAGTCTGGGTCTGCCTATGCTCGCTGGGTTTGTCTCCCAGACGATTTTCAGCATTTTGCCATCTTTGGTTGGTTTGTCTTGTACTAATTCTACTTATTTCTGGACCAACCAGGTCTGATGGAATACGGCGAGACTAAAATTATTGTAAATGACCAGGTTACAGTCCATCAGCCGGTAGACCTCAAGAAGAAATCTGAAAATTTGTTTTGTTGTGAGATTTCTCCTTATGGTCTGCAGGGTGCTGAATCTGTAATTTGATCATTTCCGATCACTGGCTTTTGCCTTTCCTCACTTGGTCTAATAGAAGTCATTTTTCATTCCACTGTCTTCAGTAAGCATCAGACAGACCGACCTAGCGATGATAAGCAGATCGAAATGATCGGTAATGATCAAACTACAGGTTTGTTATTTTGATCGTCTCCTTTCATTCCGGTCCGCCTAGTCACCCTTGCCAGTCGCTTTTTCCATTTTAAACGGGCAATTTAACCCAAAAGTTTGCTCTTTGTTGAAATATACTCAAAACATTTGAATGATAAGTCAAATAATAATTAGTGTACTCCTTGATTGAAACATTGAAATGTGTACATAAAAAATTATTAATATTTAATTGCATATTCAAGTGTATAGAAATACAAAGTATTACTTACAGTGATGGAAGAAGTCATTAAATGTCTAACAATTATATAAAGTGGAATCCATAGGAGAAGGCAAGTAAATGCAAATATGATTTTCGTCTTTATCAACTTGGTTGCAATCATAATTTTATATGTGAAGAAAAAAGTATCAAAATTACGTGGGAAAAGCCTAAAAACAAGGGAGAAGCGAATAAAACTACTGCCTAATCGAAATTCCACGTTGCCGGCGGTTCCATTTGGAAGTCCAACCCGTAAATATCGAGTATGAAATGTGTAATTGCCAAATTAATGTTCCGGCAAACATCGATCATACCCACTTGTCTTACGTTGGATTGACAAATGGCATTAACGTAAATAGATAAATACGTCCAAAATTCTTGACGGAAGGTTTTCCGGCTTCCCACCAAACATTCAGAGGACTTAGTAAAAAAAAAATCGATAGACGTCATGCCAGTCCAATTTGGCTCCTTCTTCAAAACCCTAACACAAAAGAAGATTTTTCCTAAACATACAAAAAAAAAAAAAATTATTCAGAGATCGTGAGATGGGGTCTGGTGTGATGTAGGTTTCAGAAAAACATTTTCTTTAACGTGCCAACGTTTCGATCTTTATTGAGATCATCTTCAGGGCCTGGGATTTACAAACATTGTTTAAATTTAACAAATACATATAGGATTTGGAAAAACGTGAATTTATACAATGCAAAATATATTTTTTATATTCAATCAAAGTGTTTCTACTCACTCAAAGTGTTTGTTTTCTGTGTAATTGTGCCATTCTTGCGTGTCGTATTGAGAGTGCCAGTGAGATATTGCTGTTTTATGTTTATATATGTTGGATTTTGAAGGGGTGGGGAAGGAAGTCGGTATAGAAAGACATTTTTTGTATAAGGCGTCGGCTTCTTTGAGGTGAAAAGAGCCGACGAAGGGAAAAAACGTTGGTAATGGTTCGGCCAGATTATCCTTTCAGGATTATATAGAAAGGGATAAATACGAAAAGGAAAGCTAAATTGTTGAAAAATTAGATTATGTGAAAATGTTTGATGTGTGGAATGTGATGTGTTGATATATGTATGTTATCTATATTGAATTTGATTAATGATATTGGCGTAGCTACGACTGAGTTTACATGTATCTGTTCTGTAATTGATGCTGTGCTTATCTCTGTTGATGTAAACCACTTCTAAAAAGTTACGTTTATGTGTTCAAAATGGTGGGTAGCTCAAGTGGTTAGAGCAGCGGCGTATTTAGCCGAATGTCGTGGATTCGAATCCCCTCGTGACACTATTTTTTTCATTTCAACCAAAACCTTACAAAAAAAAGATTATCGACTTATTTATATTTACTCCAGCTTGTTACCCCCTCGATTAGAAAACAAAAGACAGTCATGAGAGAAATCATCACTGCATGAAAGGTTGGCAACCACATTACGATTTCTCGCTACAGGGATGAACTACAAAGAACTTAAGTTCTCTACTACGATTTCTGATCATTGTTAGGGGTTATCAATACCGCATCTCTCATTGCATTTGTATCCTTTGTTTTGAAAACGTCGACCAACTGGTGAGAGGATTGAATTTCTTTTATTTCTATCGTGGTAATATAATCATTGTCCACCACTTTCATAAACATGGTAAACTTTCATACAATTCAATCACCTCAACAATAAAATCTCGATTGGATGTCATTACCAATAAAGAATAAACGTTTTTTACTTTTTGAGAATGTAGACGGAGATGTTTGCTCAGTGACAGAAAGACGGAGAATGCGCCAAAAAAACGAGGGTTTTCCCATTCACGTCCAGGCCAGCTCACCAAAATCCACACCCTCCACGCCAGGTTTTCCCATTCATGAACGCGCCATGGATATTTGGAGTGGCGCGATGGACTTTGGACCGGTCGAATATTCAGCACAGCCGGACACGCCAGTTCAGTTTTGCCATTGACGTGGTTTTTGGAACGGCATCGCTCCGTCGTTTGTACTGCTAGGAGCGATCGTGAATGGCCACCTTTAAAGGGCTTTGATGTACCAAGAAAGCAACGTGAGCTTTAATGGTGTGCAGAAGATAGCAGTACAAACCTGGGATTGCAGACGAGAAACCATGCTCTAGCTGTACACGATGGTCAAAAGAATTGTGACTACACAACTAGACGGTTTTGACTATATCTGCGACAACGTTAGCTTCACCAATTGTTCCAATAACTAAACATGAACAATGAAAACTGTAGAAAGACCGAACATATCGAATAATATAAAAACAAATAGTATTTTTCATCAGTTTTCAAGTGAAAATTGTCTCTGAGGTGCCAGTTGCGACATAACAACTGGATGGTTTCGGCTATATCTGCAATAACACTGGCTTCATCAATTGTTCCAAGAATTTGACTTGAACAATGAAAACTGTAGAAAGACCGAACATATCGAATAGTATAAAAAAAGTAGTAGTTTTCATCAGTTTTCAAGTGAAAATTGTCCCTGAGGTACCAGTTGCGAACTTAACACTGGCTTCATCAATTGTTCCAAGAATTTGACATGAACAATGAAAACTGTAGAAAGACCGAACATATCGAATAGTATAAAAAAAGTAGTAGTTTTCATCAGTTTTCAAGTGAAAATTGTCTCTGAGGTGCCAGTTGAGAACTTAACACTGACTTCATCAACTGTTCCAAGAATTTGACTTGAACAATGAAAACTGTAGAAAGACCGAACATATCGAATAATATCAAAAAGTAGTAGATGTCATCAGTTTTCAAGAGAAAATTGTCCCAGACTGGATGGTTTCGAACATGATGATGAGACTGAGAAGTAGAACAGACAACAAAACAGAGAGCTGAGGAAAATACAGAGCCTCGCATGCATTTGTATACCGGGAGCGATGAGAACGTCCCACAGCTGGTATGGAGAAAAAATTGGAATTAACCCCCCTCGATCATACGATTATGAGGACAGTACAGAAAACTATCACCAACATCATCAAAGAAAACCCTCCAACAGGACTAGAAATCTTGAAAATTTTTAATTTTTTCTTGAACCTATAAATAAAAATTGAAACAAAAATAATTGAAGTATAAACAAAATTTGGTTTTTAAGCGTCCAATTATTTTATATTAAACAAAATTTCTCAAATTTACGGAATTGTATTTCATGCAACCTGTTTTTTTTATTACGTCAGAGAAAAAGTTAATTTGATATTAAAAAGGGGTTAATTTCGTTTTTAATATTTTTTCTTGAAGCTATAAATAAAAATTGAAACAAAAATAGTTGAAATATAAACAAAATTTGGTTTTTAAGCGTCCAATTATTTTGTTAAACAAAATTTCTCAAATTTACGGAATTGTATTTCATGCAAACTCCTAAGTTTTTTTTATTACGTCAGAGAAAAAGTTAATTTGATATTAAAAAGGGTTAATTTCGTTTTTTAATTTTTTTTCTTGAAGTTTCAAATAAAAATTGGAACAAAAATATTTGAATCTAAACAAAATTTGGTTACAATCTTCGATGTTTTTGATTCAGAGAAAGCGTTAATTTGAAGTTTGAAATTATTAAGTAAATGGCGCAAATTTATAAAATTGACTACCTTATCACGGATCGAAAGACCAAAATACACAAGAACTTTGGAAGAAAAAAACGAATGTGTCGATTAAAAAAAATTATATTCATCGTGTACATTATTATTTTAATGTATTTTAATTTTTTTTCTCTCAGCCTGGCACGCATAAAAGCTAGTTTTTATTTGTTTTATTTTATTTTTTTTAAGTGACTTACCGATGGAAGGAAAATTCCGTCAGCTCCGAATATAAAACAGCCGCAGGCGATAAAGAACAGGAAACTTAAGACGTTCATGGTTGAAAGTGGCAAGCTGATCCCCCTGGTGTACTCCAATTACAAAGGAGAAAGGAATACAAAAAGTAACGGTTGATCACAGCTTTTATACTTGTTCCTGTGCCCCCACGCGCATGCCTTTTAACACAGCTTCTATCTTTATAATAGGCAGAGTTCAAATCTCATCTGTAATTTCTTTGCCTATTTTTTCCCCTTTTTAAAGCTCCTTTTAAAGCCTTTTTTTAATAACTCGGTAATTTAAAAACGGTAGATCAACTTCATCACCTGGAATTTAATGGAATTTAATCCCCTAAGTGGGTAATTTTAAGTTATACTAGGGTAGAAATGTATTAAGGATTGTATTTTAAGGGAAGATTGTATTTTCCCTTTCATAAGTTCAAACCTTTACTTAAGAAGGAAGTTCTATCAACTAATTATGTTAAAATTTATGTTTAATCCAACTATCATTAGTTCATTGATTTAAGCAGCATAAAAAACCTAAGAGTTTTATAAGATAAGGTTGATTAATAACAGTTTTTTTTATGGTGATAATCGATTTAAAAAAATCAACCTATTTCGCATTTCGTTTTTTTTTTCTTCTAAAAATTATTTATTTAATAAATCGTTATCTCTTAGCACTTATAATTAAATAAACACTGGTTGAAGGTGCGAGAATGTATGGGACGGGTCAGAGTGGCCTTATTTACAAATAGAACTGCCCATCGTTTAACTTCAAATCCATCAATCACAATTCACCCATTAAGCCAAGTGGTAAATACATTCAAGAATAAAAGAATAACGTCCAGTATTGTAAATATTCGTGTTTTCCTGTTGTCAAAAAGAGTTTTGACATTTTTTACATAAGAGAGTGGAAAACCAATCGAAACGTAAATAAATAAAAAATTTTAAAAAAAATCGAAAATATTGCGTTGTAATATAGAATACTTTGATAAAATGCCATGGGACCACGTGGCCTCGTTGTTGCACTGTCATCCCTTGAACTTCCAAACTGTTTCGGGATATTTCGGGAAAAGCCCAAAAGCGTCCAAAGACCAAAACGATCCAAAAAAGGTTTTCTTACATTTGCTAAAACAAGAGGAATTACTATCAGAGGACTGGCACAATGAAAGGAACGAAGTTTTAAAAAAAATCTTCCTTCTTTCTAAAAAAGAAAGAAAAAAAGAGTCAGATATGATCTGCTCTGTTGCAAAATCGATGAAAATCTTATATAAGTAATGGAACGACTTTATTGGGTCTTGTGGCTATGAGTTGAACTTGCTTGTCTGCTCTAAGCTCAATCTAAGCAGGGTTAGCTTGATAACCTGTTTAAAGAGGAGTGTTGACTGTTCAATGACTGCTGCTTGCAAGTCAGAAGTGAAAACAGTAGTGTCAATGTCAATTTAAGTTAACCATATCGCCATGAAAGGTTTGTGTGATGATCTGATGGTTGTACGTTAAGTCATTGGAGTCAAAATCCACAGCTACATCGGCTGTCAAGTGTGTGATGAGCTGTTTAGCTGTTGCTTGTAGTCTGCTCTAAGCTCTAAATAAGCAGGTTGAGCTTGAGCACCTACTTAAATAGACA